CAGCTGAACTTCATCTCTAACGGTCCCTAGTCGAAAATTTAGTCTCCCTCCGTCAGGTGTAATATTAGTTGTAACTTGGGTTAGCGTGTGGTGTTTAGTAAGTCATGTAGAAGAAAGACAACCTTGAGTTTGAGTCAGTCCCCAGTCCTATTAGGTTTGATTAAGCCCTTGGTTTGAGACATTTGAAATACCGCCTTCTCCTGTCTGAATAGGAAAAGAATCTGTGTAATCGTCGTCGTTGGAACTTATTAAGTCTCTCCTCATTTGGGCCAATTCGGGAATCTTTGCCTACCCATTGCCTCATCCTTTCTGTAGCTGTTCTTGGCTTTGTCTATGGAATCTTACAGCTTGCAGATGACAGAACTTCTACCCAAAGCCGGGTTTCTGACTCCTTCAATAGGCTTTCTGTGGCTATTTTCTTGGCTAATCTTCTGTTTGCAGGTACGATTTCTCTGTCATTTCCCTGTTCTACACACATGGGAGTGTTTGGTTATGGAATGAAATGATCAATCATTCCAGTCCTGTGATCTTGTAGCCTCTCCTTCTTTGGCAGATTACTATTATTTATGCACTTCTTCCTCCCCTTATTGGCAGAGAATCACACTTTTATCTGCTGAATTCCATGGGGTCCTAGAAAATGCTTATTTCGTGCCCTAATCCGAGTACCCTTCTGTGTCAGCTGTTTTTTTTGTTCTAGATAGACATTCCACACACAAAAATAAATAAATAAATAATAATAATAATAATAAATAAAGATATGGAATATCTAATGACACTATGCCCTATAGAAGAACATATTTTAGTTCTTGTAATTCCGGGAGATGGTCGTTACATTATTAGTGTAACTTTTTAACGTGTTGGATTTGAGTTTCGACATGTTGCAATTTAGTGATATCTAGACTCCGGTGGAATCTTTAATGGGGTTCACGATTGGTGTAACATGGTAGAATTTTTTTATATGGGTAAATTGCAAGGTTGGTCACTGAGATTACAAAAAACGTTTATGTTTGGTCACCAAAAATATTTAATTCCATTCGTGGTCATTGGAATTAATCAAACAGTCCAAGTTTGGTCACTCTCCGTTTCCTTCTGTTAACTCCGTTAATTTTTTGCTGACATGGCTAACAGAAGTGTCTAATCAACTAAATTTAACAAAAAATAAAATAAAATCCAACCTGCCACGTCATTAAAATCAGCCACATAAGATAACCGACTCTTGACCAGACCCTTGACCCGACCCTTCCTCTTCTTCCTCTAGTTGACCCAATTGATAAAAAATAAACCCTACCTCCCAACTCACAAATCATATCGCAAGTAGATCTCCCAACTCCCAAATTTCTCCACTCCAACTCCACCCTCACGTCCCATTCCTCAATCCCAAACTCTCCTCCTCGCTCTCCATCTTCTCCATTCCCTCCCTCAACCTCCGCACCCAAGGCAGCGGAACCGCCGCTTCGTCTTCCTCTCCATTGCGGCAACTGACACCAAGCACACCGTCCTGGTGGCGGAGAAGCTCAGGGCAGTCGGGCTTGATCTCCTCAAGGAGTTCGCCAACATGGATTGCTCCTATAACTTCTCCCCCTCGGATCAACTACTTCGCAAATCGCAAGGCCTCCTCTGCTGCCGCCTCTCGCCTGCTCAAACGAGCTCAGATATGAAATAAAATTCCTTGATCCCCTATTTCGATTACTTCGAATCCGGCTGCACAAACGCCCTGCCCCATTCCCCAATATCTTATCCATCAGTCGCCCATCAAGTTCTTGCTGCTCTGCATCCTCTCTATCCACACCTCTCAATCGACGCAGACTTTTTTTTATAGAAAATTCTATAAATCAAAGATAACACACGAATAACCCCCACCAAATGCCAAACCCACTAGAACCCTCAAACCAACTCCATTTTTGTCCTTCCTAGCGGCAGGAACAGAGGTAGTAGGAGCAAGGAATCGTTCCAGGTGGAAGCAAAATCCCAGGAGTGGGCGACTAACCGACCGGTGGAACTGGAGAACCCAAAAGTGGCCTCTTATATAGGGTTGGTTCGGGTTTGAATGATGTGGCTGGTCGACTTTTTTTTTTAATTCAAAATTAGTTGATCAGATACTTCTGTTAGCCACGTCAGTAAAAAATTGACGGTGTTAACGGAGACTAACGGAAGGTAACAGACAGTGACCAAACTTGAATTGTTTGATTAATTCCAATGACCACGAATGGAATTAAATATTTTTGGTGACCAAACATGAACGTTTTTAGTAATCTCAGTGACCAACGTTGCAATTTACCCTTATATATATATCATAAATGAGATAGTCTCAATGTCTCTCATCAAATTATAATGTTAATACTTTGGTAAACAGAAATCCCAAAAGTTTTATGTATAAATCAACAGATAAGGTTCAAATTGGACTGAGAAACTAATTGTGAATCATGGGTATAGATTAGCCTTTATGGGTTAAGAAATCGGCTAAGAATTTACAGTCTTTAAGAAGACATGCACTGTCCACACCCGTTAATGAGTAGGCTCTCGAGTCTCGTCGTTGTAGAGGTTCTAGTGGTAGTTCTACCTTCCAACATCCGAATTATCACGCTAATTTGAGACCCTCAATGACAGTTGGTGCTGGTGGGTCAAAATCACGAAATGTTGATTGGGTTGGAGAGAGATTTCACTTCATTTTATTAAAAGTAAACCATCAACAGCACACCTAATCATTCTTATCCCCTATCCCAAACTTCTATGTATCATTCCAATTTTATCGGATGTCTCCGAATGGAATTCCCAATCCCAAAATCAACCGTGTAGATATGTACAAAAAAAGGTTATAGGTATAATATGCCCATCTAGTATGACGTTTCATCAAACATGCCCCTCTACTATTTTTTACATCAAAATGCCCATGTACTTTGAAAAAATTATCAAACATGCCCTTCTGTTAAACTTTCCATTGAAAAAATCGTCAATCATGGTTGAACCGAGATTTAGACGACGCGACATCTGCAAATGGGAGCGAAAATGTCAGTTTTGTCTCCCTTTTTATTTCTCTGGGTCTCTTCAAAGTGAAATTATTTGAATTATTTGGCTATACAAAAGAACCAAAAAAATTCTAATGTGATATTATTAGGGATATTTTAGACATTTGTGTCACCCAAATCAAAGTTCGGCCTTTGTTAACGGATTTTGGATGGAAATTTTAACAGAAGGGCATGTTTGATAATGTTTTCAAAGTACAGAGGCATGTTTGATGTAAAAAATAGTTGAGTGGCATGTTTGATAAATCGTCATAATAGAGGGGCATATTTTACCTATAACCCTAAAAAAGGCAAAATACAGTTGTATATCCACAACTATCAGGTTTGTGACAAATATATCCACATCTATCGAAATACACGATTATCCAAAAATCGGAAGGTTGTGTGACAAATCTATCCACTTTCGTTTGAAACTATAACGGCGTGTCAGACAGCGTTAAATTGACTAAAGAAATGCTGAATCGATGCCATCTCACCTGCCACATAAACCAAAAAGCAACCAAACTTTACACCGTTATCTGTTAGACCTTGTTGCTGTAGTCTTCTGTGTTGGCGATTTGGTTATATTCAAGCTTTTTTTGTTTGAGATTAAAGCTTGGCATCACCATGGCGCCGACTGCATGGAAGCCGTCGGAGTAAAAGGGAGGAAATGGTTGGTGACAGTGGTAGGGTTATTTGGGGGTGGAGGCGTCGATCAGAAGAGGATCAGTGGTTATCGAGCATGTTTCTGGGTTGGATTTTTAGTCTCGCCGTCTGTGGTTTTTAGGGTTTTAATTTTTTTTTCTCTTTTAATCCACGTCATTCAATGGGGTCAGAAACACGCCAACTAAGCATCCACCGTCTGTCCAGTCATCAAGTTAACTGACGGAGTTAACAAAGTGGACGAAAATGGATATTTCGTGTATTTCGATAGTTGTGGATATATTTGTCACAAACATGATAGTTGTGGATATACAGTTGTATTTTGCATCTATTCAACTAGCTATTTGGCATCTACGTGTAAAGTTTGGTTGCTTTTTGGCTTATGTGGCAGGTGAGATGGCATCGATTCAGCATACTGTTAGTCAATTTAACGCCGTCTGACACGCCGTTATAGTTTCAGATGAAAGTGAATAGATTTGTCACACAATCTTCCGATTTTTGGATATTTCGTGTATTTCGATAGTTATGGATATATTTGTCACAAACCTGATAGTTGTGGATAGACAACTGTATTTTGCCTAAAAAAAATATAGAAGTTTGATTACTGGACTTCCCAATTCCCAAAAGATACTTAATCTGTGGCAGAATCTTGTACCTGATTAAACAAACAAAACCCTAGGCTATTAAAGTAGCCAAAAGGGTATCTATGAGATCTCATTGGCCCAGTAATAAACTAGCGGGCATTAAACATTACCCTTAATGATGGAAGAGCCCCTCCTGAGCTGTAGATATGGCAAAATTAGGAAAAGCACTGGAGGGATTGGTTACCTACCTTAACCAGATTTGGGACTGCAGGTTTCCTTCGTCCTATTATGCTTCTTGAAACTCAAATACTATAACATATGTGCATCTCGTGTGCAGAATGATTGTGCTTGTCTTGTTTACTAATGGGTTTTTAGCATTTGTAGATCATCTTTGCGTGTTTTTTCCTTGTAAAAAACTCAAAAACTAGTCTCGGATTTGAGATTTCCTAAATTGATTGGGCTCGATAATCTTAGGTAAGAGTGTCGAATCTAAGGATTGATGATAGATCAAATAATATCCATCCATATGTGTTAGAACTTAGAACTTAGAACACAAACTTTTCCACATGATTACTATTTACTACTATTATCAGAAATTGTTCGATTATGATGTTTGGCTACTGTCAAGGGTGTTCAAGGGGATGTTTCGTATTAGGAGTCCTTAATTACTTGGTGGTTAAGTCACTTGTTAGGTTTAGGTTTTTCTTATTTATAGAAATACATGTAACTTTTATTAGGTATTACTAGTGAAAGGTAAGTTATAGGTTTGTTCTCAAATGGTGAACAAGAAAAACTACTGGTCTATCTAGCCATTTTTTCTCCACACCCCAGATACAATGCATGTGAGCGAGAGAGTGAGCCGCTTTATTTCCATTTCTTCCCCAAAATCGCCACTGAACTTCACCCATTTCCTCCGCCACTCCTCATATTTCGTCACAAACCCCTCCAATTTCGAGGATAGAGGTTTCTTCACTGTTTAATCTGGCCACCCACTAGGGTTCGGTAATCAGTGTCTAGAATCATTTGTAGGATTCGATGTTCTTGAGCAAAGTTCAAAGCCAAGAGAAACGTTTGGCCTTCTGCCATTTTCGATTGCCATTGGTGTCAGACTCTCTTTAATGTCGCCGCTCTAAAGACCATCCTTTCATCTCGAACAACCAGTCTCATGCCCGTCCCAGCTCCTAAACATCGTGGTGTAGATCAGGAAACCCAACGGTGGTGGCTTCCAAACATATGAGTGACGCTCATTTTTCGACGGGGATTGCTCTTCTGGTTTGAAACAAACTCTTCCAAGTACGTCTATGATCTAGTGTAGATCTCCCATTCTTCTAATTTTGCTTTATTGAACAAGTGATTATTCATTTCGTTCCATATGAACCATAGTAGCATGACAAACTGCATGAGACGATCGTCCTCATAGACCTCTAAGATTTTACAAAGCCATTCTTCGCACATTTTATCTTTTCCTTTCTCGAGACAATAAGCTAGTTGGGTGAGTCTCCATATTCTACTTCCTAGGCACAATAAAAAAAAAGGCACTCGTCACTAAGGATGGCAATTTTGCCCATACCCATGGGTTTCTTACTATCCAACTCAATTGGGTTGGGTTTGAAATCCAAATAGATGGATATGGGTAGAGTTCGATAGGTTTGTACCCATACCCATTTACTTTTGGTTGAGTTGGGTTTATATCAAATGGATTTGGGTTTGTACCCATCCCCAAATACAAATTACATTTTGGTACCTAAACTTAATAGACATGCATATTTAGTACCTAAATTTATTTTTTTTTGCATATAAGTCCTCAAAATATCGATGGAAATTTATGTTTTGGTACCTAAATTTTTTTGGTCTTACATTTTGGTACATAAACTTTTCAAGTCTTGCAAATAGGTCCAATTTTTGCATGTGTAGTTAAAACACCCTCAAGTAAATGAATATCCATATCCAACCCATACCCATTTAGATTATGGAAGCCCCAAACCCAAACCCATCTATAAACCCCCAAATTCATATGCATTTCACCCATACCCAACCCATTGTCAATAGATCTACTTGGGTTTGGGTATAATTACCATGGCTGGGTAATTTGCCATCCCTACTCGTCACAACCATTCTTTAAGCCCATCTTTTACAGTCCCCGACATTGGCTATCCCTAGATGGGAATCTATATAATTTTTTCCCGATCATGGGGGCTCAAATGTGTCTGAAGCAGGTCTAGTCGTCATGTCCTAGATTTATGGTCTATCAAATTATCAATTGTTGATTGTAAACTTAGGCTTGCTATTGGAGTTTCCACCTTATATGTATTTACCTCTGGAACCCACTTATCCCACCAGATTTTGATACTTTGTCCATCACCTACTCTCCATTGTGTCCTAGATGCCACCAGGTCCTTAGCAGCCATTAGACTTCGAGAAATATGACTTGGGTGGTATTTGGGAAATACTTGGCTTTCAGTACTTGGGCTACCAAAGAGTTTGGTTTCCGGAATAGATTTCATACTTGACGCCTAAATACAGCTAAATTAAATATTTGTAAATACCTGAAACCCATTCCACCCTCGTCCTTTGTTTTGCAGAGTTTCTCCCAAGTGCCAACTAGTCCACAGTGTATTCTTTTCTTTTCTTTGTTTTGCCCCAACCAAAATCATGTGATCATCCTTCTTATTTCATCAAGAACTCCCTCAGGTATAAGAAACATAAAAATATAGCATAGACTTGTGATTGAGCCACTGCTTTAACGAGCACCTCTTTTGTTGCACTTGACGAAAGTTTGTTTTTCCAGAACTTAACCTTCTTGCCTACTCTATCAACAATGTAGGTAAATATCTCTTTCTTAACTATTCCGATCACAGTTGGCAGACTTGGGTATTTTTCGTGGTATGACACATGTCTCATATTCATAATGTTAGTTAGCTCTTCCCTTCGATCTTCCTTTTAATTAGTACTAAATGACAGTTCTAACTTTCGAATATTGACCATATGCCTTGATTCACGTTCATATGTGGTCACTATCTCCTTCAGTTTCCTACTTTCTTCACTAGTACCATGCACAGAAAAGATATTGTCGTATGCAAAAGGAGTCATATTAAAGAGACTTATGAGTCTTTTCCTATAAATATATACTTTGATATGCATCAAAATCATTAGAAGAATATCAAGAAAAGTATCACAATCTCCAATCTCCCCAAATCCTGTGAAATCTATATCTTCTCCTTGTCAAGGCCCCGACCTGTTCTTCCCCACATCTCTATTAATTGCTTAATTCTCTCTTAGAATCCTCAAATCTCTATCAATTACTTTCTAAAATATTCACTTACGTAAATCACAAGTTGCCCAGGCCATTTTCTTACTATGTGAGATCATACGACTATAGCAAGGCACAACGTATGCACACCATTAGGGATGGCAATTTGAACCCGCTCCGTCGGGTAATACCCGACTTGACCCGCGATGGGCGGGTATTACCCGACCCGCATTAGCGTGGGGCGGTGCATGGGTATCAACTTCCGCCCCGCCCCGCCCCATTCTACCCCGTTCTATGTCAATTTTTTACCTCATCCATTCATATATTTCCTATTTTGACTTTTATTCAACTATTTAGATTTGATCTTTCAACTAAATAGATTCAATTACTTATTATATTATCACTATTATTTATTCATCAAGTATTTTCCCCTTCGTTTTATCATAAAGGTAAAATTGTGCGTGTATTTTTCTCAAATAGCATGTAAGAGTGGGTCGACCCGGCCCGTCCCGTTCTCGCGCGGGTATTACCCGCCCCGACCCGTACTAGCGTGGGGTGGGACATGGGTATTGAGGTACCCGCCCCGCTCCAATCCATTGCCATCACTACACACCACACACAGAAATCGAAAATAGCAAATCCAATTATTCAATGTATCATATGAACTGGTTGACAAAAACATAGTAAACCCGAAGTACACATATTAATCAAATACTGATTTGATCTCTCCATACAAATAGTATCGGTATAATTAGTTGGTACATGCTACATCACAAACCCTAAAATTAATCGAGCAGGAGATTATGATTGTAAAATCAATGCAATTTACACAATGTAGGACCATCCGAAGGTAGCCCCACAGAGACATTTTTGGGCCACTTGAGCACACATATTGCAAGCAGAAATGGGGAAACTTGGAAGTTGTCACCAACCCCACTCATTGAGTGATTGAGATTCGTTCCATGGATCACTACTTACTAGTATCGAATGAGAGCTCCTAGGAAAATAAATGTGCATTGATGAATAGCAAATGATTGTCGCTTGACATTAAAGTCTACAAACCTTAAAGTAAATATGTAGGGATCTCTTAACCATAGAAAGGGGAATGCATTAACTACTTGACCTAAACTTGGTGACTAGGGGTTGATTGATTACGTCAAATTGATATTAATTCGAGATCATCATATTTATATACTTGTCTTGATCGAATCTAAAAAATCCAAAATGAAATATATTTTGATGTTTGAAGGGATAAGAGAAGGAAAGAAAACAAGATTCAGCGCGATTCCTTAGATTTTTCTCTAAACCAGTGCCTTCCTTCTTGCTTGGCCCGACCAATAAACATATGGGATCTGGTCTTTCGTCTTAGACAGCAGCTGAACTCGTTTCACGAGGTACGTTGGCGAATACCGCAGCAATATTAACACCAGCTGAAATTATTATTATTTTAAGATTTTATAGATAAAAATCGAGTCAAATTATATTTCAATTCTATCTAATCCGATGTAGACCAAATTATTGCAGAGCAAAATACAAAGGCAATTGATGCTGTTGGCATGAACAACAAACCTTGTGCCAGTGACAGTTGATAACATGTTGATAGCAGAACAGTGGGGTATTCAATTCAATTCAATCAATTCGAGTGTTGGTGGGGCAAACTGCAAACTAGTTATTTATAGTCAAATCATCAATAGGATGGCAAAATAGATTTAAGCACCTGCTCCATCCCTCAGCATCATCAGCCTATCTGAACTGGCTTGCTAACATATGCTGATGGCTCAAAGCATAAATGGTGGGGCAAATTAAACAATTTAGAGGATCACACTCTAATTATAAAATCTCACATTCATCCAAAAAGTCTTTTAAGATTAGCAGCCCTGCTGCTGCCCTACCACTATGAAAAGCACATCCCAAATGAAGACAAGAAGACATAAGGTCTCCTAAAAAGTCTGTCTTTGCACCAATTACAAGTGCCCATCACTATCCAAGAAGGTTCAAAACTCGCAATTAAACAACTTTTCCCAGATTCCTTCATGTTCATTAACTTCCACAACTCAAGCTACTAATACAAACATGAGTGTTAACAAGGAGCAGAATTGTGGGAGCAATTGGATTAGAAAAGCTTTCCTCTTCAGATAACCTAATGAACATCCTTGAAGGCAGTTACTTTGATCAGCAAACTAGGCAAAAGGCAGGATTTCCAGACAGAGATATTAAAGGGTAAACCAGAGGGGAAAAAAACTACAGATTTAACTTGTAATTGCAACCAGATTTAGACCAGATAAAAGAGGAGGGAGCACAAATAAAAAAAAAAACCTCGGATTCTTGTTTCCTATCATTACAGGGCTTCTTGATTCTTTGCTGACAGGCGTTTGAGACACTCGTACGTGGTGATCATCGTCGTAGCTGACATCGACATCGAAGCCCATCTTGGCCCTAATCCTCTGTAACAAGCCATCAGGCCACCTTCCTTAACCAAGTTCCTAAACGTCTGCCTCACTGTTGGCCCATGCTTCTCCTCTCCACCACTTTCCAGAACCTGCAGCCTAGTCTTGATTGTGTCGAGTGGCATGGTGATCAGTGCTGATACACCACCCGCCATAGCCGCACTGATCCCCTGAACTGCCATCACAGTCTTTGAATCAGGTCTATAGGCGCCATCACCATTCCCATTTTTCTTCTTGCTCAAGAAAGAACAAACTCCGTCCCAGACCGTTCTCTGAGCAACCGAGTAAGAAGCCCACCACACAGCATTGGAAGGCGCATAGATCAGGATGGATAGCCCGAACCCTCTGTACAACCCTCGAACCCCATCCGTCCTCATGATCTGCCGAAACGCATCTACCCCATTCGTGTATCTGCGCATGGACTCCTTCCCACCCTGGCACATGAGCCTCTGGCTGACAACATCAACAGGGGTCCACACAAGCTGTGCCGCCATAGCTGCACTCAACCCAGCAGCTGCATTTGCTATTGCTGCTGCTGTTGCATCAGGAAACCCTAACCTAACAGTGGCAGTCCCAACATAGCTCTTGGTTACCTCAAGAGCACCCATGTAGAGTGCTCTAGCTGGCACTGTCCCCATCAATGATGTCCCCACCCCTCGATACAGAGCTCGAAACCCTTCATTTCGTAGGATGGAATACCCCGTCTTCATTGCAGAGAGCTCGGATTGAGCTACTTGTTGCCTGGTCTTGATCAGAACCACAGGGTACAACCCTGCTGAAACTCCCGAGAACATTGCGGCACCTAGGAAGAAGAACTTGGATTTGTCGAGCATTTCCCAGTTGATTTCAGCTGGGATGTGTATCTCCTTCTCCGATCCTTCCTCCGCCGCTCCTAAACTCATCTTCCCCAGTTTCCCAATCGTTGTTTTTCAATCTAACTAAAAAGAGAAAAAAGCCTCTTCTAGCAAAAAGAACGCTAGTATTCACAAAACCCCTCTCAGTAAATCCGAGGGAAAAAGCTGTACAGGAATTGAGGAACCACAAACAGAGGGCGAAGGAGAAACAACAGCAACTCAGCAAACAGTCTAATACAAAAATCCCTAACAAAAAAGCTATATTGAGATCGCGAAGAACAACAGTACGAAAGAAAAATTACTAATTTGATTAGCCTAAAACAGATCGAATCTATTTTTTCCGCTTGTGGAACCAAGTCTTGGATCGAACCCGAACCAGAATGAATGGATCTACCATTGCCCTCTCCTTCTTCTACGACGAACACTGTTACAATCAAATTCGCTCCACCTGACCGAAAAGCTCAGCTCAAGCTCATCCCGCGGCGGCGCCATCGCCGGCAGCCGGAAGAACATTCATCGGGGGGGGGGGGGGGGGGGGGGGGGGGTCTTTTTTTCCCGACGAGTTTAGAAAACGGAAAATCGATCGAAGAGTATGGGATGATGCGAGAGATGGTTCTAGAGAGAGAGAGAGAAATGGCGGAGAAGGGGAAGAGAAGAAGAGCGACCGGAGATCAGCGGTGGAAGGGAATTTTGTGAGAGTGGTGGGGAGCACTGAAATAGAGAGCTGGGCCGGGAGACACGTGTCGGTATTCAGTTAGGGGAGAAAGACTGTGTACGGTGGGGCTTTCTTTTCTGTGGATGTTGCTGATGAAATCACAGCCGTTGAGAGGTGTCCGAATGGCGATCGGACGATGGTGATTGGGGGGAAGGGAAAACGACGGGCGACGAAATGGTGGGTGGTTTTATTTTTATTATTCTTTTGGGGAAATTAGAATGACGTGTTGTCCCTTATCCATAAGTGGGCAGAGTTTTGGGGAAATTAGGATCCGGTGTCGGCAGGTGTAATAGGTTTAGATTCACATATAGGACTCTGAATGAGTCGAGTCGAGTCGAGTTTTGATCTAATTTTAGGTTCCGCTTGTTAATAAATGAGCCAAAATCAAGCTTGGCTTGTTTACTAAAACATCAGTTGTGTTTCACTCGAGCTTGACCTCGAGTTTGGCTCATTAATTAGCTCACAAGTTCTACTCGATATTCATTCATCAATTAGCTCACGAGATCGACTCGGGCTAAGGTATCATATAATTTTGGTCCATAAATTTTAATTGTTCATATTTGATCATGTGCTCAGATGTTTTAAACATCATATGTAGCCAATGATAAGCTATTAACCGATTTGAATATAAGTTGCTAGATGAAGTGACTCACTAGCCATACTGTTGAGCCAGCTCGTAACTCTAAGCGTGTTAGCTCACTAGATGAGGTTAACAAGTCACCAAATCAAATTGGCTCAAAAAGCGTTACAAAATGAACAAGGTTTGACTAAGTCTCAACTCGTTAATAAACAATCCGAAGTATCGATCATGAATCCGAGCACGAGCAGCTTGCCTCAGTTGCCGCCCTATTTACATTACATATTTCATTTATTTCATTTGAATCACCTAGGAAATAAATAGAGAAGAGAGATTTATGATCGTTAGACCTGGGCCTAGCATAAACCCACCAGGCCCATTATTCATCTTTTTTGGTACAAGCCCAATGGAAAGACATACAATTTATCCAAAGAGAAAAAGGAGAGCCCATCCCTACTAGCCTAGATCAAGTGCAATCAAACCAACACCCAAGCCCAACAACACTTAAAACCCAGGCAACCAAAGACTAGCCATCCCAAAAAACGGCAAATCAGAGATGGAATGCAATCATCTCAAAAAGAGAGATTGAAGGAAAGATTCCACAAAGGGATTGGAGAAAACAAAGCTACGTATGAGGCAGGGCAGACTGCAGAGTAAGCACTGAGCCAGAACTTTTGCAGACTGTATTTCTGATTTGATATCACCACAGCTCTGAAGTATTAATCCCCAAATCTTTTGATGCAGCACTGATCAGAGAAGGTTGCAGCTTTACATGCTACCAGACAAGCCATTAAAAAGGAAGCAAAACCCTGCAATATGGTTTCAGGAAAGGCAACAGCAAGTTCACAGATTTAAAGTCGCATCATTTATGCTCATGCTACTGCTCCCTCTGCATCAATTTATGTCCCTGCTAATCTAAAACCCTTTTCACCAATATGGCTATCCCTCTCTACACAAAGAGAAAGCACGATATTCTGATACCAGAAATGGCAAGCCTCATTTACTCATAACTTTATCTCCTAATATGGCTTTGCCATTTTATATACTTATACCATAGCTCTCCAAGTCCAAAGAGGTTTCAAGAAAAGAAGCAGAAGAGGAGGGAAGAAGAATCAAAGAAAGGAGAAAAGGATGAGTTTCTCAAGCGAGGAGGAATACAGTGATGATTTCTTCCATGGAGGAGTCAGGTTCTTCAAGGTCATACTTGAACAAAACATTGCTGACCAGAGGCTTGTAAGCTCACCACGCATACACTTTTTAATTACTGGTAGTTAAACAATATGATTAGGCTTCGTTTACTTACTTGCTAACCTATTGTTTCCATAACGGTGGGTTTCATATGCAGATGCTTCCTATGAGGTTTACTAGACAGTATGGAGGGTTTCTTGAGGGAAAAGCAACCCTCTTGGACACATATGGAAAGAAATGGGAAATGGACATTTCCAAGAAGGGTAGTAATGAAAGTTTCTGGTTCCAAAATGGGTGGGAAGAGTTTTCTAAGTCCTACTCCTTGGCCCATGGCGATTTCGCCGTGTTTGAGTACACGAGCAGCTGCTATCATGATGATGATCAGAATGACTCGCTGGAGTTCTCAGTCATCGTATTCGATGGAGAGACACAAATGGAGAAGGAGACCAGCAACCTGAAGATGACGAGTACTGTTGGTGTTGACATGTTCATGTCAAACTCCAACAGCCCTTGCTTCAAACATGAGGTCACTCCATCTTATTTCCGGGCTAAGCTGATGGTAATTTGGCTCTCTGACTCAAATGCTACATTGTTTAGAACTTATCATAATTTTGATTTATAATGAAACAAATAACTGCTTATTTTTGTGTTGTCCTTTTTTCAACCTTTTCCACAGCCCATTCCACAAGAGTTCTTTGAGAGCTTCTTGTGTGGAGTTGATGACACGATGGGATGGATCAAGCTCGGGTATGGAGGGAAGCTGTGGGATGTTCAGATCGGTCACCATGGTCCTGGACTCAGGTACAGGAGGATTGAGTTTGCTGATTGGAAGAGGTTTGTGGAGGAGAACTCGGTTAGAGAAGGAGATGTCTGCGTGTTCGAGCTGATTGATGACCGTGAGCTGCTGCTGCAAGTCCACATATTCCGCGGTGGGAACTGAACCTGGAGAAGAAGCTAGCGCTTTGTGTTTATGTTGTGATATGTTTAGCTGTGTTAGTCTGTTGCTACTCAGGAAGCAGAAAGCTATGTTCTAAAATGGGAATGTAGATCCTTGAACCAGGAGACATGTTAACTATCTTTGTCTATGGCATGACATGTTATCCTGCCAGTGAAATATTGATGTAATGCCTTCCTACTTTGTTTTCTTGGCTTGGTGTTCAATGTGAGTTAAGGGCTCTTAAGGGGTGGCTTTAATCGCTGTTAGGTTCAGGTGGGAAACTTTAATCGCTGTTAGGTTCAGCAATTCATAATAAATTGTGGGTTAGTAAAGCGATCGCTGCGTTATATGATTTTAATCACTTATGGGTGCACTAATCAAGACACTCATCCCACATATGGAAAGCAATCAACTATCAACGCTTTTGCGGTAAGCAATCAAACCTTAATCGCGTTGGAAAGAAAGCGATTATATTTCCCCATAAGCATAGGGTTAAGTGCAACGGCCTTGGATGTGTAGACTGGTCGAAGACCATATCACTTTACCCGAGAAATTTTACAATGCTATATAGTATTAGTGCTATAGGTTTTTACTTTTATGGTACAACTTAAAATTGTACATTTACGTTATGGTACAACTTTAGATTGTACCTATATTTTTTGTACAAATTCTTCTATGTTTGAGCCAAGACGCCTCGCTGGAACTCTCGCGATTTCCCTTCCGACCAGCGCTTGCCTACACACACGAACACGGAGGGGGCGTCTGGGCCCGTTAATCCTCCGACGCTCAAGTTAGTCTCTTAGAGAGAGAAGTGTCTCAAGGTAAGAGTTTTAGTGAGAGAATCCAACCTGTGTAAATGCTACCAACTGCCCCTATTTATACTTACCGAGTTCAAGGTTGATCTCCTCCACGTCACCGTCTCCATTTAATGCCTTGTAGTCTCCTTGTCAGATATCTCAACTGCCTTGTCAGGCTTCTGGCACGTGACAGGCGCCCACGGACGATGGACCACTTGACAGCCTGGCCTCCCTTGACAGTCTGACTCCCTTTGGCTTCTAGGTTTTGTCTTCATGCGCCCCCCCACCTTGCTTGGGCCTATAATTGCTTTACACTTCCACTTACGGGCCTTGCCCCCAATTCTGTTGCTTGGAAGCCCAAATTACCACTCATTGGGCCTTGCTCGTAGTACCCCCAACAGTTTTTGCCTTTATGGTACAACTTAAAATTGTGCATTTACGTTATGATACAACTTTAGATTGTACCTATATTTTTTGTACAAATTCTTCTATGGTACAACTTGAACTTGTACATTTATGTGATGGTACAACTTCAAGTTGTAAAGTTGTACCATAACATAGTGGTACAAATTGCTTTATGGTACAACCTAAACTTATACATTTAATGTTATGGTACAACTTTGAGTTGTACATTAAAGCACCAATGCTATATAGCATAGTAGAAGTACTCATTGCCCCTACCAACAATATCAGTTATCACTTTACCCTTAAGCGATTTAGTTTTTTAACTTTTATAAGTAGATATTTGACATAAAAATTATAATCTAAAAATTATGAAAAATATTTGAAATTAGTGTAATATATAAAGTGTGTATTTAAACGAGTAAAAAGTACGCAACAAAATGCGCTGACCCGAACAACCCGCAACATAATCCCTCGCATTCCGTCTAAACTGTAACTCGATTGACCTGGAATCCAACCGATCCGTAATTTAACTGACCCGCAACTCGATGAACTCAAAACCAACTAACTCAAAACCTGATTGAACCCATCCGGAACCCGTCGGATTGACTTTTCTAACTATGAGGATAGTAAAAAGCTGCTGACGGTTTTCTCTCGTTTAGCGAGAGTTTCGGGTAGGGTTTGATAGGGTTTCTTATTAGTTTTCTCTCGAAGAAGAAGGTTAGGTTTTCTACTATCGCTTGCTTGAAGAAAGTTTTGAAGTAGTAAGAGTGCTTTGTGAACCTCGGTGATCTGCCTCCTGCGATCAGAACTGGTTAGAGGTCCTGAGTGAGAGTTTCTCTGAATTAGATCTGTCTAATCTAGAGGTCTCGCCAAAGGAAACCCTTTGCTGCCTCCTGCAGCTTAGGGTAAGGGAGTGATCTTTTTTAACTCATACTTGTTGCGAAGGATAGTCTTTTCCTTTTGTTTTTGCCGATCTATCGTTACAGGAACTATAGGTTTTTTTACATATTGGGAAGAATGGAAGTAGCTGAACATAAGGATCCGGTGGAACCACCCCAAGCGGAAGAAGAAGGCCGAGTTGTTACGGGTGGGACGACGGCGATACAGGTTGCAAGAGAAGAGACTGACCAAGTTTCAACAGATCTGACACACAAAGAAGGCTCTACGAGCTGTGACCTAGAAACAACCCCTTTTGCAAATGCCCTCGAAAACAAAATACAAAGCATTAGCCTAGCTGACGATGAGGACGAGGACATATTGGAGGTAGAGGATGAGGATTACGATGTCGTAATGGTGAAGGCAGTCAATCTCCTTGGCTTGGTAGGACGCCTGCTGAATGACAAAAAGCAAAACACAAAATCAATGAAGTTTGCCTTGGCAAAAGCGTGGAATCTCAAACAGAATTTTCAAATCACAGACAAAGGAGATCAGATGTTCGATTTCCAATTTCTAGACAGGGAGGACAGGGAGAAAGTACTGTGTGGGGGCCCTTGGCACTATGATAATCACCTACTGATCTTCAAGAAAGCTGATGCTTTTCACAAACCACAAGCTGATGAGTTCTTTATGATGGATATATGGTTGAGAATCTTTGGCTTACCAGCAGCATTGAAGACCCAAGAGATGGCGCATAAGATAGCGGAAAAATTTGGGAGGATGATATGGGTCGATAGTAGGGTGGATACACTGAGAGAAGATTTCCTGCGAATTAGGATAAGCAAGGACATCAGAGAACCCCTTAAGCAAGAACTGAAACTGAAAGTCAAAGGAGAGCTCATGAAATTCAAAGTCAAATACGAGAAATTACCTCTTTTTTGCTTTTCCTGTGGTAGGGTTGGGCACCCTAAGATAAACTGTCCTACTCCCTCAACGGCGGAAAAGGATCCTTTTGGCCCTGATCTTCGCCTGGGAATGATGCAGAATCGTACTTGGCTGTCAAAACAAGAGAAAGAAGAAACAGATGAGATATGGATGGCGCTTCGAGCGAAGTTTGAAAGGGAGGCACAACAAACAAGAAACAGGATAGACGAAGCCAGAAATCCAAATTTCCAGACTGTTAAGGATAAATGGGAGCTCTTAAAAGAAACCAGAGAAAAAGAAATCCGAGAAAGAAGTGAAGCATACAGACCAACACTATCTGAAAAATATACTGAGGAGGGGTACAGAGGCTCAGCAGAAGAGGCCTGGAATCAGAGATATGCGAATCGTGATGAAGGTGAAGTTGATAAAGAATTGAGTGAAAAAGAGGAACAAATGAGAACTGAAACCCCACTAATGGAACAATTGAAGTTTGATCCAGGGCAGGATGGTCAGCAAGAAGCACTGAAGAAACAAAAGGGATGGCACAGACAAAAGTACCAAGATAAAAAGCAATCTGCTGTACCAGTTCCAAAACTAACGCCACAGAAGCGCTCATTAATGCAAGAGTCAGGGAAGCAAGCTAGCCTGGGCGAAATATCAGTGGAAGCAAGGAAAAAATTTAAGTTACCCGCTTTGGTGACGGAACAACAGGAGAAGGTGCAAACAGAACCTCATCAGGGAGGGGATATTAATGACGGTATGAATAACTCACAAAAAGAAGTGGATGGCGGTGAGGCGGACTCTGCTAGAGAGCAGAGCCACCGAGCCCAATGAGTCTCCTTTGTTATAACTGCCGAGGTTTGGGGAGTTCCTTGGCAGTTAAAAAGTTGGGGCGGCTACTCCAACGAGAAAACCCCTCTTTGGTTTTCATCATGGAAACGAAAAAGAAAGAAGGTGAATGGGAACAAGTGATGAAAGACTTAGGATGGGAAAATGGAAAAGGTGTGGGATCAGTAAGACGAGCTGGAGGATTATTGGTGTTGTGGAAGAATGATTTGCAAGTTGAGATAATGTCCCTAAAGCAGAACTATATTGACCTGAAGGTCACAGAGACTGAGCTAATGTGGCGCTTCACAGGGATATACTGGTGGCCAGAGCAAGGTAACAAGCACAAAACATGGGAACTGATAAGGGAACTTCATACTCAAACGAATGTTCAGGTACCTTGGCTGCTGGGAGGAGACTTTAATCTGATCAGAGCTTATGAAGAAAAGCATGGCAACAATCCCCCTGAGGTAAGGGAAATGGAAAACTTTAATGAGGCTTTAGAAGACTGTGGATTAGAAGATCTGGGCTATTATGGGTACCCTTTTACATGGGATAATAATCACAAAGATGAGACCTTCCTTGAGGAAAGATTAGACAGAATGGTTGCAAATGAAAAATGGATGAACCTGTTTCCGCATGCTCGTGTCTACCATCTCAGAAGATGTGGGTCAGATCACTGTCCAATACTTTTGAGAAGAGAGTTGCTTCACGAAAATGTTAAATGGGGAAAGCACTTTCGTTTTGAAAGCTACTGGAACAAGGATGAAGATTGCAAACAAGTCATTCAAGAAGGGTGGCAGAGTCAGCCCCAAGCCTCTTTTTTAACTAAGATAACAGTGTGTGAGACTAAGTTGAAGCAATGGAGTAGAACAAAGTATGGAAGCCTAGCTCTCCGACGGCTGAAACTAGAGAGGGCTTTGGAGAAGATAGAAAAAAGGAAAAAAGATACAGCAGTACTTCTTCAGAGGAAAGCCCTAGAACAAGAGCTCAACGAAGTCCTGATTCTTGAGGAAATAGCTTGGAAACAACGTTCCCATACTAATTGGCTGACTGAAGGGGATAGCAATTCCAAGTATTTCCACAGACGAGCATCGGATAGAAGAAACAGGAACACTGTGATAAAACTGAAGGACGAAGATGACATTTGGTGTAAGGGACAGGCGGCAGTTATGGGATGTTTTTTCAAGTACCTGAACAAGCTCTACACAGCAGGAACAAGTGCACCATCTCATCATATACTGGATGCTGTCCCAAGGAAAATAACAATGGAAATGAACGATGAGCTCATAAAGCCTTTTACAGGGGACGAGATTTGGTTTGCTCTAAAGAAAATGGGACCTTTTAAAGCTCTAGGTGCTGATGGAATGCCTGCTGGCTTTTTCCAAAAGCATTGGAACATTGTGGGGGAAGATGTCACCCGGGAACTCCAAAGTTTCCTCGAATCAGGGGAGTTTCCGCAAAGCCTGAATCACACCCTTCTAGCCCTTATCCCAAAAAAGAAGGCGCCAGAGAAGCCTATGGATTTCAGACCTATAAGCCTTTGCAACGTTGCCTACAAGATCCTCTCTAAAGTACTAGCAAACAGACTGAAGAGAGTCCTAAATGAAGTAGTGGTCGAAAATCAGAGTGCGTTTGTGCCAGGACGGTTCATATCTGATAACATCATTGTTGCTTTTGAGAGTTTTCATGCTATGAAACAAAGGAAAAAAGGCAGAAAAGGGTACATGGCAGCAAAGCTTGATATAGCAAAGGCATACGATCGGGTGGAGTGGCCTTTTTTGGAGGCTATAATGAAGAAGCTGGGGTTTGCAGACAGGTGGGTCAGTCTTATAATGAAATGTGTTACAACAGTGTCCTATGCGGCGATTGTTAATGGCCATCACTCTGAAACCTTTTTCCCTCAGAGAGGATTGAGACAAGGTGATCCAATATCACCTTATCTGTTCTTGTTAGTAGCAGAAGGCCTCTCGGCATTGATTACTAAGGCTAAAAAAGAGGGAATGATACAGGGGATCAAGGTCAGAAAGGAAGCTCCAGCTATTACACATCTGCTATTTGCAGACGACAGCATCTGTTTTGTGAGAGCAACTACGATAGAGTGTCAGAAGCTTAGACAAATTCTGAATCTTTACGAAACTGAATCAGGGCAGCAAGTAAATCTCACTAAATCTGAACTATCCTTCACACCGAATCTAACAAATAGTAGGAAGGAGGAGCTTGCAGGGATCCTGGGAATGAAGATAGTACAGTCCCATGAGAAGTATCTAGGCCTACCTACTCTTGTAGGCAGAGAAAAGAAATCTGTTTTCAGCTATCTGGTTGACAGGGTCAGGAAAAAAGTGAAGTTGTGGAAGAGCCATTTACTTTCAAGTGCTGGAAAGGAAATATTGATAAAAGCAGTAGCGCAAGCTCAAACAACATATGCGATGTCAATTTTCCAAATCCCTAAGGGTATCATTGAAGAGATACAGAGCATTCTATCAAACTTTTGGTGGGGACAGCAGGACGATGAAAGGAGGACGCATTGGAAAAGTTGGAAAGAATTGTGTCGACCAAAGAAAGAGGGAGGTATGGGGTTTCGAGAATTGGAAGGTTTTAACTTAGCCCTTTTGGGAAAACAAGTCTGGAACTTAGCAAAGAATCCCACTTCCCTAGCGGCTAGAGTTCTGAAAGCACGTTATTTTCCCCACTCTGATATCTTGAATGCCAAAGTGGGCTATGACCCGAGCTTTGTATGGAAGAGCATCATGGCAGCTAAGGAACTAGTAAGGAAGGGCGTTCGTTGGAGGGTTGGAGATGGTACTAGTATTCACATTTGGGATGACCAATGGCTTATGGGTAAGGAAGAAGTGATTTTGAGCTCCACAAGAACAACCGAGTCACCAACAAGGGTACACGAGCTGATTGACCTAGAAGCTAGAGAATGGAAGACAGAACTCTTACAGTCCTATTTTGAAGCTGAGGATAGAAGGAGGATCACCCTAATTCCAATCCCAAGGCAACCCTCGACAGACAAAATAATCTGGAGGGCAGAGAGGAATGGAAATTACTCGGTCAAGACTGCATATTTTAAATGGAGAAGAAGGGTTGGGTGAAAGGTATGTGCCAGTGAATTGGAACCAAATCTGGATACTTCAGATACCCCCAAAGGTTATAGTGTTTGCTTGGAAGTGGATACACAACATTCTACCTACTGGAGGTAATCTTGTGGATCGCACTAAAAGAGGAAGTGAAGAGTGTCCGTTCTATGGGCTTAAGGAAACACAGGTGCACCTATTCAGGGATTGTGGATGGGTTCGAAGAGTTTGGCAGCCAACATTGATCAAAAGAATGCTAAATGAAGAAGAAGAACTAACCTGTAAAGAGTGGATTTGTGCCTTGCAAGAGATGGAGTCGGCGGACGAAATTGGCAACTTCCTTGTAGCTCTATGGTTCATCTGGGCGGAAAGGAATTGCCATCTGTGGAATAACAAAAAAAAAGAGGAATGGGAGATCATCGATCGAGCTATGCAATGGTTAGAAGAGTACAAAAGACACCAATTAATACCGGCTGGAGGCGGACGACAGAAATCGACGCAGTGGGAGCCGCCGCCGGCGGGGAGCTTCAAGATTAATGTGGATGCCGCTATCTTTGAAGGAAATGGATCTGGTTTTGGGGTGGTGATACGAGATGCGAACGGTAATTGCTGTCTAGCTGGGGTGAAGCGTACGAGAAGACAATGGCTTCCCGAATTTGCAGAAGCGACAGCGATTTCCTTTGGCTTGGAAGTGGCGAAGAGGCACAATTTCTCACCTGGGTTGTTTGAAACTGATTGCTTGGTGGTGGTTCAGAGTCTCCAGAACGAAGAGGAGGATGAGACGAAAATGGCGGAGGTGTGTAAGGAGTTACGGGCTCAACTCCATGAGGCTGGCGGGCTGAATATCACTTTTGTGGGCCGAGAAGCAAATAGAGCAGCCCACCTGATGGCTCACACACTATGTAATTGGGAGGAAGAGGAGTTTTGGACCTCTAGCCCACCTGCTTTCCTTTCTCCTATTCTCTTTTCAGACTGTAAGCCTCCAGCCTTGAATCAGTAATAAAAATCCAGGTCTTCTTACTCAAAAAAAAAAAAAAACTATGAGGATAGTATAATATGGTCTAAATAGAGCATTATTATATTATCTTGTTTTTTCATCCATTCTCATTGGACATTTTTATTGCATGTATTCTTGATGCATACTTAGCTTCTACAAATGTTTAATTACTAATCCATTATAATGTATTGGCGATTAGAGTTGTTGATTTCAACAACTTATTACAATTGAACACTGTTCAAGAGTTTCAATCTTGTTTACAACCGAACACTATTCAAAAGAGTTCAAAGAGTTTCAATCTTTGTCTCAACTTGAAATCGTTATTTCCATTATAACATATGTGTTATTGTGTAGACACCCATAGGTGGTCAAAGATTTTCAACACCTTCTTATAAGAAGTTTGATACTCTCAACCAATGATTCTTTGTCAGGATATATGATGCAATTATTGGAAGTTATTTCCTATGCATGATAACACTCAAAATATAGTGTTCTCAAGGTCCTATACTTGATACATTCCACCTCCATCTTTAGTCATTTTTACTATATTTTCTATAAATTTCATAACTATTTGATTATTGTGCTTATTTTAGACCTTGATTGTGTTTTTGTATTGTTTTACGCCTTTTTGTATTATTTTGTGCATTTAAGGATAAAATATCATCAAGAGAAATGTGGATCAAATAATGGACCAAGGAGACATGGAGTATAGTAGATGACCTAAGATGGCCATCTTGCCTCATAAGTTCATGATCCCAAAATTCTGCCCCTTATCCGTGAACTTGCCCGAATTTGGAAATTCTATAAATATGGGTCTCCTCCCCTTTAATAGATGTCTTTTGGCAGATTTTTTATTCTAGAGAGATTAGAAAGAGAAGTAGAAGGTTGGAGAAGAAGAGGATGAGAAGAAGTGAAGGAGAGCTTTGGAGGAAGACTTCCATTAATTGACGACCCCTTCTTCATGATTTCTTACCCTCTTTGTATAGTTATCATTACATGAAGAACCTAAACTAGGGTGAGGGAGTTACCCCGAGTACCTCTTCCTTTCTATTGATCTTTAGTATAGGAATCGCCAACTGCCAATCTGCTAAGTAACAGGTTGAATAGATAACGATCGAGCCTAAGTAGTCAAGGATATCGTGACCCTTGGAATATGACCAAGCCACTTTACTGCATCCCTAGCTTGATTATGCTTGGCCTAGTTAGGATTGACGTGAATGCGCTTCGATTTACAAATATTAAAACTTCTACGATCAACATTCAAATGAAACTCAATCACCATGGCCATCTAAAGGGTTCGATTACCGTCAGCCCTATTCATCTCAATAAAGCCCAATTCATCATGTAGTTTACTTGAGGGCCGAGTAATCCAAGTCCGAGGAGAAGAATTCAAGGTGAGCCCAACCGTCGTCCAGCCGCCGCTACCTTAGAAGATTCTTTCTTCATCACCAAGTATAGGAGTCTGAGTTCAAGTCAAACAAGGAAGGCTTTTGGCTAAAATTCTGAAGCAAAACCTTAATGCCACATCATTTGTACACAAGCCTTTACCCCCTAGTTAGTATTATAAACAGAGGTTTAAACTAGAGTCTTAGAGCAAGTTGTATAGTTTTCATATGCTTTACAAGCTCAACATATATATAAAGAGAATATTACACACTCGAATTAAAGGGATTTACAAAATTTCTTTCGAAGTTCTTACTTTTCCTCATGGAAAGGTTTTCCTTAGTTCAATCCTTTTAGCATCCATTGGAGAGACGAAGTTTTGTCGTTTTCAATGGAGATGTCTTCATCATTGATGGCGATATCATACCTCTCTCTTATGGCCAGCTAAAGTTCTTATTGTTTAGAATGTGAATCCTATGATGCTTTGTGCATACTTTCGATGATTTAATCATATGTTTATGATGTTTTCATCTTCTATTATGTGTTATCTTGGTTTTGTGCTTAATACTATTATAAGTTGTTAGGAGCCTGCTCTTGTGTTGATGTGGTGACTTATGCATGTATTATATTATTGGAAGCAAATTTTCATGTATGTATATGTTTGTTTCCTGATATAGGTTGTTAAGAACTCGCTCTAAAAATAGGTCATTAAATTTACGGATCATTGTTATGGTGTTTGTATAAGACTTAATTAACATAATGTTGTTTATCATCCCTTGCTCGAGATTTGACTGGTTAGTGGCATGAACTGAAAGCAAACATTAGCTAATGTTAATTCCTTTTGCATTTGATGAAAGCTTGATTAGGAAGATATTAGTGGAGAAGATAGAGAATCATAATATAAGGATGTATTATACTTAAGGAATTAGTATACATGATTATTTATATGAAAACTAACTAAACAGTAGTTTCTCATACTTGTTTTGACTATTTATTTACTCGGTGAAGTAAAAAAAAAAAAAAAGAAATCTCAACCCATCCACGTGGGCCCGAAGTTGATCTCTTATGACGGGCTAGATTTTAGAAATACCACAGTCAAATGATCATGTCATATTCCTTCATCCTCGAGGGTTTTCCAAAATCAAAATTGACACCCCTAGAATAGAATATAATATAATATAATATAGAAGAGAAGAGCGAGCGCTCGTCTTCGACCACTGGTAATCGATCGAATCCTATGGCTCCCTCTGACGATGAAGAATTGCCTGATTTGACATACTACAATGGTACCTACTACGAAAAGTGTCAGGAACTTAACAAGATGGAGATGAAAGAAGAATACGACGACTACGACTACATTTATGAGGACGCCGATTTTGTTAACAATAACACCCTAAAGTTGCATGACATCTACTACAGGAGGAAGGTGTGCGAGAATGGTGTAAGCTGTTCCAAAATCCCCAAATTTTTGTAGTATTCAATTCGTGTCTTCCAGTTTCTCTAAATAAATCAGTTATTAAGTAATATTGGCTATTCTAATTTTTTCTTAATTTATATGCCCAACATTTTTATTTTGAAATGCTATATGTCTTCTGAAATTCTACTTGACGTATTCTAAATAAATCAGTTTCTCTAAATAAATCAGTTCTTAAGTATTCAATTCGTGTCTTCAAGCGCTAATCTACAAGCTGAAGAAGAAGGAAGTGGATTTTACGGAGTTGGGTAACTGGTGCGATGAAATTCTGAGTTTGGCGAAGGTGAACGAAGCCATTTCTGGTTCTCAGGTGATTTGGACGTTCGTTGGAAGAAAGAAAAACAGGGTTGCTCTCTGGCTGGCTCATTCGGGGTCGTTTTGGGATCGTCAGGTGGTGTGGACCGAGAATCCTCCTCTTTCTTTATTAGCGTTACTGGAAGAAGATTTGGGCCGAGGACCATGTACTAGCTCTTGAAACTCTTTGAATCGAATACAGGTTCCCATAAAAAAAATCTACATGACGTACTAACTTTAATATACATTTTACGTATTAGTCAAATTTCAAATTGCAATTAAGAACATAAATAAACACTCCCTCACTCTCTCTCCTTTCTAACACCACAATAAACCTTCTCTCTCCTCCCTCGCCTTCTCTCTCCCAACTCAAGCCTATGCACATCTTCTCTCCATCCCATCCTCCTCCCACCATCGATCATCCCAGCTGCCGCCAACCAACTTGTTGTTGCTACCTTCCTGTTTCTTTTTTTTTCATAGGAAGAGCTGTGTGTTGATCGATAGGGTTCGTCGGAGAATCGCCTGAGCCATAGGAGAATGATCGTTGGAATCAGAGGTACACTCAAACCGCTATTTTCACAACGTTTAACCCTCCTTCCAACCACAATTTCCACCACGGTTGACCATCCTTCCAAAAGAAATTTAGACCTCGTTTTAACACTTCTTCTCCATAGTTGAATTAGGTATGCAATAAATATGATAAGAGAGAGAAAACACAAAGCACACGGGATTTACGTAGCATCCTCATTCTAGACAGAACGAGACTAATCCATAGCGAACTCAGAAGAGTTCGCGGCTGATCTGTTATTACTGTGACAGATGAATTCTCACGTTGCTTGCTTGTGACAAACTCCACAGCTAAGCACGTATATATATAGACATGGACGTGGGTGACAAACCCTACTACAACAGCCGACTCACGTACGACAATTACAAGACATATTTGGACTAGGACTTCGACAAGGAACATGGACAAGAAAACTAATGCGTACAAGGTAATTACTTGACCTCTAAGTAACTACCTATCGCAACACTCCCCCTCAAGTGAAAGAATGGATGTCAATCATTCCGAGCTTGGACAACAAATGACGAAACTGATCCACGCTAAGTCCTTTAGTGAAGATATCTGTCGGCTGTTCAGCAGTGTCGATTTTCCGTGGCAAGACATCACCAGCAACAACTCGCTCACGGACGAAGTAACAGTCCATTTCAAAATGCTTAGTGTACTCATGAAACACTGGGTTGGCACTGATGTGTAAAGCAGCCTGATTATCACAAAATAACGAGGTTCCCGTTGAGAGAGGGTATCCAAACTCGGCCAGCAACCAACGGAGCCATATCACCTCACTAACTGTCGTAGCCATGGCCCGATACTCGGCCACTTCCAAAGAACGAGAGACGACTGGCTGCTTCTTGGCTCGCCAAGAAACAGGAGCACCTCCCAAAGTGATGAAATAACATATAGTAGAACGACGAGTGGTAGGACACCCTGCCCAGTCAGCGTCACAGTAAGCCGTTAAAACCATGGAAGAAACCGCAGGGAACAACAATCCAAGACCTGGAGCCTGCTTCAGATACCGCAAGACACGGATGGATGGATCAACATGTGCCTGAGTAGTGGCATGAACTGCCTGACTGAGTAAGTTCATTGTATACTGGATATCTGGCCGGGTCACAGTCAAATATAGGAGACGACCAATGAGGCGACGAAACCCGGACGGATCTTGTGCTGGGTTAGAGGGTGTAGACGATGGACGAGTGCCAGCGAGACCACTGTCTGCCAATATATCAAGGACATACTTGCGTTGATTTAGAACAACACCCCTCAGAGAACGAGCAACTTCCATACCAAGAAAATACTTCGAGGGTCCCTAGTCCTTAATAGTGAACTTAGCATGAAGGAAATCCTTGACCTCTTGTATGAATTTCGCATCGTTACCTGTGAGAATAACATCATCCACGTAGATAAGTGCAGCAACAAAACTCGATCCCGAACGGTGAATGAACAAAGAGTGGTCAGCACGACTTTGGACAAAACCAAAAGCAAGAAGAGTATGAGAGAACTTCTGGTACCAGTTGCGCGAGGCCTGGCACAATCCGTAGATGGATTTGTGAAGATGAAACACTCTTGTATCACCTGGACGTGCAAATCCTTGAGGGATTTCCATGTAAACCTCTTCATGGAGATCACCGTGAAGAAATGCATTGTGTGTGGCGGACGTGCCACTTTCTTGCAATGTTGAAGTGACCAAGGTCTCCTTTGGGGACGAGGGACTTGAGGAAATCTCATGGGCATCAGGTGTGACATTTTGATTGGGGATACTAGAAGTTGGGGCCACGAAATTCAGATGATTGGCAGAGGTACCAGCGGGCAAGTCGAGCTCCTCGAGGGGATCTTCAAGGCGTTCAGCAACACGATCCACAATGACCTGCAAGTCTTGATCATCCTCATCGATAGGAGTAACAGTCGAGGGGGAACCAGCAGGCATGAGACGTCGAAAGGGAAATATTTCCTCGAGAAAAAACACGTCCCGTGAGGTGTAGATGGTGCGATGTTCTATGTCAAAACCCCGATAACCACGCTGTGACGCAGGGTACCCAATGAAAATACCCGGCTTTCCACGAGCAGAAAACTTGGACAAGTTGGCGTGGGTGTCCTTTGCATAGACCAAACACCCAAAAGTTAGAAGATGGTCATACCGGGGTAGACTTCCCAGAAGAACTTCGTATGGAGTTTTATTGTGAATAGAAGTGAGGGGCATCCTATTGATGAGGTATGCCGCTGTGAGAACACATTCGCCCCAAAAATGAATAGGGAGTCCCCGAATGAAAACGGAGAGCCCTGGCAGTGTCGAGTAAGTGGCGATGTTTGCGCTCGACTACCCCATTCTGTTGAGGAGTATCTGTACAGGACGTTTGTAGGATGATCCCTTCCTTTTCATAATAATCACGCAACGCTGGAAAAGTAAATTCTCGCCCATTATCACTCTGAATACGCTTCACCTGACACTCATATTGAGTGCGAACCTGGTTACAGAACAATAACAAGTAGCGCACAACCTCCGACTTTTGCTTCAACAGATATACCCAGACTGTACGACTAAAATCATCCACGATAATAAGAAAATAGTGAGCTCCAGTAAAAGAAGTCTGTTGATATCCACCCCAAATGTCTACATGAATAAGTTCGAAACATGACCGAGTTTTAATCGAACTCTCAACAAAAGGAAGTCTAGTCTGTTTTGCTCGCAAACAGGAAACACATGGAGCTTTATTAACTACTATCGGTCTGGAAATAAAACGCTGCAACATAACAAACTTGGACGTTGACGGGTGCCCAAGTCAAAAATGCCATAGACGAGAATCTTTGAGTGCCTCCTGCGCTGCATAAGCCACTGGATGTCGATCCTCAAACATCCGCAGGTGATAAAGATCATCCACTTGCTTACCCATCCCAATCATGCCTTTGGATTGTAAGTCCTGAATTACAAAGAAATTGTTTAAGAAAACCACTGCAACCTGATGATCTGCTGTAAGGCGACTGACCGATAACAGATCACACTGAAAATCTGGAACATGTAACACATTACGGAGAACTAAACCATTCCCCAATATAGACTTGCCAGTACCACGAACTGGAATTCCAGTTCCATTAGGAATTCGAACCTGTAGACTAGAGTTGGACTTCAACTCACCATCAAATAACGAAGCATCCTTAGCAATATGTTTGTTACAACCGGAATCAATAACCCATGTATCGGAAGGAATAGTATCACGGGAAATACCTGACATGTTAGCTTTGGGTTGAGAAGAGGTAGGCTCGCCATCAGAATGCTTGAGATCGACATTAAGGAACGCCTTCAGTTGTGCAACCAGATCGGGAGAAAGACCGGGGATGAGATCGGCAGACTCGACAGCAGCATCATGGGGATCTCCTCGACCTTGTCGCGGTGGGTTTCTGCGGCGAGGTTTGTAATTCCTCTCTCCTGACTTTGGCGACCACCCAATAATGTCGTAACATGTCTCGCGAAAGTGTCCCGGCTTTCTGCAGTGCGTGCATATAGGACGACCCTCGGGAGTGCGATTCTCGGAGCTATGATGGTCCAAGCTTGGGCGCTCCCCCTTACCCTGAAAGGCAGCAGCTTCTTGACGCGGACGATGCTCATGTGTAAGGCTCCTTTGCTGCTCGTCATTAGCGACGGCATGATAAGCCTCACCAAGTGTTGGCGGAGGCTTTTGAGATAGGAGGTGAGTCCGGACAGCAGAATAATGATCGTCCAACCCAACTAGGAAGTCGAGAAGTTTCATGGCCTCATGGGACTCCATTGTGCGCCGCTCCACTTGACAGGTACAACGACCACACGTACATACCGCGGGGGGGTCGAGACTAAGCCAATCATCCCATAGCCGCTTCAATTTTGCATCAAAGGCGAAACACTAGATCTATCTTGGCGAAGAGAGGTGATTTGACGCTGAATCTTGTAACGGCGGGGCAAGTTACACGTGCTGAAACGTTCTTGTAACTCATCCCAGATTTGCTTGGCCGTAAAACTCGAACGTAAGCTGTTGCGGATCTCCTTGGACATCGCAGTCCGCAGCCATCCGACCACCATATCATTACATCGAACCCAAGAATTCAGCTTTTCACCAGCAGTAGGTTTGGCGACGGTACCGAGCACAAAATCAAACTTGTTCTTAGCGATGAGCGCATTAGACATCTTCGCCGACCATTCACCATAATTGAGATCAGTAAGTATCTCCCCAACGAACACCTGACTGGGCACATCGGACGGATGCAAGAACAATGGGGAAGTAGGGATGATGACATCGAGATCGACGGACGCCTTCCCCTTGTCACCCGAACCTGATTCTTCATCGGACAAGACGAAAGAGCAGTGGGTAGCCAAGAAGAAACACCAACGAAAGCAAACTAACAACGAACCGAGGTTAGCTCTGATACCATGATAAAATCGATGACGCGGAAATAGAGAAAACACAAAGCACACGGGATTTGCGTAGTATCCTCGTTCTAGACAGAACGAGACTAATCCACGGCGAACTCGGAAGAGTTCGCGGCTGATCTGTTATTACTGTGACAGATGAATTCTCACGTTTCTTGCTTGTGACAAACTCCACAGCTAAGCACGTATATATATAGACATGGACGTGGGTGACAAACCCTACTACAACAGCTGACTCACGTACGACAATTACAAGACATATTTGGACTAGGACTTAGACAAGGAACATGGACAAGGAACATGGACAAGGAAACTAATGCGTACAAGGTAATTACTTGACCTCTAAGTAACTACCTATCGCAACAATAAGGGTTGGTGGCATGATTTGGAAAGGGATCAACACCTCGTCGTACCAATGAACTCAGGCAGATGATGAGTACGTTGTGGTAAGAGAAGCTCAGCGTCTCTGCTTTTTTCACAAAGCTTTGATCAACTTGGGAGGAGATAAGGGACATGTAGTTTTAGGGTGTTTGTTGCCACCAAAATCATAATTCAGACAACCATAATTCTCGTCGTTGTACTCTTCTTCATCTCCAGCTTATCAAGTTTACGCCAACCGTTTTTTTAATAGGAGAACTTTGCTCGCTAGTGATTGTGACAATTTTTGTTGATCCTTGCTTACATCCACGTCCCGCATTACAAAATCGTTGAAATGATCGGCGACTGACAAACTTGTGTATTATGGAAATTTTTTATGTATAAATGAGAGATTTATTTAATAACTCATGCATTTTGGAAAAGGGGAAACAATTCACTCCTTATAGATTTGTTAGTGCCACCGGAGCCCTCCTTCGCTACACGACCTCAGAATCACTCATTGCCCCTTTAAACCAATAGCGTTATTCTGCTAACGCTATTAGTGGTTAGCATATACTAACACGGTGGGATGAGGGGCCACGTAGGCGAGCCACCATCGGAGGGTTGAGGATCGCCGGCGCTGTTCTGTGAGGGGGGAGGGATTTTTGGGCCAAGCCGAGCCACATTTGGGAAAAGTGGGGACAGAAAAAAAAAATCCAAATTTGAAACCCAAAACCCAACAAAGTGACAAACCCGCTCAGCCATTCTCTCTCCCCTCTCTCCAACTTTCGCAATCGAACTTTCGAACCCTCTCCCTCTTCTTCTCCCGAAAACCGCAGAACAGCGACGAGAGAGGCGACGCCGACGAGGAAAGCGATGGCGACGACGGCTGCGAGGTCGGCGACTGCTTGTTGGATCTCCCGCCGACGACGACGTTGACGCTGGACCACTCGACGAGGAAGAAGCCGCCGCCGACGAGAAGAAAGAAGAAGAGGGAGCCGACTTCGCCGCCGTCGCCGCCGTGGGAGGTAGAAGAAGACGCTGAGGTAGTTCTACTTCTGTATTGTTCATTTTGTTTGTGGATTTCAAAATTTATGTTAGGGTTTCGGTTTCATGAATTTTTTTGTGGAAATCTCGGTTTTGTTTATGGATTTGATAATTTATGGTTCATGCAATTCGATTTAGGGTGTTTAGGGTTTTGATTCTAGATTTCCAGATATTGTGTTGGTGGGATTCGAATTTGGGGTTTAGGGTTTCGTTTTGGGGGTTTAGGGTTTCGTTTTTCGATTTGTAGATTTAGGGTTTCATGGATTCGAATATGGTCACTGGAAGTTTCCTCTTCATGCACCTACTAAATGCTTCAAACAACCATTCAAAAGAAGGAGTTGTCTCGTCATATAACAAACAAGCGCCAAACACACAAGTTTGTCGATGATGATTGAAACCTACAAACATCCCTGCAAAAGACTTGGTATTAAAAACAATGCATAACCGCTTGCGTGTCCAAAAAAATAAGGAAAATAAGTGGTCAACATACCCAATGGCCGGAAGTGTTTATTGGTTCGGAAGGTGGTGTCGAAGGAGACAGAGTCTCCGAAAAGTGCATAATCTTCACGCATCCTACTATCTGCCCAAAAAATATTGGCAACTTTCTCCTCACAATCTACCTCTACAGCATAAAAGAAGCCGGGATACTTCTCCTTTTGGTCTTGAAAGTAGTCAAGCAAGAAACTCGCTTCGCCACGAGACATAGTCTTTTGTCTGTTCTTGTTCAAATGGTTCTTCTGATCACATTTGGTAAAAGTCAAGTTCTCATACCCTCCGGCACACTCAGCCAATAGTTGATACGATGACCTAAGACTCATCCCGGCATTGCGATTTGCTTCAGCAACAAGTCCTTGAGGAACGCTCACGGACTTGTTTGACTTTAATAGGTGAGCATGCTTGGTGGGGTGCAAATCATGATTGTGAGCTCCAATGAAATTGTGCACCACATATCCATCCCTATTCTCATCCCATCGGAAACGAACAAGGGCGGGGCATTCAGCCCTAATTCGAAACCTCTTTCTTTTAGGGCGGCTTCTCTCTACAACGGAATCCTCTCCATGTTTCTGTTTCTCAACATTGAATTCTTCCGTTGACCCTTGCTTATTACAAACATAATAAAGGTAGGCATAAATTTTCACCACCTCTCCTTCAGAATTCTTCCTTTTTCTCAAATGTTGCGAATCTACTCGAACACCAAACCCTTTTTTGTGAGCATAGCGTTCGTAGAAACGAACACACTCTTCCTTAGTACGAAAAAAGATGTTATTCCTCGCTTTATCATCTTCTAGGTCGGAAGTGTTGTGAGCTGCGAGATATTTCCATTGCCAGTTAGTATCCAATGTGCCCAGAGTAATTCCCAGAATAAGTGTAACAAATATCCGTAAACAGTAATATCCATGAATCTTAAAATAGTATCTGATTGCTCCAAATATGCATCCACACTATAATCTGACTTACTAGTATCCACAATAATTAAATGAATATCCAATATGCCCAGACTAGTATCCACACAAATTAAACATAGGCTACAAACTACGTCCAACAAACAGTAGGTAACTAGTATCCAACTAGCTCATAGTAGAATCCCAGAAGACCAACTAACATTAAACTCACACCAAACACATTAAATTTCATTCAATGCTCCCAACCAAAACTCAACAACACAAACTTATAAATATGTCAATCCACAATCACCTTCTTCTTCTTCTTGTACTGTTGCATCGAAGCCAAACCCACAACCACCATCTATTTGAGTCAAACCTTCTAATACACCATCAACAAATTCTTCTTCTTCATGGGACGAGCTCGTTGATGGACGATCTAACTCGGCCTCATCATGGATCATCATCAGCAAGTTTCCTGGTCGCCGGAGGATGAAGAGGAAAGAGCAGGCCGCCGCCGGCGACTTTTCCGTCGGAGAAAAGAAGAGGGAATTCAGAGAAAAGAAGAGAGAAGGAGGGGTTGGGAGAGTTGAGAGAGAAAAAGTTGTTGTGGCTTTTTTTTTTTTTTTTGCCAAAGAAGTGGTTGTGGCATTTATTGCCCTATCACTTCTATTCTTTCCCCAATTTTTTGAAAAGACACAAAAATCCACCCAAAACTGATTCGGGCCCACCCATACTAAGATATTCTTTTTGTCAAGTATCCACGCCACCCCGAATAGTATCTCAAAAATCCATACAAATATCCAACACAAGAAATAAATGAATATTCTTTAGGTTCAAATAAATATCCAAGAAACCCAAACATGTATCACAATAATACAAACAAACATCAAAAAATAAGTAAAACACATTACAACAAATACTGACAAATATCCACAACAGCCCAACTAATATCAAATATTTGTACTCTAACCCTAAACCCTAAACACATGTACTAAAAGAATATTTCATCAGGTTAAAATAAATATCCAAACAACCCGTACAAATATACAGATGTTATAAATAAATATCACTTGGTTAGTACAAAGTATTACAACTAGGAAAGACAAGTATCCACAACACACCAACTACTATCTAATATTTGTAACCTAACCCTAACCCTAAACCCTAAACCCTGAACTCTAAACCCTAATCTCTAAACACTAAAACACTAAAACTATTATTGTTTGCCCAAGCCGAGAATATTCAAAGGTTCCACACAAATATCCAAATACATGAACTAAGGAAATATTTCCTCAGATTCCAATAAATATCAACACAATTGGGGAAAAAATCAAATTAATTTGAAGAACTATCTTGTGGTTCATAAAAAGTATTACAACAAGGAAAGACAAGTATCCACAATACACCAACTAATATCTATTATTTGTAGCCTCTTCCTAACCCTAAACCCTAAACCCTGAACTCTAAACCCTAATCTCTAAACACTAAAACAATAAAACTATTATTGTTTGCCCAAGCCGAGAATATTCAAAAGTTCCACACAAATATCCAAATACATGAACTAAGGAAATATTTCCTCAGATTCCAATAAATATCAACACAATTCGGGAAAAAATCAAATTAATTTGACGAAATATCTTGTGGTTCATAAAAAGTATTACAACTAGGGAAGACAAGTATCCACAATACACCAACTAATATCTATTCTTTGTAGCCTCTTCCTAACCCTAAACCCTGAACTCTACACCCTAATCTCTAAACACTAAAACAATAAAACTATTATTGTTTGCCCAAGCCGAGAATATTCAAAGGTTCCACACAAATATCCAAATACATGAACTAAGGAAATATTTCCTCAGATTCCAATAAATATCAACACAATTCGGGAAAAAATCAAATTAATTTGAAGAAATATCTTGTGGTTCATAAAAAGTATTACAACTAGGAAAGACAAGTATCCACAACACACCAACTACTATCTAATATTTGTAACCTAACCCTAACCCTAAACCCTAAACCCTGAACTCTAAACCCTAATCTCTAAACACTAAAACACTAAAACTATTATTGTTTGCCCAAGCCGAGAATATTCAAAGGTTCCACACAAATATCCAAATACATGAACTAAGGAAATATTTCCTCAGATTCCAATAAATATCAACACAATTGGGGAAAAAATCAAATTAATTTGAAGAACTATCTTGTGGTTCATAAAAAGTATTACAACAAGGAAAGACAAGTATCCACAATACACCAACTAATATCTATTATTTGTAGCCTCTTCCTAACCCTAAACCCTAAACCCTGAACTCTAAACCCTAATCTCTAAACACTAAAACAATAAAACTATTATTGTTTGCCCAAGCCGAGAATATTCAAAAGTTCCACACAAATATCCAAATACATGAACTAAGGAAATATTTCCTCAGATTCCAATAAATATCAACACAATTCGGGAAAAAATCAAATTAATTTGAAGAAATATCTTGTGGTTCATAAAAAGTATTACAACTAGGAAAGACAAGTATCCATAATACACCAACTAATATCTATTATTTGTAGCCTCTTCCTAACCCTAAACCCTAAACCCTGAACTCTAAACCCTAATCTCTAAACACTAAAACACTAAAACTATTATTGTTTGCCCAAGCCGAGAATATTCAAAGGTTCCACACAAATATCCAAACACATGAACTAAGGAAATATTTCCTCAGATTCCAATAAATATCAACACAATTGGGGAAAAAATCAAATTAATTTGAAGAAATATCTTGTGGTTCATAAAAAGTATTACAACTAGGAAAGACAAGTATCCACAATACACCAACTAATATCTATTATTTGTAGCCTCTTCCTAACCCTAAACCCTGAACTCTAAACCCTAATCTCTAAACACTAAAACAATAAAACTATTATTGTTTGCCCAAGCCGAGAATATTCAAAGGTTCCACACAAATATCCAAACACATGAACTAAGGAAATATTTCCTCAGATTCCAATAAATATCAACACAATTGGGGAAACAATCAAATTAATTTGAAGAAATATCTTGTGGTTCATAAAAAGTATTAAAACTAGGAAAGACAAGTATCCACAATACACCAACTAATATCTATTATTTGTAGCCTAACCCTAAACCCTAAACTCTAAAACCCTAATCACTAAACACTAAAAAAATAAAACTATTATTGTTTGCCCAAGCCGAGAATATTCAAAGTTGCCACACAAATAAATATCATTTGTTTAGTAAAAAGTATTACAATTAGTAAAGACAAGTATCCACAACAGACCAACTAATATCTTCTAACCCTAAACCCTAAACTCTAAACTCTAAAACCCTAATCCGAGAATATTAAAAGGTTACACACAAATAAAACTATTATTGTTTGCCCAAGCCGAGAATATTCAAAGGTTACACACAAATATCTAAAACTAAACATGAAACATTGAAACAAGAAACCCTAACCCCGAACCCTAAACAATGAACACTACTAAATAAACTCTAAAAACAATATAATCAGGAAAGAATAGATAATCATATTAACCAGACTAAACCTTAAACCCTCAAAGAGAACCCAAACCCTATTGTTGAAACCTTAACCCTAAGCTCTATACCGTAAACCCTAAACCAAACCTATACCATAAATCGTAAAAAATAAACTACAAACAATAAAAACTATTACTATTTAATGGGCCTTCGGCCCATGGGCCCTCGGCGGGCAGCCATAACTAAGGTTGCAAGCCTTATGTGTTAGGACTTGATAGTGTGTAGGACTTGATAGTGTGTTTAATTTGACGTAAGACACAATATTCCAATCCTTCACATTAGTTTAATAATGGATATTGGTTTGCTAAGGTAGAATACTAGTTCATTTCAACAATGATGCAAAGTAATATCAACACAACACAAAATAATATCGACTGACAATAAATAAATATCAGAATGGTTTACATAAATATCATGTGTTTAGTAAATAGTATTAAAACTAGGAAAGACAAGTATCCACAACACACAAACTAATATCTCCTATTTGTACCCTAACCATAAACCCTAAACTCTAAAACCCTAATCACTAAACACTAAAAAAATAAAACTACTATTGTTTGCCCACGCCGAGAATATTCAAAGTTGCCACACAAATAAATATCATTTGTTTAGTAAAAAGTATTACAATTAGTAAAGACAAGTATCCACAACAGACCAACTAATATCTTCTAACCCTAAACCCTAAACCCTAAACTCTAAACTCTAAAACCCTAATCCGAGAATATTAAAAGGTTACACACAAATAAAACTATTATTGTTTGCCCAAGCCGAGAATATTCAAAGGTTACACACAAATATCTAAAACTAAACATGAAACATTGAAACAAGAAACCCTAACCCCGAACCCTAAACAATGAACACTACTAAATAAACTCTAAAAACAATATAATCAGGAAAGAATAGATATTCATATTAACCAGACTAAACCTTAAACCCTCAAAGAGAACCCAAACCCTATTGTTGAAACCTTAACCCTAAGCTCTATACCGTAAACCCTAAACCAAACCTATACCATAAACCGTAAAAAATAAACTACAAACAATAAAAACTATTACTATTTAATGGGCCTTCGGCCCATGGGCCCTCGGCGGGCAGCCCTAACTAAGGTTGCAAGCCTTATGTGTTAGGACTTGATAGTGTGTAGGACTTGATAGTGTGTTTAATTTGACGTAAGACACAATATTCCAATCCTTCATATTAGTTTAATGATGGATATTGGTTTGCGAAGGTAGAATACTAGTTCATTTCAACAATGATGCAAAGTAATATCAACACAACACAAAATAATATCGACTGAAAACAAATAAATATTACACAAACAAACATACATAAATATCAAAGAGGGCCCATCAATTTTCATTCTCTTTCCACTCCTCTCCATTCTCCCGCCCAAACTCAAGCCGGGCCCACCAGCCCACCACGCCACCTGCCTTGATCTGCCGCCGCCGCTGGTAACTGGGCTGACTTCTCACTTTGGCCCACTGCAAGCTCACTTAAGTGAGCCGCCTCCAAGCCGCTCTCCCCTCCGTTGGATGAAACATGGGCCGACGTGGCCCTTCATCCTGCCCTGTTAGTATCTGCTAACACTTTGCCCTGTTAGCAGATTAACTTCTGCGCTTTAAACGGGAAGCTTTTAAGAGTTGGGAGTAATGTGAAAACTAAAAAGAAGCTCATCATCTCTAGTCTTTGAAATCAATTACACCACACTAGCAATCAACTCTGTGAAAGGATTATGTATGCATCGGGAGATTAGTAATTATATACTCCCTTTCATCTATCGCCATTAACCAATCCATCATCATCTAAATGATGGAACGAGGTCGAACGGGCTATCAATGTCGCCGAGGAAAGAGAGAGATGCAGCAGCAGCAACAGCAGAGCCGTAGAGGCTGCTCTGGAAATCTGGTTCCATGGTGTTGTTCTCCGAACGCTTGGCGAACCGGCCTTTGATCCTCGGCCTGGTTTCGGCATACGCTTTGCGAGACGCGTAGCGAATCGTCTTCTCGAACTTCCGGTTCTTCCTCTTCTCCCTGTACCTCATCACCCTGGCTTCTCTGTCCAGCCCGCAGAGCTGCTGGGCCGCTGGAGCTTGATGGTGATGATTCGGGTTCGCAGTAGTTGGAGCGCTCGAGATGGGCACATTCGGATGATCGAAAGAGAACGAAATCTCGGACATGGAGTTCGAGCTCCCGTCTGGCACGATTCCGGCATCATGGGAGGATGATGAAACCTGAAAATTGAGGAAAGAACCAATATACATACACTATTGCAGTATTGCTAACAGAAGTACAGAACTTTGTTCAAGACCCCAAACGTTGAGATCAAAGCATCACTTTTCAATTCAAAATTGATCAATATTGAATTCAAATTTTCATTTGATCCAAAACTTACTCATAGTTTTGTACTACTTTAATCATCACAATCAATTGAAGTACCTTGAATTGCAATCAAACAGTAATAGAACTGACGTCATTCCTCTGTTTTTTAAAGAAGCAGAGGGAAAATTCAACGAAAAAAAAGAAGCAGAGGGAACTTACACTATTGCTAAGGGAGCTCTGAGTTGGGTAGCTGAAAGAAGAGAGCTTCGAGCCAGAGAAATCAAATTCCAGCCCACTTTCACAGTCTGTCAATAGAATCGGATGGCCTACAGTAGTCGCCGGCAGTTGCAGTGGAAGTGGCTTGCTCTGCACTGGCACAACTCCATCGGAACCACAGCTGTAGCTCGGCTGAAACCTCCCATCCAAAGGGTTTCCATACTCAAATTCCAAAAGCTCATCCATATCCTCAAAAAACTGACCTCCGGAGTACTTCCCGTGCTCCCCAAGTTTCTGATTCAGTTGAGGAATTAACCCACCTCCGGCGCCGACGATGCCGCCGGGAAGCATCCAGGAAACTCCGTCCGCCTCGTGGTCGTAGTCACACCCACCTCCACCACCGTTCCCACCTTCATTTACCTTCGGAAACATGATATCGAATCCCGAAGAGTATGCTCTGTTTCCAACCTCGCCGGAAACAGAGTCGACGAACGGCTCGATTGGAACACGCTCGTGGCGGTGTGCGACCGGATTCGCCGTATGGATATCCAAATCACAGGTAACGCAGAGCGCTGCAGCATCGGCTTTGCAGGTGACGGCGGCCGGAGCCTGCTCGCAGGCATCGCACATCAAAACCCGCTGGTGTCTGGACACGGGCTTATTGTTATTACTGCCATTACTACTCCCATAGTGGATCCTTCCGTCGCAGGGGAGGCAGAGGAAGGCCGAATCAGCGCGGCTAAAGGCCGTCGCGTCCGCCGTCTTGCAGCTGTCGCAGCGATTTGCTGACATGGCACCCCACCCGCCGCCGACGACGGCCTCGGCAGCTGCGGCCGCCATGGAAGTCGCCTTGAGGATTTCGATTTCGGTTCCCATTGAAGCAGCTGGGGAAGTGGAAACAGTTTTGATCTTTTTTAGTTTGGGTTCGCCGCACGAGCTGTCTGATCGGAGGGAGGAAAAAAAAATCGAGCAGAGAAAATTGGTGGTTGCGCGAGAAAATGGGAAGGAGAGGAGGGTGGGAAAATTGCAATTAAATTGGGGAGGGAGAAGGACACGTGGAGGAAGGATGGCCAGGTAAAGATTTTGGGTAGACCAGCTGGATAATATATCTTAGGAAAGAGAGACGTCATTCGTCTGTGCCGACATGGGACCCACGCGAGCGGAGGATGGGTCAGAGGCGGAGCCAGGATTTAGGTTTCGGTGGGCCGGAGTTGTTTTGTCATAATAGCAAATCTGAAAAAATTAATATGAGGAAATTAATATTTTTTGTTATTATAAATGCATAATATATTACTAGAGATAATTAAATAATTCTAATAAATAGTTTATGTTGTGTTATGTTTAATAAATGAGTAACCTACCTAAAAACATCATGCATGTCAATGCGTAATATGTAAAGACGATGGAACTCACTTATGGCTGGGTGTGTAGTCATTACACCTAGTTTAGAAGCACAAAACAAATGCAAAAAACCTATTAATGAACACTATCGATAGGAACTGGGTCTGGTGGGATAAAATGGGAGTTTTACCCGCTGAGCTAGCTTCAAATTTTGTGATATACTATTGCTCACGATGGTATTTGATATAAAACTGTACTTTATACGTAATTTTCCTAAACCATAAAAAAATTTGTACGTAATTTCAAAATTCTCGGGGGGCCCTCCAAGGGCCCACATAGCTCCGCCCCTGGGATGGGTGAAGTTTATTTAAGTCATTTTAATACCCAAAGTTTTCCAATATGTTTTTTTTTATCTACCAACGTTGACTTGGCTCTTATGGTACAATTTCATTGCTCCAATTTTACTCAATGGATCATACTATAAGCACTAATTTGAGCTCTTAATCAGCCACATATGCCTACTAATGGGAGCAGTATATTCATCTCAACTTTATTTGGCTACTCTTTCGCTCTTGAATGCGAGTAGTATATCCCGATCGTATCATTTTCTTAGATGCATATTTTATCATTTGAACTTTTAAGTGACCATCTATTTTACGTTGATCGTGACTATGAGTTTGGACCGTGAATCCACACATATATGAGATATGTACGCACCACTCAATCCTCAAACGACCGCATGGTTGTAGTGCAACCAATCATTTTAGGAATGTACCAAAACGAGAGAGATGGACCAAGTTAAGGAGGGCACAAATAGAAAGGCAGAAATAAGATGGATCCCCAGCCAAGAGTTAGTTTGGCAAAACTAACATTTTAGATGCTGATGTGTATTATGTTTTCAATTCTCAGCCTCAAATCCCCTATTCATTCCCCCTCCTATTCTTCATAAACCCCACCCAATTTTGTACTATATATGCTTCAAGTTACGTGTACTCAATAATCAATATTTATGACAGGGGAGCAAATCTAAAGGTTGGGGGTTGGGAATTTCAAGAGGTGACAATTGCTTGATCCCACTGTCAATTTGGCTCGATCAATTTGTTGATCGTTAATTTGGACTTTCAACGCGTTTAACGGTTAGTAAGTCAACAGCCTTTACTTTGTGGGCAGAAACACAAAAAATTTATCAAACGGTTACTTCTGAATTTAATTTAGGCAAAATACAGCTGTATATCCACAACTATCAGGTTTGTGACAAATATATCCACAACTATCGAAATACACGAAATATCCATTTCCGTCCACTCCGTTAACTCTGTCAGTTAACTTGATGACTGGACAGGCGGTGGATGCTTAGTTGGCGTGTTTCTGACCCCACTAAATGACGTGGATTAATAGAGAGAAAAAAATATGCAAAATACAGTTGTATATCCACAACTATCAGGTTTGTGACAAATATATCAACAACTATCGATATACACGAAATATCCAAAAATCGGAAGGTTGTGTGACAAATCTATCCATTTTCATCTGAAACTATAACGACGTGTCAGACAACGTTAAATTGACTAAAGGAATGCTGAATCGATGCCATCTCACGTGCCACATAAGCCAAAAAGCAACTAAACTTTACATCGTTATCTGTTAGACCTCGCTGATGCAGTCTTCTTTGTTCGCGATTTGGTTAGATTCAAATTTTTTTTTTTAGATTCAAGCTTGGTATCACCATGGCGTCGACTGCATGGAAGCTGTCGGAGTAAAAGGGAGGCAATGGTTGGGGATTGTGGTTGGAATCGAAATCTGGGCTTGGGGTAGGGTTATTTGGGGGTGGAGCCGTAGATCGGAGGAGGATAAGTGGTTATTGGGCATGTTTCTGGGTTGGATTTTTAGTCTCGCCGTCTGTGGTTTTTAGGGTTTTTAAAATTTTCCCTCTTTTAATCCACGTCATTCAGTGGGGCCAGAAACACGCCAACTAAGCATCCACCGTCTGTCCAGTCATCAAGTTAACTGACGGAGTTAACGAAGTGGACATAAATGGATATTTCCTGTATTTCGATAGTTGTGGATATATTTGTCACAAACCTGATACTGGTGGATATATTTGTCACAAACCTGATAGTTGTGGATATACAGATGTATTTTGCCTTTATTCAACTAGCATATTTGGCATCTACGTGTAAAGTTTGGTTGCTTTTTGGCTTATGTGGCAGGTGAGATGACATCGATTCAACATTCCGTTAGTCAATTTAACGCCGTCCGACACGCCGTTATAGTTTCCGACGGAAGTGGATGGATTTGTCACACAACCTTCCGATTTTTGGATATTTCGTGTATTTCGATAGTTGTGGATATATTTGTCACAAACCTGATAGTTGTGGATATACAGCTGTATTTTGCCTTTAATTTATTTTTTCCTTTCATTACAATTTTGCCAATATATACACACATAAAAAATAAAAAGAAGCAAGAAGTTGGATTGGAAAACGTCATTTTATGCGTCAGCATTTGATGAGAGTGACACCAATAGGGGTGAACAAACACACCCGCAAACCGACCCACCCGTCCAACCCGACCCAACCCACCCGTATTTATCGCTAAAACGAAGGTTTTGGGTTGGGTGAAGGTTTTCTTTTGTACAACCCGCCTCTTTTGGGTTGGGTTTGGATTTTGGATTACACAACCCGTAGAACCCGACCCAACCCGTGTTCCAACTATTAGTATGAGTTCGTATCTAAAAAATATTTGTGTCGTATATAGCAATACTTATGAGAAAATTAAGATATTTCGCCATGTTTTTCTATCATGGTCTCCCTAATCTAATGCATTCTTCGACTTAAAGTTTAGACATAAATTGAGTATAGTTATGATTCACGTAATCCTTTTTCTTGTGTACAATATTAATAGAATAACATATTATGGATGCGTTTGTTTATAACCTTTTTAGCCTATTTCAACAAATATCGTGAAAAAAAACTAGACATATGTTGAAGTAAATCACATTTTATTAAAATTCAAACAACATTTTTGAATTTTGATAGCTTTCACCTCGGTTTATTCGTTTGAAATTTTAATTAGTTATAAAATATTTTTATGGTGTATAATAATTATATATTTTTATGTTGGGTTGGGTTTTTACTTAAAAATATCGCCAACCCGACCCAACCCAATTAGAAACAAACCGTAGGGTTTTAATTTTTTTGGGTGGGTTTGGGTTTGATAATTTCCAAACCGTAGTGCATGGGTCGGGTGATTAAAATGGTTAAACCCGAACCACCCGACCCATGTACACCCCTAGACACCAAGGCTCCAATAATCTCCGTTTGACTGAATAGTTTCCACTTGTGAAAATACGAAATGGGGTAACACCGTAACAAACTGACAGAAGAAGACAATAAATATTTATTTTGCTATATTCATAATTGCCAACCTGGAATAGTGGTACAGGTACACAATTGCAGTTATTTTTTGCAGTGAATTGTGATTTTTCCCCGTGGATGTGAATTGAGATTCTCATGCAGCTTAAGAATAAAAAATCTACCATGTGTGTTTGCAACCTATTTAGATAGCGTATAAGGGTTTGGTATTCTTTGATATGATTCCAATTGGATCAATGCACAATTCACAATTACTTGTCAAAGAAGTCATCTCAACTAACTTGAAGTATTCTGATTTTTGGCTAAGTGTTGAAACAGTTTCAGGTAGCCTACTTTGGAAGCTTGTATCATCCAAATGGCTCAATGAAAATTGGAGATCAAGGTCTTGTTTTAAATATAAAGTTGTCATGTTTCTAATGGTATGCATTTTGGATCTAGAAGATGTAATTAAGGCTGTTTTCCAAGACCTCAAAGTTGCTACTTCAAAACTGGAAAACTGCCAGAAAATGGCAAAGGCATAAAACTGTTTTGTGAAGCCTACTTTGGAGCTCAATTCAAGGAGCATGGGTGGGAATCAAGTCAAAAGTCTTCCACAACGTGAAACTAGGTATGTTTGTGAACAAAGGGAAGGAATTGGATGAAGAATTGGAGTTCTAGAAGGCCTTGAACGAAAGGCGAAAAGTTAGTACAAAAGCTGCTTTTGGATTGTTTGCTGTCAGCTTGCTTGTGCTTCAAGAAAGGGAGTTTAAACCCGAATTTTGTGTCCTTTTTAGAGTAGAAGTTTACCTTATTTGTTTCTTTGTTCATTTAGGTTTGTATTAGGTTTTCTTGTCTATAAAATAGCCTTCTATATTCGTTGTAAAAATATAGACTTTGTTGGTTAATCGAAAAAGAAACCGTTTTGGTTTGTTCAAGTTTGCGAACTTGTTCTTAGGTTTTGGTTGCGATCAAAACTTGTTGACCTGCTTATTGATCGAGCAATCACACTCGATTATATCGAAAGCTTCACCATAACGATTGTGCATTCTTCCAGGTGTAAGAATTCCCTTTCGTTTTCGTTTTATCCAATTTTCGTATTAAGAACACGTTGTTCTTGATTCGATTCTCAATAAATCTCCGGATTTATTGTTTGCTGCGTGACTTGGATAAAAATACACCCACCAAGGTCGTATTATCCTTAAGAAAATTCGGGGGTAAAACTTATTGGGTTTGGAAAACTTAAACCCAACTCAACCCGCTGGGTATCCGCAGGTTCATGGGTACCCATGGGTTTTTGTGGTAAAAAATTTACAATAATAAGTTCTATCAAAATAAAATTCGAACATCAATTTCCTCATACAAATATCCATACATAAAGCACCATTCTAGAAAAATCAAACATATCACAATTACACTAAATAAAAGCACAAAGAATAAGTGTAGTGAGAGTTAGATTTAGGGAAATTAGATTTAGGATAGGGTTTGGGGAGAATAGGGCAATGAAATAAGTGTGAGGGGGTATCCATGGGTCGGGTATATCTAAACTCAAACCCAACCCCAGTGAATAGTGTACGGGTTTAAACTCGAACCCGGCCCGATACCCGTCAACGCGGATTTTACTCGTGTTGACCGAATTGGGTCGGGTATGTACACATGGGTTCTTGTTTTGTTGTCATCCCTAGTATAAACTCTATAAATTAATGTAGTCGGGATCGTAAAAATTATTAATTTATAGTCGTTATTAATTAATCGATAAATTAATAATTAAAAAAATTCTTATGATGTATGTTTATCTTATCTTCCAAATATTTCAAGTTCATACGATAAATTATCTCATTCTACATATTCATTGTACCAAAATTTAATAGAAAAAGTATGGATTCAATATTTCAAGTTCATACGATGACCCTACATTCATTGATCGTACATTCAATATAATTTATTGAATATATGGTGACCCGATCACTATAAATAGTACTACAAAAACATGGTAAAAATCGTATTCAACAATGGACTCTCATTTGAAAGGTGTCTAAAAGTCCACCATGACCGATCTATTAGACTTGAAATTCAAGAATAAACAAACAACTATATATTCATATTTTTCTAGATTATCCTAGTTATATTATAATTTTATAGATGAATTGTATTTTTACAATTATTAATTTATTGAGTTAAAAATACATGTATTTATGTAGGTTGGTTCTCAAAATTTATTATCTTATTATTAACTTATCGATTACTAATTTAAATAGGTTATACTGTAGGTAAGAAGAAAGCAAAAAAATCTGGAAATCGGTAGAATCCCATCCCGGTTTCAAGTTTTGTGTTCCAAATAAAAAATAATAGAAATTGAATTTCATATGGCTAAAATTTGTGAACTGAAAATCCCATCAAAAGTGAAAAGAATTTAATATATGAAGATAGAATTTTTTATTTTTTTTCCTTCCAAAAGTATCCTACAAAGAAGGGATGGTAATAGGGCTGGTAATGGGGCAGGTTTGCTTAAACCATCTCCATTTTCAAATATCCAAACTCATATCCGCCACACATCTATGCAAGAAAGGTTTTGCAAACCATCCTCATGCCAGTGGGTTTCGGGTACCCATGGGAAATACCCGCCCCGTACATCCAGCATTATAATACCTAAAATTTACATGTAAATTTTCAATTACAACATTAAACGCACATACTATATCATGAAGTCGACAAAGAGACACTACGGTTCAAAGCATCTTATCCTAAAATATCTATTAATCAATAAGATAGAGCACAATGTAATCTAAATGATTATTCTATGACTCTCATAACTAACACCAACTTGTTAACAATCGGGGAAAAAATGAAAGAGCGAAGAGAGAGTTGAGGAAAAGGAATTAACTTTTGGTTTGGTTGGCTACTCAAGAAATGCTCTTGATGGGCGCCTAACTGTGCTACGATGCCTGCTTGTGCTTCTCATTTTTATGCGCCCTTATTCGGCTTCGTGGATCCATACTTGTCTTTACTTATTGGTCTTATTTTGACTTGGAGAATTACAATGTGCATCTTCTTCATTTGCTAGTTGCTTACGAACATGCGTAACATGCATTTTGTTACAACTACTTTTTCAGTTCGAAGCGCACAACCATTGGACATGACTGTTGGTGTGACCATTGGGCTTCTCCCTTGTCCCCAATATGTTTCTTGCAACTCTTGCTAGAATTTCCTCATCTTTTCCATTCCTCTTTGGAAAGGCGCTCGAAAAAATTACGTTTCAAAAGGACGCACATGTTGCCCTCTATTTTCTCTTATAGTAAGTGCTTGGATAACTGCAAGCGCCCTATGTGTTTCGCATTGTATAAGTTACCTTCAATCGTCATTTGTTGCTTGGTTGTAACAATTGCTTTAGTAGTCAAGTGTTCATAAGAGTTCACTTCAAACACAAGAGATTGTATGTGCTTTAAGTATCTCCATGAAACCTTTAATGTTTTGGGCACCCAGACTAAGTCTCATTTCAGAGCCGAGTCCACTTTGGCTCCCCATGCCCACCATGCTAAGCCCAACATGCATCCCCCGTAAGGGAAGCGATAAAAAAGATTTGAATTGCGCGCCTCAATAGTACAAATAACGCATCTCAACTGCTCAGCTATCCCTACATTCTTGTGTCATCGCTAGAGATCCCCTTTAGTATAGACAAGCAACAACGTAGACTTCAACGTTCCTACACCAAAAAGCATACAAGCTCTATATGGGAAGTAGGTGAGACCAAACAACTATTTCACAAGCTTTACCCCCATGAAAGTTTGCGAGACGCATGAATCATTAACAACCTGAAAAAGTTGGACATTTGGGCTCGTGACCCTCTTAAAACCACACCTCATTATGCCATACGCCTCGAGTCATTGTGTAAACCTGAGGCTTGGAGTGCCACACATCATTTTATCTTTTGATATTTCGGCCGCTTTGAGTATTTCGGGCGCTTTAGGTATTGCGGGGCGCTTTATGTATTACGGGCGCTTTAAATCTCCCTCGAAAATCTTTCAAATATTATGGGCGCTAGATTTGGGCGCAGAGAGTATTCCCAATTAAGGGAGCTATATTTCGGGCGCTTTATGTATTTCGAACAAAAGGACTTTATTTGGGCACACCAAAAATTTCATAACAAAGCAATATCTCATGGAGGTAACACCAAATTTCATGGAAAACAAGTACTTAGCTTGGTTTCTGTTGAAGCTCTCATGTTGACACTTGTTGTAAATGATAGATGTCTGCTTGTTGTTCTTATGCGCCTTGCTTGGTTTTGTGTACACTCACTCATCTTCCCTCGACGCGCTAACGAGGGGTGCCCCATCGTTTAATCAACAACCAAATCCATCCAAATCTTGGCATTGAGAGACATGGGAAACTGAAGTCTTCACGCCTCGAAGTTTCCTGTCTTGGCCTACGTGGATGAAGCTGGGCACCCTGTCTTTAAGAGTCTCAAACTTGACAGCTGGCTAAGTCAAGGATCTTGAGACAAAATGGTGGACCGTAATAAAAAAAGAGGTCAACCACTTCAGGGTAGTCATTACCAAAATGATCATTACCATATCTGCAATGAGGTCGAATATTTCCAGCAAAAGGTCGACCAGGTAGAAGAAGAGTCGACAACACATCAATCCATCCCTCTTAAAGTGAAACGTAGAGGAAAATGTTGATTTTGCGGTCGACCGCTTGCAGTAAAGTAAGTATGCGACCTTTGAAATTTGTGCTTATGCCTCTCGATGTCTGTACTTTGTTTGGTCTAAAAAATTATGATAGAAACCAACAAATTCAATCCACAATCATAACAGCAAGAAACCATAACTTCTTAATAGCTTCTAACACCAAATACAATAAAACACACCTCACAATAGTTCAGACATACCTAAAATCGAAAAACCACAACAACTTAATATCAATCCACGATCATAGTTGCTTGAAACCAAATCGTCTTTAAGACTTAACAAATTTCACAAAGAAAAAACACAATCTAAATCATGGGAGTTCCTAGACCTCTGTCCTCTCACTCATCTGTATTTTCCTCATTGGTGTTGCTAGCATTATGGTAGTCGGATGTTGTGAGATGCATGTATCTTCCACTGAAAGATCGGAATTCATCTCGCATCTCTGTTACACTCACTTGTAGTGTGTGCTCATATGGCTGGGCTTTGAGCTATGGTATTGTATATGGAATTACTATAATGGGTATTACGGGTACCCATACTACCCAAATGGATATTAGCGGGTAACCGGTGGGTACACAATGTCAAAATTCTTAATCATAAGTCTCATCCCATAATAAATATTACGGGTATTTGAGTACCCATTACCCTAAAAAAAAAAATGGGATGGGTATGGGTATACCCAAATACCAATTTGTCGTTGCCCACCCCTAGATAATTTCGAGTTTGATGTTGATAAGGTAATGCAATAGAGGTCGACCCTTCTAAGAATGAGGTAGACCGTTTAATGTACAAGGTCAACCGATTTAATATTGAGGTCGACCTTTTCATTGTTTGTTTGCCAAAGAGGTCGACCATTTTATATACAAGGTTGACTGCTTTGTTGAACGTAACAAAACAAAAACAATAGATTAAATCGACCTTTATTACTTTGCGGTCGACCTATTTGTGCAAGTCACCGTAACATAGTCAAATGTTTAAGATACCCATAATAATTTTGTTTTAATATTTGTTTGTTTCTTTTGTATAACCAAATTTCCCTTACAATTAAACTTTAACAAGGTCAAGTTGTCCGAACACTGGAGGGGCAAAATAAATATTTTTCCTCCCGAGGTCGGGTTGTCCGAACCACAGTTCAACAGTGTTCAAATGTTTTTAGATTAAAATTTAACAAAATAGTATTTTTGATAATGTTTGTAAAGTACATGTGCATGTCTGATGTAAAACATAGTGGAGAGGAATGTTTGATTAAAATGCGTAGTAGATATATAGACATACTATATTTATACCTATAACCCAAGAACCATTGGAGGCAAAATAAATATTAATAGTTAATACTAATCATAACCATGTCATCGATCACACATCAAGTTTATTTTGATGCATAATTATAAGTTGTTAAGATTAATAAATGAGCATTTCCTAATAATTCATGTTATTGAGACTAGTTGGTTTATCACATGATATCAGAACTAGTTTGTCATTAAAGTCATGTATTCAAGTCCTCACAACCTCAATATTAAATGTTGTCTTAAAGCACATGATATATATAGCGGATATGTGCAAATTTCAAGCCTATGAGTTGACTTTTGTTTGAAGGTGTGTGTGACATAGTGATTAAAATTCATACGTACATGAGTTTTTCTTAACAACTTGAGTTACTCGAATGATTTATGAAAATAATTTAAATTAATTAGTAGTTACTCATTTCCATCCTCCATTAGTCCCATAAACAAAGATAAACCCATATGTTTTGCTTTTGCTACTGTTTCAATCGAGTCAGACCGATGGCTAAACTTAACACAATGTCGAGAAGGAACTTGGACCACAAATATGACAGGAGTATGCAATGCATGTTTTGGGAACCAATATAGTTGAGTAGCTCTCAAATTTACCTAACTCTTACGTACAATTGACTAATCTAGCATGGAACTAATATTTAACTTTCAGGAAATTGCTACAACATATGTTTTGACAAGACAAACCACATGACCATGCATCCTATCCTATCCACTCAACTCTAAATCTAGTTTTAAGAAATCTAATTTTGAAACTTAATTAGTTGTATTATTCAAACACGATGAAATAACAGAAAATCACAACTAATCAATCATTACCCTAAATCCTAAACATTCAATTTGAACCCTAACCCTAAACGCCAAATTATAAACCATAAACCACAAACCACAATCCTATATATATAAATCCTAAATTTGAAGTAAATCTTGAATGATTTTTGTGCAAATTTATATATTTTCTTGTTCATCGTATCATAAGTAGTGATTGATATTATTTTTAACCCGAATCGTTTGCTCAGAATAATGATTATGAGACTGATACATATAATACACAAAAAAAAGTAAGATCACCAAAAACAAAACGGTTTATATACCAAAAGGATAAAAGGGTTTGCCTCTACGTACTAAGTTGCCTCTGGAAGAGGGGCATCTTCTCAGTCCACACGTACAAACTTATGGGAGGCACAGAAAAATCAATGGAACTAATTAACTAAACTCCATTTTTCCCTTGCCAACCTTCTTTAATGCATATGTTTGCTATCTTACAAGCTGGCCATCTCTGTATGCCTTAGTCATAGACCAACCAAACACATGGAATAGTACAAAACCGAATTTCCAAATTATATTTTGAACAATCAAGATTACGAGCTACCTTTGATTGGGGAAGCAAGTGGGCACATACAATGGTATTGCATCCATGCAAAAGACTTACATGTGGTTGAATCAAATCGCAAATATCTGGTCATTAGGTTCTTGTTTGGTTTGGATGGTTAGGATAAGGCAGTACCTAATTATATACGTGTTTCTCGATAAAAAAAATTCATGCATGTTCCTACGAATAAGAGTTTGGTTTAGAGATAATATCATTAGGTTTGAATATGGAGGTCTCAGGTTCGATCCATTTATTAGTACAATAACCACAAAATTTAAACCTATATCACCCTTATAAAAAAACTCCTGCATCTTCCTTTCATCTTTAACCAATTGACTGTCACACCCAACTATTTTTTGCCGCCTAATCGACATCCAACAACATCGTATTGTGAATGTGATATCGTTCTTTTACCTACCTAAACGAAAACCAATTAATTATGGTTTGATGCCTTCGACCAGTTTTCACAAGTCCAATTTTTTTTTTTTTTACTTGCGTGTTAAATTAATTACAATATTATTAAAAGTCATGAGGATTGGAATACAACGTTTGACAATCAAAGTCTCTAACAAACTAAGGTTAGTTAATCCAAGTCTCTAATAAATTATAAGTACAGCTATTGAGAATCGTAAGGATTCGAATACAAAAGTTCTCAATCAAATATGAAATATCAGTTCGAAAATTCACTAAATTCAATAACTTGAACTTTAAGGAGATGCTTAAATATCGATATCTATTACCACTATATTAAATGCTCAAAATACATCTACCATACTTCATAAATTGGATTCTAATCAGAATCATACTAATCATCTCACCAAAGTAGCTACTATATAATGATATTTATTTTAGGATAATGATTATTTATTAGCCAAACCTTTTTCAGAATTTTTTTTGTTAGCCAACCTATTGAATTACTAATAATTAGTCAAATGTTAACATCCTGTTAGCAGTTTTGTTAATAATATTTACTTGACAACATGATACTGACTTGGAAGAGACACACGAAGGACAACATTTCAACATTTTATTATCTTAACTGAGAAAAGAGTTACAAAATTATTAACAATAACGTAAAAAATTTAATACTTTAACATATTACAAAATGTTTGGCTAATTTTTATTATTTCAATAAATTTAGCTAAAAAAAATTTAAGTAATAAATAGACTTTACATTTTTTTTAATGCTAGAAAATGGACGCCACTATACATTTATTTATACGATAAAATGTCTTACCTTGGAAGTGGTGATTAGACGTGGATGTCAAGCTCATCACCGTCCAAAGATATAAACTAAGAATTATGATTTGCTTGGCATCCAGGCAAACACAAACAACAAGTGGGCAAGCAACCCCTTTTTTTCACTAGGTAAAGAATATAGATAAGAAAGCAACCCACCTTTTCCCATTTATTAATTCATTCAATTGCGATAAGAGAAAACAACGCATACAAATGAATCAACAAATCTTCATGCAGTTTGAAAACTGAATCGCTATTTGTCGCCCGCAGTTTTACTATTTGCCGCCCATAGTTAGAAAAAAAGACGATTTTGCCCCTAACCCTATCCCACCCTCAACCCATCTGCCGCCACCCCCCTTCAACCCTCCTTCCTCCTGCCGTCCTCCCGCCGTCGACGACCCTCCTCCTGCCAGACCTCCCGCCGCCGCCGACTCCAGCCTCCTGCCGAGCCCAGAAGCTGCCGCCGAGCCTAGAAGCTGCCGCCAAAGAGGACGCCACAGCAGCGCCGCCGCAAATCGAGTCTTCCTCGCTCGCTCTCGTCGTCGCCAACCTCCGAAGCTCGGCAAAGAGCATTTTTTTTAATTTTTTTTTCAGTCGCCGTCCGACTGGCCGGAGTGGACCCCGTCCGCCCGGTCTGGTCGGACCCCGTTCGCTCCGGCCAGTCGGACCGATCTAATTGGGTTTATGATTCGGTTTGAATTGTTCGGTTTAAATAAATATTTATTAGATTTATTTAAATATAATTGTTAGTATCTTAATTAGTTTAATATTGATAGTTGAATAATTAGTATATAATTGTTAATTTGACCACAGTTGGTTGAGGGAATTAGGGTTTGACTTAATTAGGGTTTGACCCAAATTAGGGTTTGACTAAATTATATATTATTTGACCACAGTTGGTTGAGGGAATTAGGGTTTGACTCGAATTAGGGTTTGACTAAATTATATATTATTTGACCATAGTTGGTTGACTTAATTAGGGTTTGACCCGAATTAGGATTTGACTAAATTATATATTATTTTGATCACAGTTGTTTGAGGGAATTAGGGTTTGACTTAATTAGGGTTTGATCCGAATTAGGGTTTGACTAAATTATATATTATTTTGACCACAGTTGTTTGAGGGAACTAGGGTTTGACTTAATTAGGGTTTGACCCGAATTAGGGTTTGACTTAATTAGGGTTTGACCACAGTTGAAATAATCTCACCCAAGATGACGGATAACAACAATAAGAATCAACTCGACTCAACTAGACCAATAATGACAATAAAGAAGGAAAGCATCTCATCCACCTCCTATACCTTATACTCCTCTGAAACCCTAAACCCTCATTCCCCTTGAATAGCTACCTTCAACCTCGATCAATCCAATCCTACTAGGAAATTATTTTAGAGGCAAAATCATCTCTTCCTCCACTAACAACAATATTTCGTCTCGTGGGAATATACGTGATAGGCTCAAGAAAATCCTAGATACCACCCCCAGAGCCCTAAAAATACCTCGATGAAAGTTTTGGCACTATTCATCTTTTTTGTCGGGAATGTCCGATTGATAAACAATCGATTCCAACACATTTGTATCCACATTTTAAGAGATCAATGAAATTTTGAATATTTTTTCATGTCGCTGACTCTAGTAATTGCTAAAATATGTTTTTGCCCGACCTTCCCCGAGCCGCGAAGAGTCCTCTTCGTGCCTCGATTCCTTGAAAGTTTTATAAAACATAATTTAGGTACAATGATCTTATTAAATATGAAATAAATACAATTAAAAAGGTTTAATCAAAATTTATAAATATTTTATAGCTATTCTACATAATTAAAATGATTTATTTATTTATTTTAGCTCTATTTACATAATTATAAAATAAGTATGAATTAGTTTGTACAATATTTTTTATAATTTAATTTTTTTTCTTATGAATAATTTTTAGTTTTCTAATTCATAAAGATAATTAATAAACATACATATAATTATTAACATGATATAATATTAAAAAAGTAGAAGATTGAGTTAAATAATTATTATCATTTAGCGACGAATTTTGTGACGGTTTTGAAACCGTCGCTAATGCACGGTCCGCTCGCCGGCGTCGGACGGGGTCCTCCCGCCGGCGTCGGACGGGGTCCTCCCGCCGGCGTCGGACGGGGTCCTCCCGCCGGCGTCGGACGGGGTCCTCCCGCCGGCGTCGGACGGGGCCCGCCGCCGGCTGTGATGATTTGGTTCTGGCCGCGGTGGTGATCTGGTGGTGGTGGCGCCACCGGCGATTTGGCGGCGGTGGTGGACTGGCGCCGTCGGCAGTAGGAGTGGCGGAGCCGCCGATGGTCTATTGTCGGCCGCAGTGGTGGTCGCTCGTGTTGTGGTGGAATGAGGTTTGTTTTATAAAAAATGAACAAAGGGTAAAAATGTCATTTTAGTTTAATTTACGGGCGGCAAATAGTAAAGAGACGGCGGCAAATAGTAACCCTCTTTGAAAAAGATTGAAAAAGAAGTCCATTAAGCAATTCAAGAGAAGGTTCTAGATTTTTTTCTTGGGTAAACTACTTAGTAGTAGGTCGAGATGATACCATTAAGTACTTTTAATAAGATGCACACTATACATAAACAAATGGCTTAAATGAGAGTTTGCAGTGTCAATTCTATGTAAATTCTGGAAGGAGTTCCGTTGGTTTGATGGGCAAATAGATAATTCACCAAATCCAAACCCGAATCTCAATTTAATAGAAAATAATAATTGACCGTTGAGATTGTTCGAAGTTCATCAAAGCACATTTAATGGTCAAATCACATGGAGTATAGTATACTCTTGGAGTATAGTATATACTTATAGTGAGATATCTCTATCTAGACCATGAATTAAACCGAGTTTGGAGTATGATACTATACTTTAATCTCTAATGGATAAATCTCAGACCTCAATTCTCTAAACCCAAACCCAAATCTCTATTTAATAGAAAATAATAATTGACTTGTTGAGATTTATCAAAGCTCATCGAAAATATCCAGCAACGTTAGAAAGGCAACTTTTTACGTCCACTTTGGCGATATCCTTTTATTTATCTTCTTCCTCTTCTTGTGAGTGAGAATGCCAAAAGAAGACAAGTTGACCTATCATGACAATGGCAGGCAGCACAGGCACAGCAGGAAAATGAACATATCATGACGATGGGACTTCAGTGGCCAGCATTCAGAAAAGGGCACTCTCGTCTTCTCCATTGCCCGATATTTTGTTCTACTGTTCCAACTTATATTTATTACTTACTGGTCCCTTTTGAAAAATGGGGTTTTTTTCCTTTTTCTTTTTGTGATTATTGGAACCCCTTTTTTTTATATATCTGTTTCATGGACCTTTAATTTGTTTTCTGGGTGCACAAATTCACCACTTTCGGTACTTAGAAGACAAATAATGATGCCTAACTGCCTTATCTCTCCCTAAGCGCAACATATGCAAAGTGGCACATTATTATTATGATGGTGTTACATTAAAAAAAAAGACCAAGGTAGAGATGATTATATTTTGATAAAGAAAAGAGGTTACTTCGTATAACATAGTTGTCCATTCTGTTGTAAAAAAAAAAAAAAATTTGTATCGTTGGTCCGTACACTTATCAATTAACATTTTATCTCTTCTTAATTTTATTTGATGGCTTGACCTGTAATGATCCCATATATTTTTGTATTTATTATGTGGCCCCTACCTTCTTCCCCATCGTGAGCGCTAGATTACGACCATCACAATTGTATTATATAAAATGTCAAATTTTGGATATATATTTTGACACTCTAGCTGCACAAAAGATGGAAAAATTGCTCCAATAAAGAAGACCAAAGTGTCAAATCCCTCATCTCTATTTTTTGTACTAATCCCGTTAAGAGTATATTTCATTATTTTATCTACAATTTTTTTTTCTTTCTTATGTTGTTAGTAATAATTAATTAAGACAAACTATTCTATATAAATTTTCTAAAATTTTGAAATAAGTATTTTTATCATCAAATATGACATCATCAATGATGAAAATACAATACTACAGCTGAATTCATGTAATGTGCCTTGCGACCTCTAGTACCAAAAGATACAGTTGAGGAACTAGACCGTAGAAGGATACAAAGCACTAAATACGGTAATGACACATGACGTATTAAGAGGGAAGCTTCAAGAAATAGATTAGATTAAAAAAAATGTATCCTTGGAATAACACCACTAATGTCTAGCACTAAGCCACTAACAGATGGATCATTTTGTTTTGTAGTATTAATATGAGCACTGCTACTATGTTATATAGTATTAGTGCTTTAATGTACAACTTGAAATTGTACCATAACATTAAATGTATAAGTTTAGGTTGTACCATAAAGGAATTTGTATCATTATGTTATGGTACAACTTTACAACTTGAAGTTGTATCATCACATAAAGATACAAGTTCAAGTTGTACCATAAAAGAATTTGTACAAAAAGTATAAGTACAATCTGAAATTGTACCATAATATTAAATGTACAATTTCAAATTGTACCATAAAGACAAAAACCTATAGCACCAATACTATATAGCATTGTAAAATTTCTCGTAGTAATACTTTGGTTACCACCGGTCACAAGTTTAATCCCGATAGATGTAAATTACCACCTTACTGGGCTCAACCTCAGTCCAAAACAAGAATTTGCACACCTTGCTTGACATTGGACAATCCCATTGGGCCAAGAGGCCCCGAATCAATTTTCCGATCCGCATTTGCCGCCAAAAATGCCCCAAAAATTTTCCAAGCTCTCTGAACCAGACCAGCTTTCGGCCGGAGGAGGAAGGAAAGGAAACACTCTTCCTTCACCTCTGCTCTTTCGGCATGAAACTTCTCGCTTCCATGCGCCATGTTTCTGCTCTTCGCTTTTGGGAATATGATCGCTATGGAGTTCGATTCTGAAAGCTAATGCGTGGCTTCAGCAGTATGGAAATACTCTGAAGTCTGAATTTGTACTGAGAGATTTTGGAACTTTAGGGTGACGGTTTAACTATCCCTTAGGCGATTCCCGGCATGTAGATTCGTGGTAATTACTAGGATCTCTAGGCCGTATCAGATTGTTCATCTTCATGGTTTAGATGTGGTTTTGGTCAGGACCAGCTTCACGTCTTCGAATGGCTTGATTGGTTACGAAGAAGAGGACGACGGATGGTTGATGCACGAGAAGTGTTCGATAAAAAGACTGTTAGATAGAACGCCTTTTGTCAACGAACATTTATAGTTTCTGGGTTTCCCTTTTGATTGCTGGTGCTCTTGAGTCTCAACAATGGAAGTGGAACTCCGTGATAAAGAAAGAAAATCGAATCTCCATGGTAAGGCACTTTCTGAAATTCCTTCCAACTCCCACTTTTTGAAACTTTCCATTTCATCTGGATGCTCTGCTTGAAAGCCCATATTACCATATGATGAATGGGAAATAATAAAAAGTTTGGAAATTTCCTATCAAAACTATAACTTCTGCTTTTTCCAACACTTGGGATATAGCTTAAATTTCAACATCATATTCATAAATCTATATAGTATTCAATTCAATATACTCTACATACTACTAACATCTGCAGGCCTGCAATCATCAAATCACCCACCAACAGCCATCCCCCACGAATTCACGCTTCCTCCATCCTGCAACGCCTCCTGAATAACATACCCATGATGATGCTGATGAAGCAGTTCATGATTCTCATGGTGATGGTGGTGATGGTGGTGGTGATGATGCTGATGTTGTTGTAGTTGTTGCTGATCTTGTTCTTCATGCTGATCAGACTGTTGTTGTGCCTGCTGCTGACCGCAATGAAACTGCAACAACATTGGATCACTGTAAACATCCAGACACCCCACGGCCATCATCGCCGAATCAATGTTGCTCTCCATCGTGCTCTGCTGCTGCTGCTGCTGGGGATCCTGCTGTTGTTGATGCTCCTGTTGTTGTTGTTGTTGTTGGCGGCAAATGTGGAGCTGATGAAGGACGAGTGCCAATTCAGCCTCGCCGTACTCGATCTGGCGCTGCAGCTCCCGTATGATCCTGTAACAGCCACCCACGGGGTCGCTGGCTCGAACATCGGATTGGATTATGATGGCACGCATCGCCTCGTCCTTCTCGGCCGGGGTGGAGAGATTCTCGATGATTTTGGTGATCTTCCTCACCCCGAACAGCTTGTGCGCATTCAAGAACTGGCGCTGGCGGTCGTGTGGGAAATAAGGGGCCAGGACGCAGTCAGGGGCGCACTTCCTGCGTTGGTACTTGCACGCCGCGCAAGCCGGGGTCGACCCGTTGCTATTGTTGTTGTTGTTGCCAATTCTGTGTTTGGCGTCGGTTTTGTTGTAGCTATTGTTGCTTGTTGATGTATTAGCGACGGAAATGGTGGTGGTGGTGTTATTGGTGCTGTGGGTGGTGTTGCTCATATTGATGCGATGAGAGGGGGAGAGTGTTTTTGGGGCAGCCGCGTTGCCGGCGGGTGAGGTTGTGCCGGGGAGAGTTTTTTTGGGTATGGGGGCAGAGATTTTTGGTTTCTGGTTCTTTTTTCTTCTTGTGTTAGTGCGAAATGAATGGAAACGAGGGGCAAAAGGGAAATGGGAGATGAGGAGAAATGGGAGGAGACCAAGGACACATAAAAAAAGAGGTAACGGATTTTTCTGTTGGAAGGGTATTTTTAGACAATAGGGGGGGTTTGGAAGAAAGAAAGAAGCTAATTGTGGAGAGAAAATGGTCATAGGTAGGGAGAGAGACAGAGAGGGAAAATTCGTATGTCGTGGTGGTACTTGGTGTTGGAGTTAAGTAACGGTTGTGATTGTGGTGATGATTTCAAAGAGTTTTAGATCAATATGAATCAGACGGTGGAATTATAATTCTAGTTCTATCGTAAATGTAGAACTGTAGCAGTTTCCACGATAAGTATGTTTTTTTTAAAATTCTTAATGATCCCTTGTTTAATGTTTGTTACATTGGGATCTTGTTTTCAAAGAGGTTAAAAGTGATAAGATGAGTTTAATTAATAAATAAAATAAAATATTTAGTAGTTGGGATTGGTTTTGGATTATGAATTATTGAGTAGAATAATAGCTAATGCATGGTTAGCATAATTCATTTGGTTATTATGTGTAGAATTAAGCAAGAGATTGGAGTAATGTTGTTTTTAGGGTGTTTGAGGTTTCGCTATAATTAGTTACTATTCCAGTCAATATAACTAAATCGGATACTTTTCGATGAATTAAAAACAAATATCTTCTTGCATAATATTGAAAACTATTTTAGCACGTGTTGATTATATTAGCATGTTATTATTTTCCACTGATCCATGGTAGAAGATAATGTTGTTGGAGATGGTTCATGGTTCCAAGTTAAATGGTCTCATTCAAGGACATTAAGACTACATGTTGCTTGCTTGTCAAGTAACCAATCATCATGGTGGACTGAGTAAGTGACATGCAAAGGCACTAAACCCAATTTAAGATATGCCTATGAACAGAAATAAGGATTACTTGAGATTGTAATGATTTTTCTCTATGATTGACACCAGTGTGGTTTATAGACATAGAACTAACTGCTAAAACACAAGATCAAACCAATGTTTGGAGTACATTCATCATACACCCGGGTTTATATATCAATTAATTTTGCCAACACTAAAATAAGGGTATCTCGATTTGTCTCGTGGAAGGTCAGATACAGGTCGAGTAATTTATTATGGAACGCAGGTTGTTGTTGATCGATACATATGGATATGTTATTTAAAGAGAGAGTTCTAGAAATGTTGATTTTTTTCCACTTAATAAATGAAGAAACGAGCTATTATATGATAAGTGTAGTGAAATTATTCAAGAAATTGATATTTTCACATATTTTCGACTTTATTATGAGGTAATAAAAATAAGTTCTAAGAAATTTACTTAAAATTACATGTAACTCAGGCAAAAACGAGCCGATAATATAACGAGTCAGAGCGGGTCAAGTCGAGATGATTACCCATGCCCGCCCCGCCCAAAACAGGTCAGATAGATCGGGTAAAACGGATCAGGTCAAAATTGACATCCCTAAGTGAGTTTGATAACAAATTAACAATCCTTGCCGGAAGAGTATCCATCAGTGACTACCAGAACATAATAATGCAGAATAGTAGAATACCATCTACTTCTTGAGTACAACTCCAAGCTATCATTACTACACACATGTAAATAAAATTTCTACAGCATTCGATCTTCGTTCTACATTTCCATTTACTCAGACCTCCTGTTTACTGCTACACAAAACAAAATGAACGTTGGTGACTCTTTAACCGTTGTTAGCGAACAACAGGAAAGACAACTGGTCCTCTCCTTCCGAGACTTGGTTTGTTCATTTGAAATTGCTCATCTTATGACCTCACCTGCAAATCAAACCCAAAGAGCGAGGAAATGGAAGAGTAAATGACAAAAAGGCATAGATTCTATATCGTTCACCACCTTTGCAGTTAGCTTTTTGTTCGAAACCGGACACAAAGTCATTCATTCATTCTTCAATACATCATCCTAAATCATCTCATTTCCAAAAAACGAACAAAATTTTCCATCTCATACCTTGTTTGTTAGGTCTCAGCAAGTACTAAGTAGTCATGGATCGGAATTGATAAGGTCTTCGACAGAGTTTTTGTAGTTGCCAATCAAGTCCCTGGTAATCAACCATCAAGATTAGAATATGTCTCCCTCCACACGTTAAGTACAGAAAACTAAGCAGGAAGGCTCGAAGATAATGTCACATTCCAAACGTACCTTCGTTGATTAAGCAACTGTTCAGTTTCTTCCAACTTTTTCTCCTGTCCTTCAACAGTCTCCATTCCAAACATCCAAACCATATATGAATCGAAAATCTCAGTTTCAAGTCAATAAACTCCGTAACAATCAAAGAACTAATGCACCTTGTCCATCGAGAACCAATGAAACTAGGTTATTTGAACACTTGACAAAACCCTTAACCAACTTATCTATTAATTCTGCATGCAAACTTGTTCTAGCTCTATAAAGAGTTCATCAAAATTACACAAGTCAACACTATCACCAACGAACTATCTTGTACAACAAGGTTCAAGATTTAAAAAAAAAAAAACTTCAAAGGAATTAGTAATTACCATAGACTTGGAGCTGATTGAGCTGGAGATGGAGTTCAACAGCTGCTGGCACTTCTCAAAGTGAATGTTCAACTCATTAACCTGATCTTCCCCATAGCAAAAAACCAATTAGTAAATCATCACATTGGAATAGCAACAGCTGCAACAAAAGAGAGAGAGAGAGAGGGAAACAAACCAAAGCATCAGACTGCGGATCTCGAGTCCCATTCTCAACAGCATCAGCCAATTTCTCCACCAGCTGCAAAGACAGCAGCAACAAAGTCCTAAACTTTTCCCTGAAAACAAATAAAACCCAACAGAACCAAGAAAACCCAAGACGTTACAGGGGAAAGGCGGAAATGGGATGCCAGCGATTGCTGCGGCGGAGGCTGAGGCGGGGTCTGCTGTTGAATCAAACGCTGTGGCGGCGACTGCATCGGCTGAAACTGCTGTTGTTGTTGTGGTGGTGGCGGTGGCTGCTGCTGTTGAAATTGTTGTTGATTGAATTGTTGCTGGACTAACTGCTGCGGTGATTGCTGCTGAAACTGATTGAATTGCTGCTGCTGCGGCGGCGGCGGCGTAGGTTGCTGATGGAGGAAGTACTGGTCTTGATTCGAATGCGCGGGGGAGTTTGGGTGGGCAGTCATATTTGGGATCATTGTCCACCCTCCACCTCCTCCCATTCCTCCACCGAATTGATCCATTGCTTCTCTGCGTGTGTGTTTCTGATTAGCTCTGGTTTTCCCGGCGAAGAATTTGGGGAAATTTTGGGGAAGTAGCAGCGGAGAAGAAGAGGAAGGACAAATAAACGGAACAGTTCCGCTGCAATAACGACGCTGTTTAATGAAAGTTGATTGTCACCTGTCGGTTGGTAAATGTTCAGTATAGTCACTATTGTTTTAAGAAATGTTAATTTTAGTCTTCATATTTTTGTATATACTAATAATTCATAATAAAATGTGTGTTTGCCTCTACACAGAGTAAAGATTATAGCCAAAGACTAATGTCCCTTTCCAATAATCATGATAATTTTCGAATTGGTTCGGTCGAACCGAATTGTCTTGACTTATTCTATCATGATTTGTACGTAATGTGAGATAGAGTATGTATCTTGTTTTAACTTTGTTCTGAAGCATCCATCTTAGATGATATTATTCAACATGATGTGCGCTTAATAGTGGGAAACATAAATGTAAAGACTATTGCTTGTCGGGCTCAATTGCCATTCCTACATTGCTAATGTGTCAAAATATGTAAGCTTTATAAATTTTGTGATTGTAAATGGAAGTTATATATTGAAGTTCAGTGACCATGGAAAGTTAACTCGAATGGTGATGGTGGCTAGGAAATAGGAAAGATCATATATTACCGAAGAAAGTGCAATTTTTTCTCATAAATTTTCGGTAATATATGATCTTTGGCAGAAGAAACCCAACAGAGACCATTGAGCAAACAAACGCAAGCCCTCATTTTCAGCTCGTACGAACAAAGAAAAGGAGGGAGACAAATCGAGGGCTCTCGGTCTCTTTCTCTTATAAGATCTCTCTGTCTCTCTTGATCCCCGGCAAAAAAAAATCCTTTTTCCCGCTTCTGCAGATTTCCAGGAGAAAGCAACAAAAAGCAATCACCCAGAGAAGAAAATTCTGCCTTTCTTTTGGAGAACTTGTTTCCGAAGGTTAGGTTTCAATTCCATCTTGTTCTTCATCTCTTAGCTTTTGGTTTGTTGAGGCTGATCACATTTTGAACTTGGTAAAGATGATAGCTTTGATATGTCTCGAGGAGCATAACTTTTTAACCTTTTGATAGGGTTCTTAGTTAATGCTGAGAAATTGGGGGAGATGGAGAAAATAGTTTCTGAGTTCTTTCATGATGGTAATTGACATAGAAGTTCCTTCGTAGGCGTAACATAGGAATGTATGTCTTGTCAGAATCATTTGTTCACCTAGGGATTGTTTATGCCATCTAAATGAACAGCAGTTGTGTTTTACATACATTATTGAGCAAGCAATTGGGTTGGTGCTTCATTATGCGTCTGTGGGGAGTAGTTACACAATCTGAGGCCGAGTTTTGTTTCTGTTGGTAGCTTGAAGGATTGGAAAAGTTGTTGCTTTTCCAATGGGCAGTTGTTGGGTTAAAATGTGATGGAAAAGTTAGCATATTGGGTTGATGTTGTCTTGAATGGTTAATATGTGATAATAATGAATGCGGCAAATGATGGGCAGTCCTCATCTTTATAGCTTCGGTTGCATTATGTTAACTACAGGACTTTTGTTTCACACCTTGCCCGGGAAGGAATGGCTAACTCTGTAGGTTACTCAAAACATGGTATGTTGACAGTGTAGATCATACTAAACAAACTGAGCATCTGAGATGGTTTGCATCTTTGGCATTGTTAAGCTACATTGAAATTTATATTCAGCATTATACAAATCTTATTTTCCCGGCATAGGAGGGTCTAGGTTCTTCTCTGTCCGTTTGTAGCTTTAGACGGGGTAACCTTTTCTTCAGTTTGTCTTCTGCAACTTACTAACTGAGAGAACTCATATAATCCTTTGAAAGAGTAGGGGTTTTTCTTTAACTTGTTCTATCAGAAAGGCTTTTCACCTTTTGCCTTTTGGGTTCTATAAGGTGCTATGGTACCTCCCCGGAATTTTATGTTGCATTTGACATGTTGCATTGACCAAACCCTTCTCAGCTTACCTTACAACAGAATGTGAAACGTTTTGTCCAAATCACGATTATAGAAAACCTGAGCATGCTTGAATTATGGTTAAGAGATGCAACATACGAATCTCTTGTTATCACAAACTGGGGCAGCGAATGATTGAATTTGCTGCCTGCTAGTTTCTGTTGCTGACTGTGGAAATGGCATCCGGTGTTGCAGACAGCAGAAAATGGCGATAAAGCCAACGGTTGCATTCAGGGCTGTACTTGTTGGAGGAATAGCAGTGTTCGCAAAAGTAGCTGGTGCAATGAAGGCAGCTGGTGGTGCAAAGCTCGGTGCCGCTGCAACGGCTATGACCATGGCAGCTTCAGCAGCTATGTCGAGCTCAAAGGAAGAGTCGTCCCCTTCCAAATAATCTTTTCTTTGTTTTGTAAAATTTTCGTCAGATAAGTCGGGAAATGTAGTAGGATTTCACCTTGTAGAACTATGTATCAGTCCTAAGAGAGGATTTTTTTTACGTTTTGCATAATACAGATAAAATAATTCACCTCTCCTGATGGTGTTTCTGATGTGCTATGTTACAGTTTTTGCCTCTACTACGATGGCTTCATCATTTGTTGCTCTTTTAGCAAATCAAATGTATGCCTGAAGTTCCCTTACCTCGTTGAAAGCTTACAACAATAGCAAGCTTAGGGTTCGTTTAGTAACTAGAATTGTTGAATGCATTGATTTCAACAGAGATGTGATTTTGTCTGTGATAGTTTGGCTAAATATCATGTAGCCTTTATGATACATTGCCCTCTAGGTTAAAGAAAGGATTTGAATAACTGGCCAAAAAATGCTTGCCTTGGAAACTAGGTATTGAACTCCAACCTTTACAATTTACTACAAGACCGACTTCTAAACCAAGAGCTGTCTTCTTGCAACAGAACATCCCCTCTTCAGATCTGGATATTTGATTCCAAATATATTGAGATTGCATGCATGGCATACCGTCTTCTTCGTTGTGTTGTTTAGAGCAAGACGCACCCACCATTAGAGCATCAGTGCAATGTACAAGGGAGTTAAGAGTACATCCAATCTCTGCAAGTTTTGTTTCCTTAAACCACAGATAAAGCCTTGATGATCAACTAAGTGTATCAAAAGTTCGGGGCTAGGAAATCGATTCCAGCTCTAGTATCACCTTCACAAATTAGAATCCTGAATAAGAATTAAGCAAAGGGTAAACAATGGCCATTCCAGTTGATCACATTAGCAGCTGAATGCAGTTTCTTTAAGAGCATTATGTGAAGCTTTATACCGTAACGTTCTCCCCGTGCTTAAGTACTGGAGCAGGGACATAGGCATTGGATTGTGGTCCAAAAGACTGCAACTGAAGTGAATGTCGAAAAACTTCAGAAATCAAAGGATTTGACAACCATTGTGGAGAAAAGAAAGTCATGATCTCAGCTTGAGAGGCGGTTCAGTGGCTAGTAACCAAGCAGGGGAAATCACCCAAATCCCATTCTGCAGCAAGACAATAATAAAGAAGCCCAGGGGTGGAGGCCTAATTTGATAAGCCCACACGTTTTAGACTAGAGGGCTTGACCCACAACGGGCTACGGCCCATAAATAGTAAACACAGCCCCCGCGTCGGCCTGCAGTCAAAGAATGCCTAAAAATATGGCATTTAGTAGTTATTGCCAATAACACATCTTGTTATCCTCAAATTTGTCATTGAAATTTGAATACAATACCAATTCATTCAAATTGATAATAAAAAGTTAAAAACTATGTCGCATAAATCTCATATAGATGAAAATCCAAGATATACTAATCCCAAATATAGCACCCTAAGTAACTTTCCAACTCTTTTAGCTCAAATTCACCATAATAAATTTTTGGATCTCGTTTTAAACACAATATATTGTTACAAGTTAGAGACAAGAACATTTGCAATTTTAGTTGTTGTCCCACGACTAAATATTGGGATGGGATTAGGTGCTAATCCTTATAGGGGTTAGCACCGTGATAACTAACAAAAAACGCTACTAAAAATAACGAAATCACTACGGATTATTATAAAATCAATACAACATCTAAGCTAAATCACTACTAATTCAAACTAGTAGTAGTTTTTCCCTTGGTTAGGACGGTGCTAACTATTGTACAATTAGCACCGTAACCGCTCCCCTAAATATTCAGCAAAAAATAATAATTAGAAAGAATTAGTAAGTCTAACATGTGAAAAAAACACGTGTAGAGTCTCGCTCCGTCGCTCATTAACTCGATATGCAAGAAGCGGAATTCAACAACCAGTGAATTAAGAGGATAATTATTAATTTTATTTATTGAAACACCTGATATAAATAAACAACTCCGAAATTATGTCTGGCAATTCAAAGATATGCACGAATGCCACTTTCAACTTAAATTATAAATAAACAACTCTGATCATCCAGCAATTAGCAAATAGCAGCAAGGTGTTATCAACTAATTATCAATTATTAAGAACATAACGTAAAGCGGGAATAATTAAACCTATCTATCTAACGAGCATCTTTCCCATTCTAATATAAATATGCCATCTTTGACCGTATGTCTCCTTTCATCTCTATGATTGGCTAATGAATATCCTCTGTTATGAGGTTTGTATCTAATTACTCATCATAATGCATATTAGATGGTTGTTTTTTTTAATGGGCAAACTCAGTTATAAGAGCATCAACATCAAACGTTCTAAGATAGCAAACCATGATAAATCTAGGTTAATGATGAAATTAAAAGTGTCGTGAAAACGTTATGAAAAAAATAGAGCACAACAATGAGTTCTTCAACCTGCCAATGAAGTTGCACTCCATGTAACTAAGGTGTTGAACTCATGTTATGGACGTGTCCAGTTCAAATTTACTTGTGTATATCTTGAAGACACCATTTAACCTTGTAAAAAAAAAAAACTTGTCTCCTGCCCCACACGAGGAGCTGGTAGTGTCGTATGTCTTGATTCCTTCCGCTTATTTTCACTAATCATAAAAATGAAGAGCCCATGAAATGAAACGCTTTCAGTTTCTAACATCATGTTATAACCAATGTGGTACAATTACCACTTTGTCTTTCGATTTGCCAACTCAAGTATGATACTCCGAACATCAATTTTCATTCATTCTTCAATCATTTGGACTAGGTGAACATAAGGTTTTTTTTAATCTCTTTGTAGAAGGGAACACGCATTCATCATCGACCGGACACAAATACAAAACACATCACTCTCAAAATGCTATAAACATTATGTTTCCCAACATATTTGTCTGCATATACCAATCAGATTCTTATATACATCATATCATATGTTCCACAAAGCACTTGATGCCATGTACTCTAGAACACAATATTTTTAGTCCAATACAATTCGACATAGATGTGAGCTTATTACAACTTACAAGTCTACAACACATGATTAGTGTGTATAGTAATTTTTCTTAATTTTCTAGGGTTTCAAGGTTGGGAATCCACTTGTGTGGGAGGCAAGAAGCTAGAGATGTGGCATTGGGATTTGAATATCCATCCATCCTCCCCACTTGCACTCCATATATATAAGGTGTCTCAAAAGCAAAACCCTTTTGGCATTTTGGAAATAAAAAGAGAGCCATATATCCAAAATCAGCTAACTCCCACATCTCAATTATTTATTTTTTCTACCTCTCGATCTCTTGAAAGAATCCGATGCCTTTTTTCTACTTCCGTTGTGTATACCAACTCCCTCAAAAATGTTCCCCGCTTTTCCTCTTAACACTTGCTTGGTAATTAACCTCTTTCTTTTTTTGAACAATCACTTCTCATGGTATTCAAGGGAAGAAAAAGGAATCAAATTATTCATGTACCAAAATGAATGAATAGAATATTCCTGTAACACCCCACCCAGAAATTCTATGGTTGAACCCGTGGTTCAACCGCGCAGCCAAATCCTTGGTGTTACTGGTTGAACTCAATCATCTCAAACATCATATCCGATTATTAAACACAACCATAAAGCGTTATCATACAAACTCATTATTCGATCCCCAACCCACTTATTGAATTTTACAAAATGTGGGTTATTATTGAAAACACTCAGAGCAGAAATCCTAGGTGACCATGACAGAACAGTGTTCCAAACTACCTCATGAGGGTAGTACAGAAGGATAGGGCAGCCTCAGTAGTCCGATCCTAGTTGCACCTGTGAGCCTGAAAACAGACGTGGGTCAGCAACTAAGCTGTGTGCGTGGATCTTTCCCACGACCTAATTTTGGGACCGCAATCAGCTAATCAAACAATCGTAATCAATCACAATTTAGTACTCTAGATGCCATCTTAAATCATCATATGTAAAAATTACCGATCAAATTATCGAATCCACCAACTCATCATCACCAATTCAATTTATCAAATAAGATAATCACATAATTTCACGAACACACATAATCAATGCATGATATGAAAATTCCGATTAATTATTAATGGCGCCAAGGTCACCATACACTTACCCTCGCTCGAGCAAATCATCATCCGTGGTGCTCATGCAACCACAACACTCAATCCGTGGTGCTCATGCAACCACAACACTCAATCGCATAAGCGAGCTAAATCTACCCACTCTCAAGGGGTGAGGGTAAGTGCAGGCCCTTTCTACATCTATGTGAATTAATATGATCACGAATCAAATCATTTCCATTTCCCCCATCCATCACAATCAATTCGGAATCAATGTAGTCTCACGGATTAACCAGTCCATATATATATTCCCCGTCGATTATCAACTCGACGTTTCACATAAATCATTTCATTCTCCATTAAAGCTACTCAGCAGTACCATGTCACCATTCCTCATCCAAAATTCATCAACAATTTCACGAAATAGCGCCAACGCAAATAATTATAAATAACCCGGTTGCGGTTAAAAATATCCTTATCTCAAAATTCACTTTCCTTCATTAAAGTCACACAATTCATGTAAATGAATTCATTGAAACAAAAATTCATTTAATCTAGTTCTCGTCATAAAAATCAATTTAGACAATAAAATATAAAAAATCTCGTGTTAACCATTATTTTATGGTAACTTAAATTCCCACAAAACGGTAAATCCGAAAATCTCCAAAAAATACAAGAACCTTCATTTATCATCCTAAAACAGGTCTGTCCAGTTTTTATATTTTTCAAAAAATCAAAACCATGAAAATTATATTACACTCGGTCTTTACCGCAAATCTCGTATTAAGCTCGTTTTTACCATTTCAAAGATAAAAACTACACCAACTGTCTAATTTACCATTTCCAGACCAAAACCCATTTAACAATCCATACTGACCATTTTAAAGTGATCAAAATCTTAAAGATAAATAAAACAAGTTTTTACCGAGCCTTCCGTAAAATTCACCGTTATGCAGTTTTTAATCCGGAAGCCATTTTCAAATGAAAATCTTCTGCTCAATCTGCCCCAACATCATTTTAGACATACAAAAATATCTTAGATCCGTTTTAAACTCTGTAAACCCAACTATCCATTTTTACGGTGAAACTTGTAAAATACCGATATGTACACCGTAAAATCCATAACAATAAAGAACAATGACCAAATAATCATATCAGCAACCAAGTCATCAACTACACTAATCCATCCATCCAAATATGCAGATCAAGCATAAATAATCGAGGCAATAATTAAGGTCCTCTTAATCCCCACACCTTAATTTTAGCCGATTCCAAGTCGGGAATTAAGTTCTAAAATTCCAGAGGTTGGCTCCTAAATATTCTCCTTATTTCTACGGTCCTGTAGGCGAAAACGGTTCGTCGTTTGGACGTCAAACGAAGAAACTGCGAGCTGATCATCGTTAGTACGAAATTAGGGATTAATTTTGAATTTTCTGCTGTCCAAAATCTGCAGAAAACTGGAAATTCCTTTACCTCACGTACCAACTTCCGGGCCTTGTTTCTCCCTCGTCTGAGCTCGGAATTCAATTCCGTAAAATCTGTGATGCTCGTGGAGACTTTCTCTTCGCAACGGTATCAAGCTTCGTAGCTGATACTACCTTTAATGGTGCTGGTTTGGCTGACAAAAAGGTTACGGCAAAAGTTTCGGCGAAGAATTTCCGTTGAGTTGGTTGGACGATTTTGGCTTCGTAATGGGATTCGTGTGGGTTCTAAATCTTTGCTGGGCATACAGAGGTTATGATAGGCGTTTGTTAACTATCCTTTCCTTCCATTCTTTTCTTGGCGTATGAAAATGATGATATGAAGTGAGGAAGAAGAAGAAAAGAGTCTCCCCCTCTTATTAATTCTTGTTTCAGATCTTCATCACTCCTAATTAAGGCCCAGGCAGACCCTCATAAAGCTAAAGGCCGCCTTCTAAATCCTCAGGTCAGTTATGGAGTTGAAGGGACGAGTTTCAAAGGCTGCACCGCTTGGTACGAGTTTATCTACAGCTGCAGCAGCGACGCAGATTCAGTTTATGAAATAGGATTTAGTATTTTGTACACATAAATTCCGTGTGGTCTACTGGTTTGGGCAATTGTCTGCCCTTGAACGTGGGGAAGGGTCCAGGTTTGATTCCTATCAGCCCCTTATTTATTTTTATTGCAATTTTTAGGCTTGGAGAGTTTCAAAGTGATTTCGTTGATCCTATCTCGTATAGGATAACTTCTAGATTTTTTTTCCAGCCTCGAAACGTATATTGTACGCCCGCCATCTGGAAAAAAAATTTATTCAAGGTTCGGGATGTTACAATTCCTGTCTTCACATGCATGCATTGGAATGACACTTGTTGGTGTCGCTGAGTTCATGTAATGTGTTAGCTATAGACTCTTACTATTGTAATATGGAACTCATTGAGTACTATGATGTGATTAATTCTATGTTGTGTGGTGAACACGGTCCAATTCGAGTAATTATCTACGAATCAATACACGAACTGGGTTGATACTATACTGAGTAATTTTTATGGTCCTCAACTGTTGATCGAACTAAAGGGATAGATCAGAGAAGACATAATTTCTAAACTAAACGGTGCTATGTTGGGTTATACAAAAAGAGTGCGCTACATATGGTAATTAAGAGCCATGATAGTAGAATCGAAGCTTTGTTTATGTTTCTGAATGCATGCTTATCTCTCTTAACAAAATTAGATATTATATTTGCATTCCCAATGCAAGAAGAAACACGAATAATGTCTATCTTTTCTTTTAATGAAGGGTTGCTATCATGCAACGATGTAAATATAAATTCCGATAATGATTGGACTACAGACAACAATTACGAGGACTCGATCACATCTAGATGATGTTTTGTTTTATCTTCCAAGGCTATGATTCACATGTGGACATGTCAAGAGAATAATCTCACAACTCCTTTATATGAATTTGAGAGAATGATAATCAACCATATCTAGCTGTAATTGTTGTATATATATGGTACATATATGAGAGAGAGAGAGAGAGAGCTGGAAGCAAAGTGGACCACCATAGACATATTTTCTACATTCATTTTGTGTTAGTGGGGGAGGATCTGTAAGTTTGCCTAGAACAGAAAGTTCCCTTTTGCATGTGTTTGCTTACTATGACGATGAAAACTTCTTTTTTCACCCCTTGGGGTGTATAGCAAGAGATCAGAATAATGATATTTAACCATGTGAAGTATGAATTATTTGAAATATATGCTGTGACAGATCGAAATCCATGCACAATTATTGTAAGCTTGACTGAGAGAGTGCATTTCATTCATGCTGTATATGATCACTATATGTGTCTTTTGCATGTGAAGGTGCACCATTTGTTCCATCATCGATCCCACCTTAACCCTAAAAAAGAGGGGGCAAAAGAAAAAAGAGGGAACTCCTTATTGTGCATATATAGTAATCATGTAATAATTACTTGTGCTGAAATTAGTCCAATTGTCCGTGGTTAGAGATTTGTTGTTTCTGTCTTGGAGTTATGGCTCTTTATAGGGAACGGCTACGGTGCTAATTGTACAATAGTTAGCACCGTCCTAACCAAGGGAAAAACTACTACTAGTTTGAATTATTAGTGATTTAGCTTAGATGTTGTATTGATTTTATAATAATCCGTAGTGATTTCGTTATTTTTAGTAGCGTTTTGTGCTAGTTATCACGGTGCTAACCCCTATAATGGTTAGCACCTAATCCCATCACCTCTTATAGTTGTTATATTAGATTGTATTGATGCGAGTAACGATTTTAAGATATAATAGTGAAATCGTGATAAAGATTACTATAAATATATGATACAAATATGCTGGGTTGTGGTTTATGTTCTATCTTTGGAGTGTTATTTTGAATTAACTTCTCGTGAATGACCACCTGCATTCAATGAGATCCTGCTTCAACATGCTTGCAAAATGAGCATTTTATCGGTTTAAAAGGACTTCCGATCACAACGAGTCGAGGATATTTGCGACGTTAGGTGCCCATCAAGAGATATGATATTGTTAAGTTTGCATATGATGAAATCATATCGGTCATTGACAATATAAAAAAGTGTGGCTTCCAAATGCAGAATCGATTTTCTCTATTGTACTAAAAAATGAAGTTGTAGAATAGCCATGTATTTAAAATAAGCTAGGTATCATCTCTAAATAAAAACTTGTTGGTCATTTTAACCAATATTTTATGCTACAATAACTCACTTGTATTTTTAATAAGTGTTAAGATATTACTCCTCCTAAAAATATGTGCTGGATTGATCTCTTATATGTACAATCGGTGTGATTAGTTGGTATCACAAAATCACTAGTTTCTTAGGAAGAAAATGGGTGCACATAGCGGGAAAAAATAGAGCAATCTTCTCACCGAAACACTCCCTCCTCTCTCCTCTCACCGGGCGAGGTGGTAGGGCCTTTCGCCTTCGTGCGACGATGCCGGTAACGGCCATCCCTTCCGATTTTCGCCGGTTCTGGCCGTTCAGGCCCACGATTGAGAAAATAGCATCCCGGTTGCCTTCGACTTCTCACTTGTTCTTCGTGGCGGTGTTCAATTTCCGATTTTCTTGTGGACCAGTAATCGCTTGCCTCTGCTTCGTCTCGCTCTTATGGCGGCTATTCAGTTTGATGACGCCGACGTTGCTGTTGGTGCCCTGCGTCCCGACCAAACCTTGATTGGCCGCCTCTATGGTCCGCTTCCCCCGCTCCCGACGCTTCGCTCCATTATCGGCAGGGTATGGAAGTGTGACGTTTCGGTTGCTATGGTGGAGTGGGATCTCCTCCAGTTTGTTTTCTCCGATTCAGCAACCGCCGACCGAATTGTCCGCACCCCCTCCTGGATCTTTGAGAAATTTGTCATTCATGTTCGGCGCTAGGCTACTCCTACGGCGGAGTTGGCGGCGGGTTTGGCCAAAGTGCCTCTTGTGGCACAATTTTGGGGTGTTCCTTATGTCTGCTGCACTGAGAAATTAGGCTCCTTACTTGGAGTGTCCTTGGGAGCCACAGGGCCAGCTACGATTCATCGATCGTCGTCCTCCGGTGGCCTTTACATCCGAGCAAAGGTGTCGATTGATCTTCTGTCTCCTCTCCTGTATGAAGTTTCTGCTTCTCATGTGGATCCATCCAAAGGGAGTTTCCTGGCGCAGGTGAAGTTCGAATCTATCCCCTAGTTTTGTTTTCTCTGTGGCATCATTGGCCATGTGAGTCGACTTTGCCCGCAGAAGGATGATTTGGCTAGGGCTCCTCCCCGTTATGGCAAGCATATGATTGCCAAGGAATTCGGACCCCGAGTCAATGATGTTACTCTCGCCCGTCGCCGCAAAAGATTCGTCTGGACATTGGCTGGGAATTCCTCTGCTGGTCGTTCGGAGGGCTCCTCTGGTCCGGGTTCTGGTCCTCTGACTGACCTTTCTTCTGGCCGGAATTCTGCCCAGCAGCAGATGGCAGAGCACCTCCAACTATTGCAGATTGCTGATGCTGACCTGGAGGGGCAGTCTGCTCGGGTCGCTGTTTCTTCCCAGGAAGGCGATTTAGACATGGTGGATGTTGCTGAACCCAGGTCTAAGCGGCCTCGGTTGGTCAATCGGGAGGATGGTTCGGTTTCTATGGAGTTCAACAGGGTGGAGGCAGCCGGCCCAAATCGGTCCCCAGTTGATAAATGAGCATTCTTATTTGGAATTGTCGGGGTTTGGGGGCTCACCTGACAATTCCTGTTCTCCGGGAAGCTATTTCTCGGGACTCCCCTTTTCTAGTTTGTTTGAGTGAGACTAGGCGGGATGATGATTTCGTTGTTCAGCAATTGGGTAGACTTGGTTTTCCTGAGGATCGTGTACATAGTGTGTCGAATAATGGGAGTGGACTTGCTGTAGCTTGGTCCTCTTGTCTTGTGTGTTCTATTTCGGTTGAGTCATCTGGTTTCTTATTCCTTGAGTGTGAGCACCAGTCGTTGGGTCGTTTTGCTGTTATCTTTGTGCATTTACATTGTGATGTTGCCCCCCATCAATTTCAGCTTAATGAAATTTCATTTCTTGCTTCGTCGTATGAGGATCCTATTTTTGTGATGGGTGATTTCAATTGCCTTCTTTCTAGTTCACAGAAACAGGGGGGAGAACTCCCACTCTTGCATCTTTAGAACAACTTAACCTGTTTTTATCTGCAGGAGGTCTTCAAGATTTGGGATTTATTGGCCCTCCATTTACTTGGTCCAATAGACAATCTAACGGCGATCATATTCAGTCGAGATTGGATCGCTGCCTTGCTAATCACCTTGTTCTCTCTTTGTGGCCTGATGTGCAGGTACATCATCTCACAGACAGGGGTTCTGACCATAGGATGCTTTCGATTCGGTTTGTGAAGCCGGTGGTTCGGCGAGTTCGTCATTTTCATTATGACAACCGATGGGATTTCAACCATGATGTCCCTCATATTATTCATAATGCTTGGGTTAAACCTATTGCAGGCACCCCTCTCTTTAGGGTTCAATCTAAGCTCAAACAGGTGCGCCACGAACTGCTTGATTGGGCTAAGGCAGGTACCTCGAACTCTGCCCGACTTATCCGAGAAACCCGTAAAGCTCTTGATTCAGCTAGGGATGCGGGTGGTGTTAATTGGACACTGATTGGACGTTTGGAAGCACAGCTTACAGAGGCGTACCGTCAGGAGGAACTATATTGGCAGCAAAAGTCCCGGGTTAGTTGGTTGCATGGAGGTGATGCTAATACCCGTTTTTTCCATTTAGCTACCATGCAACGCCGACGTTCGAATATCATCGCACGTCTCCGGGATGAGCACGGAGTGGTACACTCTGACGAGCAACAGAAAGGGGAAGTCTCTCTCTCTTACTTCCAGAATATTTTCACCTCTAATGGTCGTGATTCTTTGGAGTTTGTTCGTAACCTGAATATTCCGACACTGATATCTTCGGACAAGAATGTTTTGCTCACTGCACAGATTACTAGAGCAGAAATCAAGCAGGTCTTCTTCGGCATTGGGAAATATCAAGCCCCTGGATCAGATGGCTTCACCGGTAGCTTCTTTCAACGATTTTGGGACGAGATTGGAGCGGATGTGTCAGAGGCGATCCTTTCTTTCTTTTCTACAGGGCGCCTCTTACATAGTATCAACCATACGTGGCTGGTACTTATACCCAAAGTGGTGAATGCCGACTCTATGCAACAGTTGCGTCCGATTGGTCTCTGCCAGGTTATGTATAAAGCTATCTCCAAGATCCTCTCGAATAGACTGAGTGCCATCCTTCCTCATATTATTAGCCCTTTTCAGAATGGTTTTATCAAGGGTCGTTGCATTTCTGATAATATTCTTATTGGTCAAGAAGTGATGCAGTTTCTTAAAACCAAGGTGCGTGGGCAGGACAAGTGGATGGCCCTTAAACTTGATATGGAGAAAGCGTATGATCGTGTGGAATGGGAGTTCCTGTTCCATATTATGGAGTCAATGGGGTTCTGTACCCAGTGGATGAAATGGATTAAGGCTTGTGTAACGACGGTCCGATTCTCGGTGCTCCTCAATGGCAATGAGTATGGCTACTTCCAGCCCCAACGGGGCATCCGTCAAGGTGATCCTTTGTCTCCTCTTCTTTTTGCCATATATACGGAGGCCTTTGCGGCTATGATTAGCCAAGCTGTTTCTATCTCTACGCTTCATGATTTAAAAGTGCACATGTCTGCTCCGCCCCTTTCTCATCTTTTTTATGCGGATGACTCCTATCTGTTCCTACGTGCTTCTGTTCCTGAATGTGCTAACCTTCTTCATCTTTTAGCGGAATATGAAAGGTATAGTGGTCAGTGGATTAATCTTCATAAATCTGCTATGTGTGGGAGTGCGAATGTTTCAGAACAGGAGTTACTTTCACTCAGTTCGTTCCTTGGAGTTGCGACTATGTCTCCTGATGACAAGTACTTGGGCCTCCCGTCCCAGCTCCGTCGGTCTAAATCATTGACCTTTCAATTTATTGAAGAGGATCTGGCTGCACGGATCCGGAGTTGGAAGACCAAGGCGTTGTCTCTAGCGGCAAAGGAAGTGGTTATCAAGTCGATTGGGGCTGCGGGGCCTATCTATGCTATGTCGGCTTTTAGACTTCCCCAAGAAACATGTTGACGCTGTAACAGTCTTCTTTCGAAGTTTTGGTGGGCAAACCAACATAAGGAGAATGGCATCCATTGGGTCTCTTGGTCTGCGATCTGTCAGAGTAAGTTTGTAGGAGGGCTCGGTTTTCGAGATTTTAATCTTTTTAATGTTGCTTTGTTAGCTAAACAGGCTTGGCGCATTCTTGGCAACCCCACTAGCACTCTTGCCCGAATTTATCAAGCTAGGTATCATCCTCACCGGAGCTTCTTGGAGGCGACAGCAGACTCTCGTCCTTCGTGGGCGTGGCAAGGCATCCTGACAGGAAGAGATCTTCTACTTCAGGGTTTAAGGTGGCAAGTGGGAAGCGAGAATCGGATTCATACTCTAACGGATAATTGGCTTCCCTCTTCTCCTCCTTCACCTCCTGTGTTAAAGCCAGGTTTGAGTGTTTGTCCTCCTTTAGTCTCAGATCTCATTTGCCCTACTTCTCACTCGTGGAAGAAGGATCTCTTACTTTCTCTGTTCACTCTAGAGAGTGTTGATCTCATTTTGTCTATTCCTCTCCCTACTTCGGTGTCGACTGATCGTTTGATATGGCATTATTCTTCCTCTGGTCTTTACACTGTTAAGACAGGTTATCATCTTTTGGCATCTGAGTATGATCTTCATCATCCTCCCGCGGTCCTCCCGTTTGACTCTCATTTTTGGAAATTTCTTTGGAGTATTCCTGTTCCTCCAAAGCTAAAGTTCTTTTTTTGGCGAGCTGTCCGTGGCTTCTTGCCCCTGCAGATAGTTTTGTTTACTAAAACTCTTGTGTCTGACACGATTTGTCCTATATGTTCTGGGGAACCAGAATCCTTTTCCCATTTTTTCTTCTCTTGCAGGGTCGCTCAGTGGAGGCTGGCGGACCTTGAAGGTTTATGCATTACTCTTGGAGGAATGAGTCCTGATGAGGCCTGGCGTCATCTTTTCTTTTCAATGAACCTTTCGAAAATTGAGATAGCTAATATTGTTTTCATTCTTTGGAGGCTTTGGAAGGGGAGGTGTTGGTCGGTCCACGAAGGCATCCAATATCTCCCTTCGGCTCTGTTTCGGCAGTTTCAATGACAGGTGGATGAGTGGAGGACGTTAGGGCCCAATTCCTCGATTCAGACTTTCGGTGGCACTGTTTCTGCAGCTCCAGGCCCTTCTCGTACTCCCAGTATCGCACCTACGATCTTCATCATCCTCCCGCGGTCCTCCCGTTTGACTCTCGTTTTTTGAAATTTCTTTGGAGTATTCATGTTCCTCCAAAGCTAAAGTTCTTTTTTTGGCGAGCTGTCCGTGGCTTCTTGCCCCTGCAGATAGTTTTGTTTACTAAAACTCTTGTGTCTGACACGATTTGTCCTATATGTTCCGGGGAACCAGAATCCTTTTCCCATTTTTTCTTCTCTTGCAGGGTCGCTCAGGGACTTTGGAGGCTGGCGGACCTTGAAGGTTTACGCATTACTCTTGGAGGAATGAGTCCTGATGAGGCCTGGCGTCATCTTTTCTTTTCAATGAACCTTTCGAAAATTGAGATAGCTAATATTGTTTTCATTCTCTGGCGGCTTTGGAAGGGGAGGTGTTGGTCGGTCCACGAAGGCATCCAATATCTCCCTTCGGCTCTGTTTCGGCAGTTTCAATGACAGGTGGATGAGTGGAGGACGTTAGGGCCCAATTCCTCGATTCAGACTTTCGGTGGCACTGTTTCTGCAGCTCCAGGCCCTTCTTGTACTCCCAGTATCGCACCTACGACTCCAGGTTCCTCAACTTTTATCAATGTCTGGTTTGATGGTGCTACCAAGAGTGGGCATGGAGGCAGTATTGGCTTTGTCAGCTATCATACGACAGGTAATGTTCTGTTTGCTTTTGGGAAATTTTATGATGGTATTCAAGATCCTTTTCTCATGGAATGTTTAGCTCTACGGGATGCTGTACAATGGTGTCTAACTCATTCCTTTCTTACTGTTTGTTTTCATGGGGATTCTCAACTCTTGATCCGCCGGATGATTGGAGGTGATATGCATCATGTTCGGGGTGGCGCTATTTTGGAAGACGTTAGGAGCTTGGCATCTTCCTTCCTCAGTGTCTCTTTCTGTTTTGTTTCTCGTCAACTTAATAGGGCTGCCCATCATGTGGCACAAAAGGCCCTCTCATCGGGAGCTCGACTATTGGTCGACTCCTGCGCTTTACTTTCTTTCGGTTTGTGACTTTGGATTTATACTCTGACTTTGCCAAAAAAAAATGGGTGCACATACACACACATGATACGACAAAATATCTCCAACTTAAAACAAATCATTAAAGGACCCCAACCCTAGAAAAGTCACACCATAAGCCCAAGAACTATAGAACATTCACAACATGAAAACTTACCTGATAAACATTTGAGCACCTTGTTTACATGGAAAGAAAAAATTAAAGCCAAAGAATCAAATGGGGCTGGAAGAAAATGTAGCAGTTTGCAAGAAGAAGAAAAAATGCAGCTAAACTAGCAGACTGTCAACTTATTAGCATATCTTGTGTATAAGGTGTAAGCCCAATTCCCGTATAGATCGCTAGGGAATAATTGTGGCCCAAGTGTAATTATCATTTAATGGTTTAATATATAAGGTAAGTCATATATTGTTTAGGTTAATGAAAGGTAATTTCCTAATATACCCTGATGGTGGGTCTATATAAAGAAACCCTAGGATTGGTCCTCTCTCAACCCATTACGTAGAATTTCTTAGCCGTCATAGAAATCTCTAAACCTAAAACCTAAAGGGGTCAAGAGGGAGAAACTCAATTCCGGTGATTACTACTCATGCCGCCGCCGCCGCTCTCGTCATGGATCGAGGTAGGTTTCCTTGATCTATTACCGATTCGTGAAATCATCTAATTCTAAGATCCATGCTATTATGATTTATGTTTACATAAGGTGGACATTGAACTTCTTCAAAATGTTCAATGAAAATTGATCATAATATTATTTTTAAATATACCTTTCAAAAGTTCAAACAAATGTTAGATTAAGTTTAGCTCTCACAGTTTCGTCAATTGCTACACGCTCAATAATTTCTAATGTAAGACTACTATATCTGATTCCGATATAACATATAACTTAGTTTTAGTTATTAAATTTCATTATCGTTTCAACGGGAAAAAAAATCATCCTAATAAACCGAACTATCATTTAGGTTGATATTTCATTCTAATAAATTATCTTCAATAAACAACAAGTTTAATGTCACAATTGTCATTTAAAAAGTGATATAGTACGTGAAATTTTGTGCGTGGAATGATAATTTATTAGCTTAAATAATATGATTAAGTTACCTAATGCACACAATATAACTATAAGCTTTTCCCTTTTATATTGCTTCACTAATTTCTTAGGTTACTGTGGCTCTTTCAAAAATCAAAGAACAATACTGTAGTCCACAAATCATTAGAATAAGACATGGCAGAGTTGTTATGTATGTTCCCAATGCACGACATACTTACTGTTGTATATCATAAAATAGTATATTAAAAATAAATTATAATTATGTCTTAACTATAGCAGCTGGTTTTGTGGGTAATAATTGGTGCCTTAAATTAAGGTGATCAATTGCGTATTCTCCGGATAAACGCTTTGAGATCTGAAAGGAAATTGAGCTGATAAGGATTGTTGTGCAAAATGGTAGTAGGAACTAGGAAGTCATTAACAATAATATTATAGTTACTTATATGAACCAAAGTTAATAATTCAAGTAGTAATAGTGACTAATCCCTCATTCCGAATCCGAATGATGACGATCAATCTATAAATGGTTTGACTATATATAGAGTAACCAAAGTTAATTAATAATCACCGCGTTACACCACATAACTGAGTGGTTGATGTACTAAACCCACATTATACCATATCATATCATGACGGTCCATATCGACAATGATACGTTACAAAAGCGTAACCAATACTGTTGGCCCTCCTCATGTGGTGGAGAACCGGTCACCAAAGTGGCGGTGATAATTGGAAAAAGAAAAAAATAATAAAACTAATGAGGGAGCAATGGACGGTTGGGAGATGGATTTCTCAACCAATTGCAATTAATCCATACCCACTTCTTAGCATATAAAAGGAGACGATCAGCTCACTTGGAAAGCATCCCTCACCATTCCATCCTTCTCTATTTCCTTTGCTCTGCTTCTGTTCGTATTTCTTTTGTGGGGGTTTTTTTTTGTAGTGAAACGTTTTTACCACCACGGATAGATAGGAGATTTCCTTGTGAGTGAAATAGTGAGGTTGTTTGGGAAACACCGTGTGTTCTATTTCTTGTATCGAGAAAATCTCTGTAACTTACCATTGTTATAATAAAGAAATACTTCGGAGCTGCTGTTCCCGTGGATTGGCCCAAAATCTGGGTATGTCACATAAATCATCGGTGTCATTTATTATTATCTATGCTTGTTGCTATTTTGAGAATAGTCGTAGTATATTGCATTATTAAATTACCGAAGTAAATTGATCTAAGTAAGTTGGTTACCGTAATTTTGGAGGCTCTGCCACCTGGTCCAACTTACCTGTGAACTTTTTACAAGCGTGTGATTTATTAGTGCAATATATTTACCCACTATTCTCACCCGCTGCGCCCAACAAGTGGTATCAGAGCCACGTCCAATGGAGGCAAAAACAAGCAAGATGATAAGTCTGAATGGCTCCAACTATCACATATGGAGAAACAAGATGAATGATCTCCTACTCGTGACAGAGTTGCATTTGCCGGTGTTTAGCCCAACTAAACCTTATGGCAAAACTGAAGAGGAATGGGAGTTTAAGCATGAGCAAGTATGTGGCTACATTCGACAGTTCGTCGACGATAATGTATACAACCACATTAGCGGAGAAACTCATGCCAGAACTCAGTGGAACAAGCTGGAGGCACTCTATGCATCAAAGACCGGCAACAACAAATTATTTTATCTGACCAAGTTGGTCCAGATGAAATACAAGGAAGGCGAATCCTTGGCGGATCATTTGAACGAAATTCAAGGAATCATGGATCAATTGTCCGATATGGGCATAAAGATGGAAGATGAGGTGGTCGCTCTCCTCGTTCTGGCTTCCCTTCCAGAATCTTGGGAGACGCTAAAAATTTTACTTACCTACTCTGCGAAAGATGGAGTTATAAACATGGAGATTTTCAAAAGTGGAGTCCTAAACGAAGAGATGCGAAAAAGATCACAAGGTGCATCTTCATCATCTTCCCAGTCAGACCTTCTGACAGTGGATTCCAGAAGCAGAGGAAGAAGTGAAGCGAGAGACTCAAAGCAAAGAGGCAAGAATCGAGGGAAGTCCAACAAGTTTGCCAACATTCATTGTCATCACTGCAAGGAAAAGGGCCACATCAGAAGATTTTGCCCAAAGTTCAGAAATGAGAGAAGGAAGGGCAAATGAGATGAGAACAGTGATGATGATAGTGCAAACTCTGTTGATGAGTTCAATATTGTCTACGAGGAAGATGTTGTCAACCTGACAACCCAGGAGACAAGTTGGGTAGTTGATAGTGGTGCTACCATCCACGTGACGTCCAAGTGAGAATTTTTCTCATCTTACACACCAGGTTACTTTGGTGTGGTAAGGATGGGAAATGGCAACCTTTCCAAAGTTATTGGAAAAGGAGAAGTATGCTTGGAGACGATGAATGGTACGAAGCTACTACTGAAGGATGTCAGACATGTTCCAGAAATGCGCCTGAATCTCATCTCTGTAGACAAGTTGGATGAGGAAGGTTACTGTAACACCTTCCGCAATGGCTAGTGGAAACTCACCAGAGGCTCCTTGGTGTTGGCCAAGGGCAAGAAGCTTTCAAAGCTGTATGTGACGGAAGCCAAGATCTCCCCAGAGATTGTCAACTCAGCGGAGAATGGTGACACAATTGAATTGTGGCACAAACGGCTCGATCACATGAGTGAGAAGTTCATGGCAAAGTTGGCCCAGAAGAAAGTCATAGTTGGGTTGGATCATGTTCATCTAAAGAAGTGTGCCGATTGCCTTGCGGGAAAGCAAAATCGAGTTGCTTTCAAAAGTTCCATCTCTTCAAGAGCAAAGAACGTGTTGGATCTAGTTCACTCAGATCTCTGTGAACCCGATGTCAACGTCAAATCACTTGGAGGTGCCAGATATTTTGTGACATTCATTGATGACCATTCACGGAAGACTTGGGTGTATACCTTGAAGACCAAGGATTAGGCACTAGACGTTTTCAAACAATTCCTGGCCCTGGTGGAAAGGGAAACTGGCAAGAAGCTGAAGTGCATCCGGACTGACAATGGTGGAGAGTACATAGGTCCGTTTGCTACCTTCTGCAAGGAACATGGAATTCGGCAGCAATTCACACCACCAAAGACGTCGCAATTGAATGGGCTAGCTGAGAGGATGAACAGGACCCTGCTAGAGAGACTCAGGTGTTTGTTATCACACTCGAAGCTACCACATTCTTTCTGGGGGGAGGCACTGCTTGCAGCAGTTTATGTGTGGAACAGGTCACCCAGTGTGCCACTAAAGTATGACGCCCCAGAGAAGGTGTGGACAGGAAAAGAAGTTTCCTACAAACATTTGTGGGTGTTTGGTTGCAAGGCCTTTGTCCATATTCCAAAGGATGAAAGGTCAGAGTTGGATTCAAAGATGCGACCGTGCGTATTCATTGGATATGGTCAAAATGAGTTTGGCTATAGATTCTTTGATCCAATCCAGAAGAAGCTTATCAGAAGCCGTGATGCTCTGTTCATCGAGAATGAGACCATCAAAGATGTTGTTGCTAGGAAAGAAGTTCCTAGTACTGATGCTAGACAGCCAAACCTTGAGCTAGTGCCTCCAACACCAGCGCCTACAGAAGTTGGAGATGAAGTAGACAGCCAAACCTTCAGCCTGAGATAGTTGAACCAGATGTCCATGTGGAGGTTCAACCAGAAGATGCTGATGACGATGGTCAACCACCAGCCATAGAAGGTTCTCCTGTTCGAACAACAAGATCTGGTAAAATTTCACGACTGTCTACCAGATATCCCGAGACTGAATATGTCTCACTTACTGACGGCGGAGAACCAGAAAGCTTCATAGAAGCTATGAATGATGAAGACAAGCAAAGGTGGATAGAAGCCATGCAAGACGAGATGGATTCCTTGTATGAGAACAACACATTTGAGCTGGTGAAGTTGCCAAAAGGCAAGAGAGCTTTGAAGAACAAGTGGGTGTTTAAGATCAAGCATGATGAACACAACCGTCAGCCACGCTTCAAAGCCAGACTAGTCGTGAAAGGCTTCAGTCAAAGGAAAGGCATTGACTTTGACGAGATATTTTCACCTGTGGTGAAAATGATATCCATTCGTACTGTGTTGGGACTAGCAGCAAGTCTTAACCTAGAGGTTGAACAAATGGATGTGAAAACTGCCTTCCTTCATGGTGATTTGGAGGAAGAGATTTACATGGAGCAACCAGAAGGTTTCAAGAAGGAGAAAAAGGAGGAGCATCTGTGTAGGCTCCGTAAGAGCTTGTATGGCTTGAAGCAGGCACCAAGGCAGTGGTATAAGAAGTTTGAGTCTGTTATGGGGGAGCAAGGTTACATGAAGACTACTTCTGACCACTGCGTATTTGTGAAGAAATTCTCATATGGAGATTTCATCATATTGTTGTTGTATGTGGATGATATGCTAATTGCTGGGCAAAATGTTTCCAAGAACAACGACTTGAAGAAGGAGTTGAGCAAGTCTTTTGCCATGAAAGACTTGGGACCAGCAAAACAGATTCTTGGCATGAGGATCATTCGGGATCGAGGTGCCAAGAAGATATGGTTGTCACAAGAGAAGTACATTGAGAAAGTACTTCAACATTTCAACATGGATAATGCTAAGGCGGTTAGCTGTCCTCTTGCTAACCACTTTACATTGACATCTAACAGAGCCCGTCTACTGAGAAGGAAAAGGCGGAGATGGATAAAATTCCATATGATTCAGCAGTGGGAAGTTTGATGTACGCCATGGTATGTACAAGGCCAGATATTGCTCATGCAGTTGAAGTTGTCAGTCGGTTTCTTTCCAAACCAGGAAAGGAACATTGGGAAGCTGTGAAGTGGATCCTTAGATACCTTCGAGGTAGCTCCAAAATGAGTCTATGTTTTGGAGATGGTGAACATGTCCTTGTTGGCTATACAGAAGCTGACATGGCAGGTGATGTTGATTCGAGGAGGTCCACTTCTGGGTACCTGATTACCTTATGAGGGGGAGCAATATCATGACAGTCAAGGCTACAAAAGTGCGTAGCTCTTTCCACAACAGAAGCTGAGTATATAGCAGTAACGGAAGCATGCAAGGAGATGATATGGATGAAGAAGTTCCTGAATGAACTTGGGTTCCTACAGGAACGACTGCAGCTGTTCCGTGACAGTTAGAGTGCTATTCATCTTGTGAAGAATGCTTCATTTCATGCTCGATCAAAACATATCGATGTTCGATATCACTGGATTCGTGATGTACTTGAAATGAAACAGCTACAACTGGAGAAGATCCATACTGACGAAAATGGATCTGACATGTGTACCAAGACTCTTCCAAGAGAAAAGTTTGAGTTTTGTCGATCAGCTGCAGGGATGACAATGTCGCCCATGTAGTCGGGGCGGGGGAGAATTGTTGGCCCTCCTCATGTGGTGAAGAACCGGCCATCAAAGTGGCGGTGATAATTGGAAAAAAAAAAAAATAATAAAACTAACGAGGGAGCAGTGGACGGTTGGGAGATGGATTTCTCAACCAATTGCAATTAATCCATGCCCTCTTCTTAGCCTATAAAAGGAGACGATCAACTCACTTGGAAAGCATCCCTCACCATTCCATCCTTCTCCATTTCCTTTGCTCTACTTCTGTTCGTATTTCTTTTGTGGGTTTTTTTGGTAGTGAAACGTTTTTACTACCATTGATAGATAGGAGATTTCCTTGTGAGTAAAATAATGAGGTTGTTTGGGAAACATTGTGTGTTCTATTTCTTGTATCGAGAAAATCTATGTAACTTACCATTGTTATAGTAAAGAAATACTCCGGAGCTGTTGTTCCCGTGGATTGGCCCAAAATCAGGGTATACCACGTAAATCCTCGGTGTCATTTATTATTATCTATGCTTGTTACTATTTTGAGAATAGTCGTAGTATATTGCATTATTAAATTACCGAAGGAAATTGATCTAAGTAAGTTGGTTACCGTAATTCTGGAGGCTCTGCCACCAGGTCCAACTTACTTGTAAACTTTTTACAAGCGTGTGATTTATTAGTGCAATATATTTACCCGCTATTCTCACCCGCTGCACCCAACAAATACTACTACCGTACAATAGAAATCTTTGACGCGCTCATCGTGGCAACATAGCTTCATGATAAATCATGATGCCAATAACGGCCTCAGAGAAACCCTTAGGGCATCTCATCATCATATACATAAAAACAGATGGAATGGGAGGAAACAGATTGACAAAAAAAAAAGGATTACAACGAATTAATCGTATGATATATAGAGATTTTCGAGAAGAGGAAGAACTAAGACAAAATGGATCAAAACAGTTTAAAAAAAAAGGGGGCGAATATATTCCTCCTCCATTGATATAAATAATCAATTACCTTGCCAAGGTTGTTTCTGAGACTCGTGACTATGTTGGTGGTCAGCATTATTATTATTATTACTATCATCGTTGATGCAGTTTCCAAAACCAGCTAGGCTGAGCAAATCACTGTGCGTCAATGGCCTCAGCCCCAAGAAATCCCTCGTCATCCCACCGCCGCCGCCGTCCTCCACCGCCGCCGCCAACCCCTTCCCTCCGCCATCAAACGCATCCTCCTCGAACGAGTAGTTCATCATCTCCTGAAACAAACCACCACCTCCTCCTCCACCGCCACCTATTGCGGCGGTGGTCCCCACGCTGTCACGTGGCGCGAAACCGAAACCGGCATTGTTGTTGCTGTTGGTAGTCACGTGATGATGGTCAGGGTGGGCCGTCGGGGTGACGAGCATGAGGCCGGCGGTTTTGGAGGCGGCGGTGGTGGAGGCGGTGGTGGCGCCCATCTGAGCGGCCTTCTGGAGGAGCGCGGTGGCTGACATGTGCTGCGTGGTGGTGGAATGGAAGTTTGGTAAGGTGGGGCCCAGCTGGCTAGGGTTTGCTCCTGACAAAATGGATGGTGATGATGATGATGAAGAGGACGACGACGAGAGATGATGAGGAAGGAGTGGGCCCGGGCCCGGGCCCATTACTGATGAAGCAGCAGCAGCTCGTAGGCCTGCAGGCGGGCAGCTGGCTAGCCATGGTGGCAACTCTCTGCTGCTGCTGTTGTTGAGCAGACCGAAATTACCATTACTGTCCATGGTAGTAGTGTTATTATCCTCCTTTTTCAGTGAGGGGGAAGAAGAAGAGGAGGAAAATGGGTAATGGAGGAAATTGTTGTTGTTGTTGTTGTTGTAGCCTTGGTGGTTGAATTGTGGGATTGTTGTTGTTGCTGCTGTAGCAGCAATAGTAGGGATGGCTCTTGCACTTTCTTCTGCTAATGCATCACAGAATGCTCTGTGGGTTATGAAACTGTCCCTCCTGCAAACACAAAAACAAACAAACATATGAAACAAGACACAAAAATAAAAAGCAATAAAATGAATATTCATCCCTCTCTCCTTTTTTTCTCTTCTTACTTACTTTCTGGGCTTTCTGACTTTCTTTCTTCCATCATCCCTCCTCTCTCTCTCTTTCTAGTGCTAGGCTGCTGCCTGCCATTATTACTATTTACCAAACTAAGCTTCAAGTTTGACTATTTGAGTATTTCCCCACCTTCTCCCTCTTTCTCATGTCAGCCATTTAATGAAAGTATGAAACCATCCATCTCCCTCTCTCAATCTCGAAGGAACATGAGAAAAATTCCCAACAAGGACAGATCTCTCATCTCTCACACACACATTTATTGCCAAATTCCCTTTGCCAACACCAAACTTATAATCCTCAATCTCACACGACCTTGTGTCCTTTCACCAGGGAACACCAATTAATAATACTCCCCCCAACTGAACCAAAATCAAATCCCCCACCAAAGATGGTACATATATATTAATTCAATCTTCTTCATCGCGTTACCTTGAGAAGAGGGTGCCACAGTCGCACCGGTACTCCCTAGTGCCACAGGTCTTGGAATGGGCCTTCCAATCCGACTGGACCGCGTACTTCTTCGAGCACTTGTCGCACTTCCACTTCTTCTCCCCGTGCTTCCTGCTGAAATGCTTCTTGATCCCAGTCAGATCCCCCAGCGCCCTCGACGGGTCGTGGTGGACGCAGCTCGGCTCGGGGCACACGTACACTTTCTTCTTCACCACCTCGTTCTTGGCCCTCTGCTTCAGCTTCCAAGGCAGGTTGTGTCCTCGCCTGTGGAGCTGCAAATTCTGGTCCCTCTGAAACCCTTTGTTGCAGATCTCGCACAGGAATCGGTTCGTGGCCATTAATGTCGTTGGGGACAGAGATATCACTTCGGAATCTGGGTCTGTTACCACAAAAAACCCCAAAAAAAAGAACCAACCTTGACCTCAACATTTATTGACCCCATAATATCCACAAACCAAAAAAAAAAAAAAAAGTGGGAATTAATGAATGATAGCGTTCAAATTTTTACCTGGGTTGCCTGGCATGTTCCTCTTCTTCTTGGGAGGCGGTTGATTGGATGGTGGGATTTCTGGAGGTGGGTGGTAATTGTTTTGATTTAGTACTCTACCGCCGCCGCTGCCGCCGCCGGAGGAGGAGACACTGGCTTCGCCGGATGCTGAAGTGGTGAGGTTGGACATGTTCTCTTGATCTTGTTGTTGTTGTTGGAATATGAAGCTTTTCATCATCATCATGGTACAGGAAGAGAAAAGAGAGGGGATAGAGAGATAAAGTTTTGAACTTTGCTTTTGGTTATGCAAAGGGGAAGGATCTAAAGGCTGGAGGAGGAGAAAGGGGTGAGTATATATACATATATGTGGGAAGCTGATATGATGATGATGGTTTTGGTTTCCCTTGTTTTCTCCTCAAGCTTTTTGTTTGGTTTTAGCTTGAAAACAAGTTGGGGAGGAAGCGGGGTGGAAAGCTTCTATGGACTATTCTTTGTCATATGAACTTCCATTTGGATCTGTGTTTTGCTCTCACTGGTTTTTTCTACTTTGTTTGGACTCCACCAAGAACAGACAAGGTTTGGAACTCTTTTGGGTTTTGAATTTGGTTCGGTGTCGCAAACAAGAAAGGGTAGAGAGAAAAAAAAAACACTTTCTTTTTTTTAAAAGAGAAGAGAGAGTGAGAGAGGGAAGCTCTAGAACTGAGAAAAGAAACCCAGAAATGAAGTAGCTAGCTAGACCAACTTGCTCTCTCTCAAGCCATGAAGAGGCAAAGAAAAAAAAGGGAGGAAGAAATGATAATAAGGGATCTCTCTCTCTCTCTCAGCCACACAAACAATGAAACTGTAACAGGAAAAGGGAGGAGAAGAGATGGAGATGTGGGATATGTGGAGAGATATCTCTTCTCTTCTTTGTGATTCTTAATGGGTTTTTGTCCCAAGTGAATGAAAGAAAAAAAAGAATAATAGGGGAGAAAAAAAGAGTAATATTGAAATTTTGAGTGCTTAATGGGAGAAAAAATAAAAGAAGACGGTGAGGATGGATGATGGCTGGGAAGCCTACGGCTGAAATACTGACGTAGCACTTTCTGTCTTTTCTCTTGTTATCCTAATTTCCTCAAACCCCTGGAATAAATAAAAAAAATTATCAAAATTGTTTCGTTTATTTCATGAAGGTTGTTGTTATATTAGAGATGATTTAGTTTTTTTTTTGTTGTTAATTTGTGAACAATATATGTATGACATTATATATATCAATGAATTTAATGTACCGTAAACTATAATATTTGGATACTGAATCAGAGCCGTCCCATGATATTTGGAGGCCCTGTTCGAAAATTTAACATGTGGCCCCTAATTTTTTTCTCAATAAATTTATACAAATAAAATTTATTAAATAATTATAAAGTACATAAGTTCAGAAAATTATTTCAAAATGAATAAACAATCTCACTCCCTGTTTGACCAAGAAACCAAGACCAAATTCTCGCTCCCAGCAAGGAGGGAGAAAAGTAAATCTGGAGGGAACATAAAATAGATATAGAGCAAAAATTGAATGGAGAAATGAAAATAATATAAATTGATCGAGGGGTGGGTGCGGGTCTATCTAATGGATCGTGTAGGCCCTATTCTAAAATGGAGACATGATCCAAATTGACTTTTAACTATAATAAAACTAAAATCATTATAATACCATTATTCAAAATATAATATCTTTCTTTATTGTTTAAATTAAAATTATCTATTATCTCTCTAATTTTCGTATTCTCCATGAGATCCTTTTCAATTGTTATTATAGCTAAAACTATCTATTAAATTCGTCATCATGTTCATAATCTATCAATCATACACTAAAAAAACAACCTGCAATATTCGATCGGTAACTAACGAATCTAAGTGGAGGCCCCTAATATTCGGAGGCCCTGTGCCGGAGGGCGGGCCGGCATACCCTCTTGGCCGGCCCTGATACTGATATATGTTATTTTGTTTTTAATAATTTTAAATAAAGTATATTTTAATTAAGTTGTGACTTGTACTCTTCCTTTTCAATGCAACATAAATAAATCTCATCTAAAAATTGAGATTGTACTATCATTTATTTTGAAATATTTGTTATTGTTGCATAAAATAATCAAAGAAACCCAAAAAGATCCTCGGTCTTAAATTTTTTTTTTTTGATTTTTTTGTTGTTATTTGGTCAAGCTTTAAATTATAATTTCATGTTACAAAAAGATAGGAGTGTTTGCTACAAATATTTTCAAAATATATTAATTATATAGAATTTAGTTGGTATTGGAATCTATTTATCTAAGTGATTTTATTCTCGTTAGGTCTTTAAGTGATTGGATATGTAAGAAGTGAACATCTCCACATTGATACTCATCTACGAGCGAGTCATAAAAAATACAAATTAATAAAGCAATTTATGAATGTTTGTATTGTGATCAAAGTTTTAGTGAAAAGGTTTCAACTGAGAGAAATCTCACCATACCATGTCTTTTAAAGACAACGGTTAGTATTGGGGGTCATGAGGACTTGAATACGTGATCTCAATAACATATCAGTTCTGATACCATGTAAAGAATCAGTTGGTCCCGATAACTCAAGTTATTGAGAGAGGCCCATGTATAATACTTAACCACTTCCTAATAAACATCACCAAGTAAAAATATACTTGAGAAGTCATCCAAATTGGCAGATTTGTGAGTAATGGAGTTTTGCATATGAATCACTTTAGATTGTCGTTGAATAGTTCGGGTGATACGATGTTGGAAAACTCTACATACACTATTTATTCAAGTCTGAGTAACACTAATTAAGTCGTTAACTATTAAGGCTTAAAACACACGAGATCATTTAGCTTTAGTAGTTGAGTAATATGCATACCTATCCAAATTAAGTTACATCTGTGCATACATCCATGTTACTTAATTAAATCATATATCCGAGAGACATACAAGCTTGCAAGATCAATCAAACTTGAAATGATGATCATCATGAAGCTATTGTTTGAGAATCCTACACAAAACCTTTCTTTGGTGGGAAAATCGGACTTTTGCCCTCCTTGAATCAAATCCCAAAAGCTTAAAAAAAACAACAGGCAACACAGACTGTCTTCACCTTTAGTTTTTTCCTCCATTTTTTTCAAAGGGAAAGTGAAGAGATGAGCAGCCAGCACCAATTTGTTTTTTGGGTTGTAGTGTATCGATGAACCGTGAGTGTGCGACAGAGACAGCAGGCAAAAGAACAAATAATTAAAAAACATGGTTTTGGTTTCATGGAGAAACGTAAAAACTAATGAAAAAGTTACAATATGTGATGATTTGCATAGTAGTTGACTCGATCCCTTTTACCCAACTAACTTTCACAACATTTTTTACGGTCCCATGATTGATCAATTGATTGAAATCCCCACGACAGGAGTTTTGTTTTTTGTTTTTTTACTGATCACTCATGGCTTAAGATAAAAAGGTTTCCTTTATCATAAACTTACTGTAGGCATGTCTCAGTATGCATTGCATTAGCCTAGCTATAGCTTGTGTGTTGTTCAAGAAAGGAAAACCCTAGCTAGGCTATATATTGTGGGCTATAAAGTTTGAGTAGGGAGCTAGATTGGTTGACTATAAGTGAGCGAGAATACATTTTCCCGGTGCATACTCGAATCGCGTTGCTAATATCGGATTAAGGTAAGAACAATTTCGACCGAATATAAGATGTGTATATACGAAATCGGGAAAATAAGTTGTCGAGAACTAGATGACGAGTTTATGTGTCCCTGATTCGTCCAAATGCATAACCATCCGAAAATTTAGTTATTTCTTAGGTTTTAGCTATGAGATAGATATATATGACACCTGAACAACCACGTAAGAATGATGAAGATCATTTTACATACAAAACTAATCATGTATAGTTGACTAATTAGTATATATATGATGATGCTCTCAGTAGTCTCTTGAATCATGATGACACAATAACAACATTTTGAATTGATTTGTGATTCATGTCCAAATTAAACTACTACGTACTGTTGCTATTGTCATCTGGACGGCGATGGTGATGATGATGATGATAACAACTTTCCATGCACACTAACAAGGTCAAATGTAAGTACGTGGGAGTGGTTAACAAAAAACATGTTTTAGGGTTGCAAATGAGTAGAGTCGAGTTGAGATTTGACTTAATTTGAGTTTAACTCGCTAAAAAACTAGTCACGTTCGAGCTCGACTTGTTTACTAAAATATCAAGTACGTTGTGCTTGACTTGAGCTCGATTCATCAATTAGATTCCAATATCGGCTCGAGTTAAGGTATCATATAATTTAATTTAGTTTATAATTTTTAATTATTTATATTGTGTTATTTAATATTAATTAGTATCTGAGCAATCTATGCTACATAATTTCTCTTTTAAATTATAAATGAGACATATTTGATCACGTGCTCAAATTCTTAAACATCGTATGTGATGATATATATATATAAAATCTAACAAACCTATTAATTATCAACAATCCATGATATAAGCTATTAATCGATCCCGTCATAAGCTGCAAGTTGAGGTGACTAGCTCTAGCCATACTGTTGAGCCACCTTATAGCTCAAAAATGAACCAGCTTAGAAGTTGAGCTCAACCAACCACCGTAACGAGCAGCCGCCCAAGTAAGGTTTAGTTTAAACTCAACTCAATAGTAACCGAATCAAACATCGAACGAGTTTTTACCGAACTGAACATCGAGCCGCGTGAGCATAACAGTTTGGTCAATTTGGAGCCCTTGTTGGGTATAACCTAGAAAAACAATAATCCACATTAATTATCTACACATGCATATACAATATAGCTCATGAAACTCTTGATTATGTATGGACTATAGTGTACCGTTTACCATTTTTTAACCAAGGAGACAGTGGAAGTGAGGTTAGGTAGGTGATTAGTTATGCTTCATAGGCTGTTTTACTAAAAGGTTAAGCCTATAATTAAGTGATTAGTGAGTTGTTCTTTAACCCAAATAATTATAGCATGGATATATGATATATATAATTAAGTGTGAGACCAATGTTTTGTAATGTGTGATGAGAGGTGCATTGACTGTTAGTTGAAGTTGAGTCAACTATGTAAGCTAGCTAGCTATATAGTTAGCTGCTCTCTTCTCTTCTTTTTAAAGATGAGAGATGTGTGTATTGGTGGTGGTGGAAAGCTTTACTAAACCACTTTTGTTTTTGCCAACAACCAAGAAGTAGGGTTTTTTTTTTGGGGGGTCACCACCTCCCTTTTCACCCTTTCTTCCTTTTTTGAAGCATTTCACTTTAAATGTGAATTTTTTTTTATGTCTAACATAGCCCTCAAATTTTGTTGTTTCTGTGATTTCCTATCATATAAACTCATTTTTAGTATTCTCGACTTTATTTCTTGACATTTTATATAACTACAATTAACTTCTATACGTTTGTGTACATTGAAATTTGTATATAGAGACTTTGATCGTTGTTGTTTGTGTAGTGGTAGATTCCTTGGCCAATATGAAGTTTCTGATGTGTGGAGTGTTAGAATTCATACTACGAGATTGAGGAACGATACGAGGATCGAAACGAGACGGTGTTTACGTGGTTTCCTTGTTCGATATTGATCGAACAAGACTAGTCCACGGGAAGGAGCTGTATCTCTTATTTCACTTAATCTCCACGTTACAACTATCATTCACATATATACATCTCGGCTCTGCAACTCTAACCCTAGCCGAGGAAGACTAGCCCTCTAGGGCACTCGGACCTCAACTCCAGGTCCATGGGCTAAAGCCCATTTACAATACGTCATAACTCAACACCCTCCCCCAAATTGATGGGGGTTCTCATCATCAATTTGCCTGAAAGAAATGAATGACGAGCTGCTGAGAAAGCCTTCATGAACAGGTCCGCAATCTGGTCTTCAGAAGCAATGTAGAAAATGCGAATAGTACCAGCCTTAACCAACTCGCGAATATAATGAACATGTACCTCGATATGTTTAGTACGATCATGCAACACCGGATTAGTAGCAATGCGGATGGCGCTGGTATTATCAACATATAACTCCATCGGAATCGTACAGGTCACACCAAGATCACCCAACAATCGACATAGCCACTCCATTTCAGACGTAACATCGGACATGGCGCGATACTCAGCCTCAGTAGAAGATTTGGACACCCGATCTTGTTTCTTGCACCGCCAGGAAATAATAGAACCACCAAGACGAATACACCAGCCAGTAGTGGAGCGCCGAGTATCAACGCAGCCCGCGTAATCAGAGTCAGAGAATGCCTGAAGTACCAAGGAACCACTGGAGGGAAGAAAGAGACCAACGTTACGAGTACCCTGAAGATACCTCAGAATCCGATGAACCGCAGCGAGATGATCTGTACGTGGAGCCGCCATAAACTGACTGACAATCTGTACTGCATAAGCAATATCTGGACGAGTAGAAGCCAGGTAGATGAGGCTACCCACGATACTCCGATAATGACGACCACCATCAGGTAATAAATCACCAGAGTCCCTCCCCAGCTTGAGATTCAGCTCAATCGGAGTAGAAACCGGAATACATTCACTATATCGAGCTGACTCCAGCAAGTCAGCAATGTACTTGTGTTGACTAAGTAAAATACCATGGCGAGAACGAGTAACCTCCAGCCCTAGATAGTAAGACAATGAACCAAGCTCCTTAAGATGAAAAGACTCATGGAGCCCTTTAGTAAGAGCTGCAATCCCCTCGGCATCATCCCCAGAAACTATCATATCGTCAACATATAGCAGGAGCACAACCAGGCCTCGGGAAGTAGTCCGAGTAAACAGAGACGGATCATTAAGACTCGGAGTAAATCCCAAGCTAAGGACAGTAGACTGAAATTTGTCAAACCAGGCACGCGGACCCTGCTTAAGGCCATACAAAGACCGATGAAGAAGACAAACCTGATCCGGAGTACCGTAGGGATAACCAGGAGGACGCTCCATGTAGACCGTCCCCTTCAACTCACCATGAAGGAAAGCATTCTTGACATCGAGCTGATACAATGGCCACCCTTTGAGAGAGGCGACCGCAAGGAGAGAGCGAACAGTAACCATCTTGGCTACCGGAGCAAATGTCTCTTCAAAATCGATACCATATTCCTGAGCAAATCCCTGGGCCACCACCCGAGCCTTAAACCGCTCAATAAATCCTTCTGGATTGGCCTTGAGAGCATAGACCCACTTACTACCGATAACAGGAATCTATGGTGGTGGGCGAGGAACCAACTCCCACATGTCATTAGCATGAAGAGCATCAAACTCCTCATTCATGGCACCATCCCATCTCGGATCCCCACGAGCCTGAGCATAACTGGTAGGTACAATAACCGGGTCAACCTAAAAAGTGGCATAGTCATTAAGGTAGGTAGGCGGCTGACCCAAGTTTGCCCGTAGCGAGTGCCGAGGAGGGATGACCGGAGCTGGAGATGAAGCCGAGGAAGACTCCGGAGACGATGGTGGTGTCGAGGGGGCAGGAGATGAGGCATCCGTGGGCGGGCTAGGCGGAGAGTCCGGGTCGAGGCCATCATTAGCATCATCAACATCAACATCTTCAGGGAAAGAGGGAAGACTCAAGGCAGAGTCAAAAAGAGGAGGAGACTCGGACGACACAGAGGAATAGAACATCAAATTCTCAAAGAACACGACGTTGCATGCGGTACGAATCCGACGAAGAGAGGGGTCATAGCACAAGTATCCCTTATGAATGTCGCTATACCCGAGGAACATGCAACGAGCTGTTTTAGATGTAAGTTTAGTACGTTCAGACCTGGGAAGAAGGACGAAACATAGACACCCAAATACCCGAAGACGCGAATAAGGAGGATGATGACCAAACAGCCTAAAATAAGGACTCTCTTGACCTAAAACCGGGGTAATTTGGTAATTGATCAAGCGAACAGCAGTGGACACGGTTTCAGGCCAAAAAGAAGAAGGGACACGAGAAGCCAATAAGAGAGCCCTAGTAACTTCAACGACATGTCTATTTTTACGCTCAACCAGACCATTTTGTTGGGAAACACCAGGACAAGATTTTTGGGTTAGAATACCGAGAGAGCGATACAACTGAAGAAGGGGAGTGGAACTGAATTCCCCACCAGGATCGGAGCGGACTACACGAACTGTTCTACTAAACTGTGTCTGAATCATTTTGAGGAATTCTGTAGCAATGGACAAGAGTTCAGACTTGAGACGCAAGAAATAGACCCAGGTATAACGAGTGGCATGGTCCACAAACAAGACAAAGTATTTGTAGCCAAGACGAGAGGTAGTGGGACTAGGACCCCAAAGATCTGTATGAATCAGATGAAATGGTTCGGTAATGGTAGTAAGGCTCAAGGGAAAGGAAATGCTGGTAGCTTTGGCTTCCACACAACTAGTGCACGAAAAATCCGAGGAATGAACTACTTTATTACCAAATAATTTCTGTTTAAACATAGTACCGAGACGAACAGAGTTGGGGTGGCCAAGCCGAGCATGCCACAACTGAAAAGTCCTATCACTGGGATTCGAAAGCACAGAAGGAACCCTAGACACCGAAGACACGGAACAAGATGGAGACTCTGAAGACATTGATGATGCTTCAAGCTTCTCAAGATAAAATAGCCGCCCTTGCTTACTACCCTTGCCTATCTCCCGCCCCGTCTTCAGATCCTGTACAGAACAACCAGAAGGTGCAAACACAACACGACAACCTTGTTCAGTTAACTGTCCCACCGATATTAAACTAGGAACAAGTTTAGGAACATAAAAAGTGTCAGGCAAGGTCACATCACAATCATTAACCGAGCCCTTGCCCGAAACTGGTATTCGAGAACCATCAGCAACTTGAAGAGAAATGTCATTGACATGTACTATATTTTCCAAGGCATCACGATGATTCGTCATATGATTAAAACAAGCAGAGTCCAAAATCCAACGTGGATGCTTACCCGATGCCTGAAGACTAGCAAACGCCGAGCTAATTGCCTTGTTCACAAGCTGCTCAAGTGCAGCCGGAGTGACCATCATCCCTTCGCTGATCGAAGCGGGTTCAGCGGCATATGCAGGGCGAGACGAGCCAGAACCGCCACGATGCTGAGCTGATGCTGAATTGCCACCATGGGTTCCATTGCGACCAGGTTCACGAGAGCCAATGGAAGGGCAGTCGGGAATGATGTGACCTGTCAGTTTACAGTACACACAAAAATTCCGACGACGAAAATACCTTTTGGTGTGACCTTTGGCGTGGCAGTGATGGCACTCGATATCACGTCGGGGAGCTTGGGCACGGTACGCAGCAAAGGCAGCAGCATCCAAGGGCGCAGCAGACGAACCTCCCGACGAGACCACAGCAGCACTGGTCGGCGGCGGGGCTGCTCCTCCTTGGGCGACAGCAAAAATCGCCGGTTCGCCATGACTGGGCCGCGCGTCGATCGCAGCCTGCGTGCGGAGCCGGGTTTCCTCACGTAGCAAGGCACCGAGGACCTGCTCCAGCTGAAGGTCTTCGCGGTTGAGAAGAGTGGAGCGCACCGCCTCAAAGTCCGGCCGGAGACGCGCCAAAAACTGCAGCAGCCTTGTTTTGTTTCTCGCGGCCTGGAAGTCAGCAGAGGCCGCGCCGGGCATGAGAGCAACAGCAAGGATGTCCTGTTCACTCCACAGGAGCTTGGCATCATTGTAGTAGGTAGTCACGTCCTTATCTCCCTGCTGGAGATTGGCAAGCTCGACCTCGACTTCAAATTGGCGGGCCACGCTTGTAGCAGAATACGTAGCCCTCAAAGACTGCCACATAGCGGCCGATGTTGGGAGAAGACGGAGGCCGAGCACAATCGACGGATCGACGGACTTCAAGATCCACGAACGAACTTTAGCATCAGACTGCATCCACTTGGCGAGCTCCTGATCGGTGGCAGGAGGAACAACAGGTTTCGTTGCGGAACCGTCAAGAAAACCAAAGAATCCTTGACCTTCGATGAACGTACGGAACTGGAATTCCCACAGCGCAAAGTTCTTCGAATTCAGACGGGTGTTGATCTGATCCGATTCCATAGGCTCTGATACCATGTTAGAATTCATACTACGAGATTGAGGAACGATACGAGGATCGAAACGAGACGGTGTTTACGTGGTTTCCTTGTTCGATATTGATCGAACAAGACTAGTCCACGGGAAGGAGCTGTATCTCTTATTTCACTTAATCTCCACGTTACAACTATCATTCACATATATACATCTCGGCTCTGCAACTCTAACCCTAGCCGAGGAAGACTAGCCCTCTAGGGCACTCGGACCTCAACTCCAGGTCCATGGAGTAATAAATTCCTTGGTGAATACGAGGTTTTTGATGAGTGATACAGACCTTGCACAAATGCTTAAAGGTTATTCAAAAGTTTGATTGAGTTCTCTTAAGTGGAATGTCCATATATATAGTACTCAGAGATTCGTACTTATAGTTTTGAGCCAAAGGGGCGCTAACTTTCAATTGAGCATAGTCATTTGAACGCCGCCGATATGATGAACTTGGAATATCGTTGCGAAGAGTACTTCTCTTCCATTTCGTGAGAGTGACTGACCTCTCTCAATCTCAAGGATAACGAGGAACAAAAGCTACGCCGACAAATAATAGGTTAAAACCATATTGCTACTAGTTAATTAGCTAATAATGATAATCATCTACAACTATGAAGATGAACCAAAGAATGATGAGAAGCAATCAATCACCAGTTCACCACCCACAAAACAAAAATACACATGCAAACAAAGAAAAGCATAGCGAATACATTTAAGTTGGAGCTAAACCACTATGGCAAATTGTTAGGAAACATGGTCATTTAAATAATGTTTAGGGTTCTACATCATGTTCCTATTAAATTCATGTTTTCGATGAGGTTCTTGTTATGGGCTCCCTCTTATATATAAAATATATATATATATTAGGCAGATAGTCGTGGGGATCGTTCTTTATGCAATTTATTATTTGCTTTGAATTAGGAAAAAGGAGGGAAATGGTGGGGAATTTAAAAAATTGCAATAGTTTTGTCTTGTTCTTGTTTTAATTCTTACAATGATTTGGGGTTTTGAAAATGGGATCTCCATCAACAGCACACACACATTACACATATTAATTAATTAATTTACTAATAAACATATATAAAAGGGCCTGACATGGTTGAAAAAGAAAGTTTCACATGTACACCAGCCATAATCATCTTTCACTTGAGAGATTTCTATGGGAATCCAAGAACACATCATATTGAAATCATTGTTCCTTTGATCTCCTTTCCATGTGTTTTGCTCTAATTACTTTATTTGAGTTTTATTAAGGATTAATCATGATATAATCATCAATTTTATATATGTTCTCTAGAATGAAAACCCCATACCAAGTAAGAATTTCAAGTTTGTACTGTTGTATTTATGTTTGTATAGTGGATTGTTGATTAACAACAATTAGGAGTTACCAGAATTCAAGCACGGAGATTGGTTAATGAAAGTTATGATATCATTCAACAAATGTACATTCACAACAACAACAACAAAAAAACAGTTTGTCTAGATAATTAAGCAACTAGGAGTGTATCGATCATATTAAAAAAGATCAGTAGGACATGTTTATTAATAAATCTTATACTAATATCTTTCTTTTAAAGAATATGTCTAGCATACATTTTTATAATCTACCACACATCTTTTTTTTTTTTTGGCATTTAAAGGAGGCCGCAACCTAGAAAGAAGAGAGAGTTACACGGCGAAGATTACACGGAAGAGGGGGTAGGAGCCACAATGTTCCACTCAAATGTGATATCTCTAGCACCGTTCTGGAGCAAAATAATTAACTCAGGCGGTGGGTTTGCAAGTTCATATTTACCCTTATACCCAATTTCAGATCTAGACCCTAACCAAACAATCCTAGTCCCTTCCTCACCCCAATTCAAATCCCCTGTCGTCGATACTACGCACCAAACTCTCGATATGTGCTGCTACCTCAGTCCGCCGCTGCTCTTGGCGGCTGCTGCTGCGGAGATCCTCTAGGGAAAGACGTATTGGTGATGAGAGCAGGGAAGTGGTGGTGGCTTCTCGTTTCGATTAGAGGGTTTATTAGCTTTGGGTTTAGCTATCTCTCTGCCAAGTTGCAAGAAGGTGGAGGGGAATAAATCCCTCTCTTGATTGCCTGTAGGTATGGATTAATTAGGTTAACGTTTTCATTTACTATTGGGAATTTCAAGAACCGGGTGTGACAGATTGTTTGGTTCTTTTTCGTTGAATGATTGGTTTTCTTCTTCTTTGTTGTTTTTATTTTGAATTTTGTTATTTGGTGTAGTATTTGAGTTTAATTTGGGGTTTAAGTGCTTGAAAGACAAATAAATGAACTAAGGGCATTGAAGTAAATGTAATTTAATTAGGGCGACGAATAAGAAATTTTAGGGCGACGAATAGCAATGCCAAAAATAAAGGAACTTTCCAAAATTATAAACAAGCTAAGTATTAATTAATTAATATATATATAAACGGAAATCCCCATTACTATTCACAAACAAAATTATTTGGTTTGGCTTAAGCCCATTAACATTTATGATGGTTTTATCTGTTTCTCCAAGTTTCGTCACCAATTTAACTTGGATATATGAAAAAATTATTATATTATTTATACAATTATAAATTATCTTAATTTTCATCTAATATATGAGCAATAACATATAATATTATAACAAATAATAGTTCTTACTTGAATATATTGGGAAAAAGACACATTTCACAAACAAACAAAAAACGATGTTGTGTGACCTACAAACCAAGAATTTTGCTGCGAGTCGACCAGCATGTGTGTGGCACACATTTTTCACACCAGGTTAGAGTCAAAATGGATCAACCCATAGATAAACCCACGGATTGACAATCTTAATCGATAGAAAATTTAATATAAGTAATGTAAATGCAAAATTGAAGCTAATGTTACCATGGTCTCCCACCATCTGCAACATAGCGCAGTCATTGTTCTAGTGATCATATATGTAAGATAAGACTAGCCCAGTCAATAGTCAACTTGTGCAGTGCAGTGGACTCTTAGTTACACTATGTCATATGAATGAACACGAACACATTTTTTTCTTTAACATATCAAAGCTTATTTTTAACATATATATACTATATCATATCTCTTTTTTTTTATCAGATCCATAATTAACATTTTCCCATAAGTTCAAGTATTTGAGATCAATTGATTTATTACACGGTATCAAAATTGGTTTGATCAAGGGGTCGTGTGTTCCAATCTCCACGACTCACAATTTAACACTTGAGTTGATCACAAGGTGTGGTAGCCGGTAGGCATGCGCGAACTTCAAGCATGTGACTAGTCTTCATTTGAACTTGGAAGGGTGTGGAGTAGTGGTATGAAATTCATACCCAACATTTTCCAACAACTCTCGAGTCATTGACACCAATTAGTTTATGACATTGTAAAATATTAATTCCGTTTACAGATGAATTAGGAATTAAGCAGTCAGATGTACAACAATATTCAATATTTGGATTGAATATAAATATAATATGACCATATCAAAGCATGCAGTTCAATCAATTACTGGGTAACTTGAAATAAGAAAACAATTCATTTAATTGAAACATGTTTTTTTTTTTTTTTTGGTAGGACGAGTTATAAATTTGTGGATTTTGGAGCCTATTAATTGGATGCTGGACTGCATAATTATACAAAACCAAAACAAGTCATTGTCACCAGGCGGCTGAATTAATTGACCTCTTAAACTTTTTCAAAGCAGAATCAATCGGCTACTCGTTCTTGTATTAATTAATCAATTCACATATTTTTCTATTTGAAAGTGTTGATTAATAATTAGTAGTTAATTAACCTCACCATGCATGATTTGTTAGGCAAGGAGGCCTAGAAACACTATTAACTAATTCCTCTTTTGCTTTAGTAACCCACCTTTCACCTTTGCATTCATTTTAATTACAATTTAAATTAACTAAGATAAAGAAAAAAGTAATATTACCATTAATCAATTGTTTATTTACTTATGAGTAACTTTGTTTAATTGGTTATTACCCATTAACATTATTGACAAATACGTCCCATCGGTATCATATAAATATTCTACACTCTACTAGAAAAGAGTCAACTTTGGTGGTCAGGTCGGAATATAGTTAGGAGAGACAATTTTACGTAAAATCCGATCAATTATTGTTTGGTTCCATGTCGCTTTTGGGTTAGGTCATGCACACAAATCCTAGAAAACAAGACTGACTAAAACAATTAAACATGAAATTTCATATTAATATTTATGCATTATCTTAGTGTTTTTTTAGTTTATTATTACATAGAAAGTAGTTAAGTTGGTCTGGGATTAGGAGAAGGTTTCGAATTGGTTAGTAGAGGAGAGTGATTAGTTTTACATCTATAAATATGTACTTACTCTCTTAGTAAGAAAAATCTAATAACAGTTCAGTTTATCGTTATTTTCATATGCATGGTGTTGGGCATGTGACTCGGATCGCACCCCACGGCAGAAGCACTAAGGAGTCGCGCCAAGGTTAAGCGCGCGAGCCAAGCAGAAGCACTAAGGAGTCGCGCCAAGGTTAAGCGCACGAGCCACGCCTGAATCAAGCGTGCAGGCAAAAGCCACCCCTGAAGAGGCGCGCGCAAACACTGAGCGACGACGCTTGGGACAGACATGGGCCCTGGTCGAGGAGTTGTAGAAGCGGCGTCGCGTCGTCCAACGGGTAGTCACCATCACAGTCCTAGGTATAGTCCTGCTATGTCAGTAGTCACATCAGGGTCCTAAAAGCATGGCCTAAATTCCTGACATGTCAGTGGTCACATCATTGTGCCCACTTGTAACCCAACCACTCACCCACCAACATGTAGCCTATAAATATGGCATTTACTCCGGTGGGTGAGGGGATCGGATTTTTCAGACTCTATCTCTAAGATCATCAACTTCTCTCTCTAAGACCACTTCCATTTTCCACTCTTCTCATAATCTCCAGAACCTCTCCATAACAATCGTTCCTCCATTGCTTACTCCTCTTGACCCATTTTCACGAGCCTCCCTTCTACACCCAGTTAGGCTCAAACAATTGGCGCCCACCGTGGGGCCAAGTATGTTGAGTAATGTAACATGGGCCTTGAGCCCACTTCCCATATGTAGCTCGGGTGTATGGGATTACTTAGACTGGCCGAGTATTCTAGGGTTAGAGAGCTAGGGTTAATTCTCTAGTTCTTGTATATATATGCTTGTAACCAGACTTGTCGGGGTTAAGCTGAATAATACGATACTATAGCTTCGGCCGTGGACTAGTCTCGTTCATACTGAACGGGGAAACCACGTAACTCTCTGTGACGATTTACGCTTTCTGTTTTGATATACCGTTGCGATCAACATGGTATCAGAGCCTATGTCTTCTGAACAGATTACTGCACGTCTGAACTCCAAGAACTATGCAGTCTGGGAGTTCCAGTTTCGGACGCTGATTGAAGGGAAAGGGCTGATGGGATGGCTCGATGGCTCCGTTCCGCGGCCAACGTCACCGCCCTCTTCGGCGCAGGAGGTTTCTCAATGGGTGATGAATGATGCAAAGGTTCGGCATCAGCTCCTCAATTCGGTGGATGGCTCAATTATTTTGGGCCTTCGGATGCTTCCAACTGCGGCAGCCATGTGGACTTATCTGGCCGAGACCTATAGGACTGCTACTGCCTCTCGGCAGTTTGAGATTGAGGTGGAACTGGCGCGGCTTCACCAAGGCAGCATGGACGTGACGACATACTACAACGAGGCTCGGAATCTATGGACCGAGCAGGACCTGGTCGCTGCGTCTCTTCTCACCCCAGCAGGCTCGGCGGAGGTTCGAGCTGAACGTGAGAGGCTGCAGCTGATGCAGTTCCTCATGCGCCTCAACAAGGAGTACGAACCAATTCGGGCTAATCTACTGAACCGAGAGCACCTCAAAACTGAAGGAGTCCTCGCCTCCTTGATCCAAGAAGACACACGCCTTCGTACTCAGGCGGCTCGGGACGTGTCCCCGGGGACCGGTGATGGGGGTGCTGTTTTTAGCACAACTCAGGCAGCAGTTGGCAGTGGGACATCGCGCGGAGGCTCGCGAGGCTCGCGCGAGCAGGCTGACGATCATGACGATGCGGCGTTTGCGGCGTATCGAGCTCCCTTTCAGCGACGCGTTAATGGTAATGATGTTGAATGTTTTCATTGCAAAGAAAAGGGGCACACTAAGAAATATTGCAGGAAGAGGAACTTTTGTGTGTATTGCAAAAAGGCAGGACATATCATCCCGGATTGTCCAGCCCTAGAAGGAAGGAATCGCGAGACTGATGGTCGTGGAGGTGGGCGTAACGGTGGTTCTTCATCCTCTGCCCGTCCCGCGTATGCTACTAGTTCGGCGCCCGTTTCCGAGAATATGGTTGTCTCACCGGCAGCACTTGAACAGATGGTGAACAAGGCAATTTCGTCGGCTTTCGCTAGTCTTCAGATGTCGGGTAAGGCTCCTTCCTGGATACTTGATTCCGCCTGTTTTAATCATATGACTGGTAATGATACAAATCTTGAACATGTCCGCCCTATTGATGATGTTTCTGTGCAAGTTGCTAATGGTGATAAATTGCATGCTACTGGTCTTGGATCAATACATAGTTCGGACATTGTTTTGCCCTCCACTTATCATGTGCCTAGTCTTGTTCCGAGTTTGGTTTCTGTTGGTCAGCTTACTGACCAAGGCTATCGTGTTATGTTTGCACCCTCTGGTTGTGTTATCCAGGATCAGAAGACAGGGAGGGAGATCGGTCGGGGTAGCAAGCGGGGTCGGATTTTTTTATCTAGAGCAGCTGCGTCCATCATCATCCTCCGGATCCTTGGCTATTGAGTCTTCTAGTTCCTCATTTCCTGTTTTCTCGAGTCTTTCTGATCAAAAGTTTCAATCGTGGCATGCTCGGTTAGGTCACCCAAATTCAAGTCGTCTTATGACTATGTTCAAGCAACAGTTATTTGGAAACACTGCTTCTGTTCCTTCTTCGGATTTTGTTTGTACTAGTTGCATTGAGGCAAAAACTACTCGTATTTCATTCCCTTCTAGTCTCACAGTGATCACAGAACCTTTCCACTTGATCCATACTGATCTCTAGGGACCTAGTCCCGCCACCTCACGCCTCGGTTTTAAATACTTTGCATGATTCATTGATCATGCAACTAGATACACGTGGGTCTACTTTCTCCGGCTCAAATCTGACCTTTTAACTGTTGCTACCGACTTCCTTGCCATGATTAAAACCCAGTTTGATCGCACTGTTCGAGTCGTTCGGTCTAATCCAGGAGGTGAATTCAGCTCTGGTCCCTTGTTAGGTCTGTATAAGTCTATGGGTATTTTATCTCAAAAATCGTGTCCTGGGGTGTCTCAACAAAATGGTTTAGTTGAGAGGAAAAACCGTCATGTCCTTGAGGTTACTCGTGCTCTCCTCCTTTCTTCGTGTGTACCTTCTCTTTCTGGCCTGAAACTGTAGCTACTGCTGTTCGTCTCATCAACTTTCAAGTCACTCCTGTTCTCGACCAAACTAGTCCATATTTTCGTCTGTTTCACAAACCACCGCCCTACTCTCGTCTTCGTGTTTTTGGGTGTGTCTGCTTTGTTCTTCTTCCTCGTTCAGAGCGTACCAAACTCACATCCAAAACTGCCCGTTGTTGCTTCCTTGGCTATAGTGACATTCATAAGGGTTACATATGTTTTGATCCTGCTCTCCGTCGTATCCGGGTTGCATGTCATGTGGTTTTTGTTGAGAACTTGATGTATCACACTTCCCATTCTGCGACTGACCCGTCCCTTTTTGATATGTCCCTTCCGCCACCTACCTTTGCCAAGGATGATGAGGATGATGCAGCTCTCGACATTCAGGACCCGCCGCTATCCCCCGACTCTCCTCCTACAGCTACCTCGAAGGTGTCTATCTCCTCAGATGATGACATCTCCCCACCACCGGCTGATCTTCCTCGTCGCTCTCTTTGCACAACTCGGGGCGTGCCCCCAATACGCTACCAGGACTATATGGCATATAGTGTGGATCCTATTCCGATTCCCACAAAATTTTCACAGGCTACAGGTGATCCCAATTGGGATCGAGCTATGGATGTTGAGTTTGAGGCTTTGGAAGAAAATCATACGTGGGATTTAGTGCCCCGTCCTCCACCTACAGTGCCAGTCATTGGATCTCGCTGGGTATATAATTTGAAGTTCTTACCGGATGGATCCCTTGAGCGCTTTAAAGCGCGTGTGGTTGCTCAGGGGGTTTGTCAGGAGTATGGTATCGATTTTGAAGAAACTTTTGCCCCTGTGGCAAAAATGTTGACTGTCCGATCGTTGCTGGCTGTGGCATCTATGCGAGGTTGGCCGCTCTTCCAGCTTGATGTCAAGAATGCATTCTTGCACGGTGAGCTCAAGGAGACTGTTTACATGGAACGCCCTCCTGGCTATACTCGTGGTACTCCTGATCAGGTCTGCCTGCTCCGTCGGTCTCTCTATGGTTTGAAACAAGCTCCGCGAGCTTGGTTTGACAAGTTTCACTCCACCATTTTGACTCTTGGTTTTCAGCAGAGTCTCAACGATCCCTCGTTGTTTACACGCCATACTGGTGCTGGTCTGGTGGTGTTACTGATTTATGTCGATGATATGATCATTACTGGTGATGATTCTGCAGGCATTACAGCTCTTACTGATGGCCTCCACGCCTCCTTCAACCTTAAGGAGCTAGGCTTTGTTGATTACTTCCTGGGACTCGAGGTTAAGCGCTCTTCTGCAGGTATTCTTCTCTATCAGACCCGTTATGTAGATGATCTTCTTGAGACCGCCCGGTTTGCTGAGTGTACACCTGTCTCTACTCCCATGGAGATGAATCTCAAGCTCGGGAGGGAGTCTGGCGACCTCTTGCCCGACGGGGGCAAACACTACCGTAGTGTGGTTGGCAGTCTGATATACTTGACGTCTACTCGTCCCGATATCGCTTATGCAGTACAGATTGTCAGCCAGTTCATGTCTTCTCCCCGTACAGATCATTTAGCTGCTGTTCATCGGATTTTGAGGTACCTGCAGGGTACACGAGAGGTCGGACTTTTCCTTCCCTCAGGTTCTCTTGTTCTGCAAGCCTTCTCGGATTCTGACTATGCCGGGTGTGTGGACACGAGACGATCTACCACTGGCTGGTGTGTGCGGTTAGGTGATTCATTCATTTCTTGGCGGTGTAAGAAGCAGGATCGTGTTTCGAAGTCTTCTACAGAGGCCGAGTACAGGGCTATGTCTGATGTCTCTTCAGAACTTGTCTGGTTACGTCGTCTTCTTGGTGATCTCGGGGTTGATTGTGATCTTCCTCTCCAGCTTTATGTCGATAACACTAGTGCTATTCAGATCGCTCAGAATCCGGTGCTTCATGATCGGACGAAGCATATTGAAGTTCATTTGCACTATATTCGTGACTTGGTTCGTGATGGCATTCTTCGTCTTTTTCACATCAGATCCGAAGACCAGATTGCTGATTTATTGACCAAGTCATTCTCCGCCAGTCGTCATTTCTATCTTTCTCGCAAATTGATGATGAGAGATCCTCATCAATTTGGGGGAGGCTGTTGAGTAATGTAACATGGGCCTTGAGCCCACTTCCCATATGTAGCTCGGGTGTATGGGATTACTTGGACTGGCCGAGTATTCTAGGGTTAGAGAGCTAGGGTTAATTCTCTAGTTCTTGTATATATATGCTTGTAACCAGACTTGTCGGGGTTAAGCTGAATAATACGATACTATAGCTTCGGCTGTGGACTAGTCTCGTTCATACTGAATGGGGAAACCACGTAACTCTCTGTGACGATTTACGCTTTCTGTTTCGATATACCGTTGCGATCAACAAAGTAGAGAAGCAAAAGAAAATCAACCTATGGCAGAACATAACTCCAACTCGCCTGACGAGTCAACCCCGATCAAGGCGATGACCAACCCAAGGGAATTCGCGGAAGCCAGCAATCTCAACGCGGTGCTCTTGGAAGAGGAAGAGCCCGAGCTCACAGCCAGAGAAATGAGACAGCTGGTGGCGAAGCAGAACGACGTCATAGCTAACATGCAAAAACAAATGAGCCAGGTCATGGCGCTCATGATGAGCAGAGAGGCCGCGGCAACAGCGGGCGTGACACCATCCGCGCACGCTGTCCTACCATCACACCCCGCGCATGAAGCGCAACAAGTCGAGCTCACAGTATGCGCGACACCAGTCGCGCCTCAGCAAGCCCACGGAGAAACGTCAGGGACGGTCCAGCCACCTCACCCTGTATATGAAACACAGCCAGCTGAGCTTCCAGGAAGGGCAGACCTCAGTTTTCTAGAGCAACACCTATCTCAGCAATACCGACTCAACGCGCCCAAGAAGGCACTCCACCAGCCGCTAAGCGCGGAAATCATGGCGGAACACCTGAGCGGAATGCCACCCACCCTCCCAACATACAACGGGACGACTGATCCCGAAGATCACGTGAGCACCTTCTGCCTGCGGATGCAGCTCCAAACCAACTCCAACGCGGCGCTGTGCCGAACCTTTTCATCAACGTTTTCTGGGATATGCCTAGATTGGTATAACAGGCTCCCAAATGGGATCATCCGCTCATTCGAGGAGTTCATACTCCTATTCACGACAAAGTTTGCATCCCAGAAAAGAAGGCCCCTCCACCTCAAGGCGCTGGTAGATCTCAGGCAAAAAGACGGGGAGAGCCTACGAGCGTTTTACGCCAGATGGTCCAGAGTGGCGATGGCAGTGCACGACCTCACTCCCGAAACCGCCGCCCATCACCTTATGGAAGCCACAACCAACATGGAACTCAAGCGGGCGCTAGCAAAAAGGCCCGTAACTCTATCAACGGAGTTGGAAATGAAAATTGAGAAGGCAATTACGCTCGAGGAAACCCTCGGAGCGGGATCTGTTAGGCGCTTCGAGCCAGCCAAGTTGCCGCGAGAAGAGCAGGGACGCCGGCAGCTCACGCTGCCGCGGGATCAGCTAGCGCAGCTGCACAGCGGACATAAGCAACACCCCCCTCCCCCACAAGAGCAGGCGCAGCGGAGAAGATCACCAGACAGGCGCGCGCCCCACGCGTTCACACCGCTCAACGACTCCGTAAAAAATGTGTTCCACGTTCTACGCGAGAAGGGGTACAAGCTCAATTGGCCCGCGCCCCTGAAGTCCTTGTCCCACATGAGAGATCCAAAAAAGCATTGAGACTTCCACAGAGCAACGGGGCACTGGACGGAGGATTGCCGAGAGCTGCGCTACGAGATAGAGGGCCTCATACGACGGGGGTTGCTAACCGAGTTCACACACGAAAAAGAGGAGCAAGTTGGGGGACCCCAAAACCCGCCACCACCCCCGCAAGCCGACTACAACGAAGCCACTGCATAATATGTAGTGCGGAAAGAAATAGGGGTGGTAACGGTGGAAGGAGATCGCCCGAAAAAGAAAACCAAGCGCGAACGAGCAATCGAATTCGCGGCAGCGGATGTACGAACAGGGGGTCAACTGAGCTTCGACGACACCGAATTACCGCAAGGAGTTCTGTCGGAAGACCCGCTCATCATCACCGCCCTAGTGGCCGCCTGCAAAATCCACCGCCTCCTGATAGACGGGGGTGCCGCGGCAGATATCCTCTTCCAAAGCACCATCGACAAGATGGACATCGACCCGCGCTTAATCAAGCGCGCCCAAGGGAACCTGGTCGGCTTCTCCGGAGCGAGGGTGCCAGTGATAGGGGTGGTCACTCTCCCCGTGGTCATCGGTGACCAAGAGCCGCGCGTCTCAAAGCAAATCGAGTTCACTATAGTCGACTGCAAATCGTATCACAACCGCATCTTGGGTCGACCCTTCTTAGAAAAATTCATGGCCCTTCCTTCCACGTGCCACCAAAAACTCAAGTTTCCTACCAAAACGGGAACCGGAGAGGCGCGCGGGACACCATGGGGAGCCCTGAAGCTAGAAGGAGAGCCCCGGCAAACGAACATTGTCGACACAAGGCCAGAGGAGCCCCGTCCGGAATCAATGGATTCCGATTTCGAGGTCGCGCTGGACCCAGCCGAGCCAACCAGGAAAATACGCATCTCGACTCACGTTCGCGACGACGCGATTGAGCCGCTGATCGCGCTATTAAAGGAATACAAGGAGCTATTTGCCTGGTGCACCGAAGATATGACAGGGGTACCAAGGCATGTGGCCCAACACTGCCTCGCAGTCCCACCGAGCGCGATTCCAAGGCAACAAGCGCGCCGCGGCTTTACGGGCGACAAGCTGAAGGCCATCGAGGAGGAGGTGGCGCGACTCTTGGCGGCAGGGTTGATTCGCCCGGTCAAATACCCAAAGTGGTTGGCGAATGTGGTCCTTGTAAAAAAAATCTTCGGGCGCTTGGCGAATGTGCGTTGACTACACAACAATCAACAAGGTATACCCGGGAGACCCCTACCCCCTGCCGCGCATCGACCAACTGATCGACGCCACTGCCGACCACGAGACACTGTCCTTCTTGGACATGTTCTCAGGGTACCATCAAATTCCGATGTCGCGCGAAGATGAAGAAAAGACGGCGTTCATGACTCCCTTCGGAAACTTCTGTTTCGTTGGAATGCCGTTCGGACTAAAGAACGCGGGCGCGACATACCAAAAGATGATCGATTCGGTGTTCTCACAACAGAGGGGGCGGAACATCGAGGCGTATGTGGATGACCTCATCGTCAAGACCAAGGCTGGCAGCTCGCACCTGGAAGACCTGCGAGAGACATTTGAGGCGCTCCGCAAGCACAGCCTCCGCTTGAACCCATTGAAGTGCGTCTTTGGAACGGAAGCAGGGAAGTTTTTGGGGTTCATGATAACCAAGCGCGGCATCGAAGTGGACCCAAAGCAAATCACGGCGGTGCAACAACTACGGGCCCCGAGGAGCGCTTTGGAAATTCAATCCCTGAATGGGAAAATAGCAGCGCTAGGGAGATTCATCCCAAGGTCAGCCGACAAGTGCGCGCCCTTCTTCAAGACACTCAAAAACGGCGCGAAATTCTCATGGACCAAAGAGTGTGAAGCAGCCTTCCAAGACCTGAAGGCATATCTTGTATCCCCCCCTGTGTTGACAACTCCCAAGCTTAATGAAAAATTGTTCCTTTATCTGGCCGTGTCGACGAGAGCTGTAAGCGCAGTTCTGATATCCAGAAGAAACGATAATACCGAGCAGCCTGTGTATTACACTTCACGCACGCTAATCAGCGCCGAAACGAGATACTCCCCAATAGAGAAAGCGGCCCTGGCATTGGTGAGCGCTTCGCAGAAGTTGCATCCCTATTTCCAAGCGCACCAGATCACCGTCCTGACCAACCTCCCACTAAAGAAAATCCTGACTTCAATGGAAGTATCAGGGCGCATGGTGAAATGGGCGGTCGAACTCTCAGAGTACGACATCCAATATGCGCCGAGACCAGCAATCAAAGCCCAAATCCTAGCAGATTTCATCGCTGAAGGAGTCACGCTCGAAACTACACCGGAGGGGGTATGGGAAGTTTACGTCGACGGAGCGCCAAGTAAACACGGTGCTGGCGCGGGGGTCGTCGTGCGCACGCCAACAGGCGTCGTTCACGAGATAGCTATCAGATTCAGAGCATTGAAGACAAATAACGCGGCCGAGTACGAGGCTATTTTGGCGGGAATGACCGCCGCCCACGATCTGGGCGCGAGAACAATAAGGGTACTCTCCGACTCCTCGCTGGCAGTCAACCAACTGAACGGAGCCTTTGACGCAAAGGAAGACACCCTGACGCATTACATGGAGCGTGTCAAGCTGCGAGCAGCCAACTTCGAGGCGGTAACCTACATGCAAATACCGAGAGAGGAGAACGTGTACGCTGACGCACTATCCAAGCTAGCAACCGCCACAGACTTCGAGACGACTCGTCTCGTGTCGGTACAAAAGGAAGAGGAAGAAATTCGCCAAGAAGTGGCGATTAATACCACCCAACTCACGAGCGATGAGGATTGGAGAGCCCCAATTGTGCGGTACCTACAAGAGGGTACGATACCTGAAGACGCTAAAGAGGCATGGACGTTAAGGCAAAAAGCGGCCCGATGCACACTCATGGAAGGAGAACTGTACCGACGGTCGTTTTTGGGGGTGTACCTAAAGTGCATCGGACAAGAGGAGGCGCGCGACATGGTGCGCGACATACATGAGGGGTTGTGCGCAATGCACGCCGGCCCGCGCAGCATGGAGCGCACCATTTTGCTTCACGGATATTACTGGCCGCGAATAAAAAAGGACACGAAGAAATTCGCGGACCAGTGTCACAAATGCCAAGTCAACGCGCGCCAGCACCACCTCCCATCCATAGAGCTCCAAGCCAACCTGAGTCCATGGCCCTTTGCGCAATGGGGAGTAGATCTCTTGGGCCCCTTCCCAACAGCTAAAGGGAAGCGCAAATACATTATTGTGGCCGTAGACTACTTCACCAAATGGATCGAAGCTGAAGCACTAGCCTCGATAACGGCACAACAGGTGACGCGCTTCCTAAAGAACAACATCTTGTCGCGCTTCGGGGTCCCGAACGCGCTCATCTTTGACCATGGGAAACAGTTTGACTGCGCAGAAGTGATAGACTTCTGCGACCAGTTGGGAACCATCGCAAGGTTCGCATCGGTAGCTTATCCCCAGGCCAACGGCCAAGCGGAATCCGCCAACAAAGCAATCCTGCACGGTCTGCACACCCGCTTGAATGACGCCAAAGGTAACTGGACCGACGAAC